TAAACATGCAACAGCTTGGAGGGAAGATATACAAATTAAAATGGTGAAAAAAACCCACAAGAATGTATTGATTTTGCTCTTAGACAAATATTTATTTAAAAAGAAAATCTATTTCATACCTAGGATACAAAACAAAGTAGAATCTAATTACTACTATATATATGTCACTGGTCGAAGTATTTGGTAATTTAGATAATGCAGAGTGAGAAAAGACATAAATATAACTATATAAAACATGAAAACGAAGTCACATTTACAGTAAAAACTTTTTGTCTTTCAGAAATTGATTATCTATATATTGTGTGAAGATCTAATTACTTTAATTTACTGTTTATGTTATAAATTGAACCATTCGAGATTTCAATACATGAAGCTAAAATATTAAAAATCTAGGTGGTTTAATATTGGATCCATTTTGACAGCTTTCTCACTGTACTCAACTAAATGCATATTATTTTTTTGGAATATCAAGCCTTCAAACAGATATGAAAAGCACATGTCAACATACCAAAATTAGAAAACTGCGCCAAATATTCTAACCACTGTTAGTCAAATGATAAGCGGTCTCATTCACTCGTCGGTCGCCGTAGACATTTTCCAATCGTGATGTACTAGATATGCTTTCGTGTTCAGTCAAAGAGCATATTGTTATTTGGAAAATGAAACCACGTGTATCCATTATACTACCACAACATTAGATCAGCTGTTTCATGTGACGTCATCCACGTCACAACGCGAGGTCAAATCACGCGCACCTGTCCAGACGACAAATTCACAGCGGCGTGAAATCACCGACCGTCTTTTAGCCTATTTGAATAAAATTGCAGATTGTAACGAAATAAAATTAATTGTACTCATTGCTGACATTTCAGATGACATATCAAATAAGAGTTGAAGACTTGCAATAGATTATCATACGTTAATCGCAGTACAGTGTACATAAATAATTTGTAAATCTAATATTAATTTTTGATCTAATTTCCATGGCAGAATGTTTGAAAACGAGCTTTAATATGTTCCATTTTCTGAAGAGATTAGTAATGTTTATTTGATGATATAAATGCATACACAATTGGTGATCAATTATCTTCTACAATCACAGCATGTACCATGTACATTAGACTCATGGAAAATACTATTTCAGCAAACCAATCACAGCGCCATTATCACTGTTTCAATGAAAGGAAAAACAAATCGAAATCGAACTTAACAGCACAGCGTATCCATAAGCGGTTAATCCAAATACAAGAAGGTATTGATGTCATCATTGTAGAAGTTATGTTGATGTTTTCAGTAGTTGCATTATGTTTGTATCGCGTGTACCATCGACAGAAACGTGGGCCGAGCTACCACATGTGGAACCGACCTTGACACAATTTGTTTACAATATGGCGTCGACTCACGTTAGATGTCGTGGTCACACTTTTGAAATCTCCATTTGCGACAAAATGTGAAACAGTTAGGGCAAGTCACTCACACGGTCAGGTAGTTTGAGCAATCACACATGACTCTTAGTCATTTCATATGAAAAAAGTAGCAGTTATTTGTCTGAACGGGCGAGTATGTAGGACAACCGGTAAACAAGAAATCGCGGCACAGATATGATGCGAACGTGCCCTGTCGATCACTTCGGGCTTGGCCATTAAATGTTTAGGTTTTGATCATGAACCTCCTGCCCATAAATATACACTATACCAACTTAATATTAACGATTATAGCTATCTTTCCATATCTTTGATTTGAATATTTTCTGTTAATCAGCATCATAAACAAAAAGACACAATCTGCACTGTCGGTTGGTATGTAGCGCCGTGCTAAATCGCCTTGACACAGTCGATAAACATATGCAATACTTGAACAAAAAACTTCCGTGGCCGACTAAACGTTAGTACTCTTACGCCAATAACTGTACAGTGGGGACTAGTAAATCTTTCTGACCAGTCCGATCAGATTTCTTTTTCAAATTGGCTGTCTGATATAATAATAGTTACGTGTATGTGACATGGGTGCTTAATAAAAAATTGCCTTCATTCGCATGAAGTTCAACATGGCAGAAAAAGATAGAGAAGCGCGGTAACCACATTACTAATCTCGCCATATTTCGCAATCCGTAGCACTGCATAAAATATGAGTTACACGATATTAACGTTGAGATGATTAGGGTGAAGATGGTTATAAATTCATTCAATGAACGTCATAAATGTAATGGAAATATAAACTGTCGTTTTCTCATGTGTACCGACCATTCCGCCATTACCGATAGTCGATAAAAATATACAAAACGTGTAAATAAACTTGTTCATAAAGGAGTGAACAGAATTGTATTTACGTGAATAAGTATACAGTTGCGAAAAATATGTCTTTCCGAACACTCAGGTCATATTTTGTCTTATGAACAAGGATTTTGTCTGAAAATATTTACGTGTATGTGACATGGGTGCATAATCAAAATTCGCCGTCATTCGCTTGGTGTTCAAACATGGCAGAAAAAGGCCGAGAAGAGCGGTAGCCACTTTACCAATCTCGCCATATTTGGCAATCCGTAGCATTGTATAAAGTATGAGTTACACGATGTTAAAGCTAAGATGATTGGGGTGATGATGGTTATAGTTAAATATCAAAATTCACAGTTTAAAAGGGCTTTTTCTCGGGACCATATATTGTCCCCTGGCACTATGCGGGTGTGGTCCCGTGGCACCAAGAGGGTTAACCCTCTGGCTGCCACCTAAAAATAGCCTGTGTACTATCGCTGTGCCGAGTTTATTTGCGAGTGACGTTCTGGAAACTGCACACTTTCGTCTAAAAACGACGTAACGTAACAACGATAAAACCCACAATTTTCAAATTTCACACTATAACAGCACAACCATTTCCCTAACTGTCTATGTAAATATTGTAAAGCATTAACGTTATTAACAGTAGTTTATAGCTCGGCAAACGTATTGAATATGCGATTTTTTACAAAATGTCCATGGCGGCTGTTTTGTTGACATTGCGCACTGGATACTTTGAGCGTCTTGTCAGGTTGTAAATCTCCACCAATGTAAAAACCAAAAACATTATGCGAAAGCCCGTTTGTTTCCCGATTACCGTGTTGAAAATGAAACATCTCCGTGGAAAATCGTCCGCGAAATCGTCGATTACGAATTTGTTCAAATATGTGTGACGCCATTTTGTCCGTAAATTAGTGAAATTGTAACGTTATCGTTTGCATATCATGTCGGAAAAAGCATATTAATGAAAAAACTATTTATGAGTAAGGAATAAAATCTTATCCCTAAAATCTGTGGTTTATTACCTACATGCTGATATAAATTGTAACGTGTAACCTTAGCTATGAAATTCAAAATTACGTACTTTTAGAAAGAAGAGAACGAAATCGCATTTCAAACTAAAACTTATACGCGGTGTTGTGTTTTCTTCATTGCAATAAATGATTTTTCTTTTCGGTCATTATTCATTTTTTAGTAAGAAAATCATACCATGTAATCTGCAAAGAACATGCCCTTATGCATGGCATATTTTTACTTTTCTTGCACCGAAAGGTATTCCTCACGGCTCATGTCAATCAGTTCACTGTAAATACTCCTACCAGGCGATGGCGGACATGTCCATTTGCACGTCGACAAAATTTGCATACAGACGATTGAACGAGTTAGTCTCGTATCTTTATGAATCCTTAATAACGTTGTTTTATTTTCATTTTTAACTAATAACGATTATACAAACACAAAACAATAAAAAAAATTCACATGAAGTAGAAACAATACGAAAATGCCTTTTTTGTTGTCGACAGCTTTAGTTTTGAATATTTCAAAATGTCGTCGACCGTGTTCAGCGGTGTTTGGGATTTTGGATTTACTATAACATCTTTGACAGCAACCGAGATAGTAAGTACATTTGAACATCATTCTGTAAGCAAAGCTTAGTGTTCTAGTGATGGTCTGAAATCTGTCGTAATTTGGAGATGATAAACGCATTGATTCATCAAAGATTCAAACGTTGCGATCTGGTCATATTTTCCCGATTTCCATCTCCGTCCCTGCTTCCATCAGCAGCCACTGAGTGACCATCAAGCAGTATTAAAGACATGGATCCACTGATCACAAACCCAAAGGAACTGTATTAGCTAACATTTATTACAGTCAGATGGATGTATATGTGATTTTTGTCATGAAATGTGCAAAGTATAATCAAAATTGATCTCGATAATTAATCTTTCTTTCGGGAACTTTTTGACGAATGATTTCCATGGCGATGTGGTAGACTAGCTGTTATGAATACCATTATCCGAAGTATATTTCAACGGACATTTAATACAAATCAAACCATGTATTCCTGGTACTGTTTGACGAATTTGAAAAAAGGTAATCTATGAAGAATTTGTAAACACCAAAAGGCACAGGTTACCCGCTCGAAAAAAACGGGCATCATTTCAGATTTGCGCAAGCCGTAACAAATATGTTCACGGCTTGCTGTCTTCTCTCACGTCCGCGCTTGCTCGTGGCATTTACCGCTAAAATTTATGGATAACATTATGTCTGTTGAGCGAACTTTATCAGAATACGTTACGGCAAAGACGTGGCAATTGTCCAATAGTCCTTGCCAAACTGACCAATAGTTAAGGTATAATACAGACAAGAAGAAATTTTCAATTTTTAAGGGTTTATCATAATAAGGATTAGAAGTAAAAAGTTTCTTCAGTTGTGTAGATGTATGTAAGTCATTGGTTATGATAACATTGGAGAATCGATTTCCATATATCAATTAATAATTAAAAAGTATGCTTACATATGCATACATGAATAATCTGTGAACATTTTTGAATATTTTGTTAATATTCCAGAGGAACAACCACACTTTCATATGGCTGTAATTTGAAATACTTTAGAAAATTAATTCTTATTCCAAGGTCCTTACTGTTATACTTACTGTCCTTAATGTCCTTTATTTAATATTTTGAAAAGTATCATCAGTAAAAAATCTTGTAACTGTTTAAATGAGATATATAAGACAAATGTACAAATCTCTCAATCTATACATATTTATTGACAGTATTTACATGTGAATAATATATAAACTTTGTACAATAAAGTTTTAAAAAAAGGCTGCATCTTAGCTGGAATACTGCTGAAAGCGGCATGAATCATACTCACTCTATTTACATGAAGTACATAATTGTGAACAAAAGATCAATAATCCATATACAATGAATCGCCACGAATTAACTGGAATATTGTAAATGTGGCGTTGAATCATACTCACGCACCAACATGTCCTTTTATATATATACACAAATCCATTTTCTATTTACAGTAAATATATATAATATATATCATTAATAGAATTTAATCTATTTACAATTAATCGCTGTGATGTTGCTGCTATATTGCAAATACAGCATGGAGTCATACTCTCACAGATATATCCTGAAATATACAAATAGAGTATTTACAGTAAGTACCAATATACAATATATACAATCTATTTACAAAGATTCGCTGCGATGTTGCTGGAATATTGCAGATGCAGTGGGAAGTCCTACTCACAAACAGATCCTTACATACACACAATAATTACATGTACAATAAATAGAGAACATAATATGAACATAAGTACATTAAACTGCCATATTTTTGCGGGAATATTGCTAAAAGAGGCATAAAACAAACTCACTTCTTTACAATAAGTACATAATCATATACAATAGACAATGATCTATTTACAATAAAATCGCCATGATGTTGCTGTTATATTGCAAATACGGCGTTAGGTCATACTCTCTCACAAAAACATCCTTTAATATATATACACACATATGAAATATTTACAATAAGTACATATATACAATATATTTATCATCTATTTACAAAGATTCGCTGCAATGTTGCTGGAATATTGCAGATGCAGTGGGAAGTCCTACTCATAAACAGATCCTTACATACACATGATACACACAATAATTACATGTACAATAAATAGAGAACATAATATGAACATAAGTACATTAAACTGCCATATTTTTGCGGGAATATTGCTAAAAGAGGCATAAAACAAACTCACTTCTTTACAATAAGTACATAATCATATACAATAGACAATGATCTATTTACAATAAAATCGCCATGATGTTGCTGTTATATTGCAAATACGGCGTTAGGTCATACTCTCTCACAAAAACATCCTTTAATATATATACACACACATGAAATATTTACAATAAGTACATATATACAATATATTTATCATCTATTTACAAAGATTCGCTGCGATGTTGCTGGAATATTGCAAGTGCGGCGTAAGTCCTACTCACTCACTAGTTATTTACAATGAAGCACACAGATGGGGAAACTGCTTGAAGGGTTGATATGATGGAACATGAGTCATGTTCCATCATATGCCAGTACACACAGCCTTTCACTCTTCAATGTGATCAGCTGTGTGATACTGACGGAAACAGCGTGCACAGAGGCCAACGTGGCAGTCAGGACACCAGGTCCTGACCTTTCCTGCAGAGCCATCGATGGCCCTCTGTCTCTTTCTGCAGAGAACACACTGTTTCCTCTTCCCTTCAGGCAGCACTTCTATGAAGTGACATCCAGTCAGTCGTCGGGAAGGAGGCTGGGTCCTGGGCCTGCCAGTCCTCCTCTTCACCTGAGTGTTCCCGACGAGTGAGTGGAGAAGGGACATGTGGAAGTCCAGACGGGAGGTCGTTCTACCATGGGTGTTCAAGAATGTCTGATAGGCATTAACTGAAATGAAATGAGTATGAAACATTAAAATCAAACATTATGAAATAGCTGTTCAGAAGATAAGGTTCATGTTGATTAATCAGTACAATGAAAATACAGTGGAAGTGGTACCAGATGCGAAATTATTCTGTTATTGTATTCAGTTCATGCCATTTGTTACATATTGGTTGATATTATCAGGATAATGACCGTATAGTTGGTAGTAATGACATAGGTCTAGAATTATAAGTTATTCCTAAATTCCTTGATACCAAATTATTTTATTCTGAATTGCATATAAATAAAATAATTCTTACCTGATGCTGTGAGAAGAAAGTTGATTAAAACTTTCTTCCACAGCTTCACGGAGCGGACTTGGGGATCATAGACACCAATGAGTTGATCCCCAAGGTCAACTCCCCCCATTAGGGTGTTGTACAGTCTAACGACTGAGGGGAGAGTGACAGACCGGCCCCGTGAGTTAAGCCCATCCTCCATTCTGTAAATAAAATATTTCATATTAATTTTTTCAGAAACATGCACATAGAATCTCTATATTCTTTTCATCTTTATGAGAAATTTAAAGTAATTGACACTCATCAAAGCGAACATGTATGAAAGGAAATGGACACTTGGAGTAGGAATCATACTGACTTAACAGCATTACAAATTGGCACTAGTCCTATAAGGACTATTAGAAATGTGCCTTCTTTAACAAAGTTTAAGGGTTTTGCTCTATGTTATTAGTATGTGACTAGTGGACTGAAACTGTTAGTTTCTAACGCTGCTGAACAATGAACAGGATATTGAGCAGTATATTTAATATTTTGAATTTACCTTGGACTACCCATGGTAGAAAGGATTGTGAAGACCTTCCTGTCTGAAAAGAGCACTGCCAGCAGTGGACCCTGTCTTCTCACAATTGTCGAGCCCCTAGGTGGTCTTTTCCCAACGAAAGAGCTCGGCATTCCCTTCCTCCGGACGGCGACAACTCCTGTGCAGAATGTCCCCCTGTCAAATAGAGCATGGCAGAGAGACGGACTGCTGAAGTAGTTGTCGCAGATGATGTGGTGGCCCTTGTCGAGATGCGGTTCCATCAAGTCCATGACCACACTATGCCCAAGACCTTCCTTGGGCGGTGGTCCTCCAAGGTTCCGGCCCTTGTAGATACGAACTTGATGGGTGTAGCCAGTACCCGCCTCGGCAAGGATCCACAACTTCACCCCCCATCTGTGTGCTTTCTTGTTGGCCATGTATTGTACAAGGTGATGTCGCCCTTTGAAGCCAACCATCCTTTCATCAACGCAAACACTCTGGGCCAGCCTGAAAAAAGAAATTGTGTGATATGCAGTACTTAGAAGTTGATAGATGACTAAATAGACACAATTTATGGATAACAACTTATTTATTTACTGTCAAGATGACGTTTCGGTATAGATCCTTATATCTTATTTTTTACTTAAGAAGTTTTCAATAAAAATTTACATGTAACAAGTCCATAACTTTTGGTATATGTAATTTTCATATTGTCATTTTACCGAGATTAATTCATTAGAACCTCACATCAGTGCAACATGAAATAAGTGCCATAATGAATGGTATTCAAATACTTTTCATATGATATATCAGAATGGAGAAAGTAAAAAGGTAACATACCCATGAGAGTTTGCGAATGATCCATTCACAAGATCAAGAACCGGCCTGATCTTGTGGAGGGGGTCATGATCTGGCTGCCCTCGGGGCACTGCAACAGAGTTGTCGTTGCAGTGGAGGAACCGCATGATGACTTGGAAGCGATTCCTCGGCATGATCCCCCCGAAGGAAGGTGTTGATGCCAGCCAGTTCTTGTCCCCCTCATTCCAGTAGGAAGCGATGGTTGGCATCCTGACGACACCCATGGCCAACAAGAGTCCAAGAAATGCCCGCATTTCTTCCCGGTCAACGGGTCTCCACGCCCGAGCCCTGCTCTGCGGTGATAGCGTGCGGCCCTGCAGGTACTGCTCAGCATACCTGTTTGTCTCCCTGACCAGCAGGTCGAACAAATCAACACCTCCATCCCCTCCTCTGAGTTGCTGGTTGAAATAGCATATAGGAGGGGCATGGTAATCTGAAACATATATCATAATGTATGACCACATGAATTATTATAAATCATGCTGACACATATCATCATATTTGATACATGTACATGTAATGATAATCGCAATATCATACAGCTTATATCCACATTTATAACTAAACATCTAATTAACCTTGTGAAATATAATATGAAACAATTCCTTTCTCAGTTTTGGATGACAGGCATTGTCTATGTTGATTATTAATTCATGCACTTAATGATATGTTTATTTATCAATTCCTGTTACCTGGAGGGTTGACAGGGCCGCACTCCTCGGCAAAGTCAATACTGTTGCCGAGGTCAAAGCTGTCCGTGTCCAGCACGGGCAGCCAGGGGCCACGGACCATTGGTTTGGCCCCTGCCTCTTCTTCAGTCTCCGTGTTTTCCTCATTATCTGAAATTTGAAATAATGTTTCTTATTAATAACAATCCCATATAACAGTGCTAAGGGAAAGGATTCCTTATTATAGGGTTTTGCTTTACGTTATCATTATAATATATGGACTAGTGGACAGGGGTAGAAACTAACAAGTTTTGTCCATTCGTCCGCATAATGATAACATACAGCAAAACCTTAAAATTGACCAATTTCTACTAGTCCTTAGGATACCTTTACCATTGGGCAGTTTGGTGAGGACTACAGGACTAGTGCCAATTTCTAACGCTGGTGGACTAAAATGTTTTTTTCTATCGCTGCATTTGCAAATTTTCATGGATGTTTCTTATCATAACTGGAACTCAGCAACTGCTGACTCATGTTTTATTATAATTTATTGATCAAGGGGAGATAAATTGATTTGTTAATGTGCCTCTCCCTTGAATGTACTCCTATTTTGCAAATTGCTTCATGGAAGTTTGTCATTTCTCCAATGTATTTTATGTTTGTTATCAATCTTAAATTTCAATAAAAATAAAAATATATTATATATATACACATAGACCTATAGACATATATTTAGTTTATTGAAGGAACTTTTTCAGACCCTGTAGATCAAGTGCATATTTTACAACACAGTATCAATAATCATGTGGCAACTTTATTTTCATCAAGACTAATATTTTGCTTTTAATTAATATGTATAACCTTTGACCTTTTTAGTTTCAGTACAGATTGAACATGTTGAAAGACTTATTCTTCATTACTACTAGATAAAGATAAGATTAGGATAATCATATCATTATGTGCACCACATGAATTTATTAATGACAAATGAAGGGCTTCCTTGAGTAGTCACAGGGAAACAGTTGTGTAATCATGACACAAACATTTTCAGGGTTAGAACTAAAATCAAAAGCTTTACAATGATGGTAAATTTTCATAAAAAAATTGGCCATAGCTTCCGCGGCTCCGGGCTACCTGCCCGGTGAGGGAACATTTGTTCAGTGCGCTGACCCCCCAACCCATTGGCGCAAGGACAACAGTCACTTGGTGCAATGCCACTCCCCTTTCCCCTTAGTAAGTTATAATAAATATTAATCTACATCCTCAATGATATATCAATAACAATTTACATTTAAAATGTATGACACATATTCATTTATTTTTAATATTTCAAAATAAGTAACTTATAGTAAGACCTTTCAGATTTATGAGGACTGACACATTATACTCCTTTAAAAATATGGCTTCAGGTCCAAAGTGTGAACTAGTGTGTCCTTCAAGATAAATTTAATTTTTAACAAAGACAATTTTCCATTAATATTACTGCATACTGCACTTTAGCAAACGCACGTGTAGGCCACATATTGACATGTTAAAATTTCACTACCATGAGAGCCTTTCTTTCAACATGTTCAAATCATTTCTAAGATTCATATTTCATGAAATACTAAACAAGGAAGTTGGCTGTTTCTACTATGTCGATCATGGTATGGTAGATATTTTTAACATTTGAAACATCACAACTGTCAAGAGTACATCTAGCCATACAATTTCGAAAATTGCAAAAACATAACAAATTCCTATTCCCGCCATTGGTTTGGCACTGACAGTACACCTACTCAATTATTAATGAAAATGAATTAATGTTACTTACCGCTTATCTCTTCCTGGGAGTCGGACTCGGAGTCGGAATCGAGAGAATCGACGGATATGTCCGACTCGAAGTCCGACTCCCCCAAATCATCGTCGTCGCCAATTCCCACTGCAGACATTCCTTCTTGGTTGACAGCTTCGATCGCAATGTTGTCGTCTGTCACATGGGGCTATTTTTATCCCTATGAATATTCATGCTCTCGGCGGGAGGCGAACGTTTCTTAAAATTTGATTTGTGTTCAACGCGCTGATTCGATAAACAAAGCACGAAGATAAAGATTAAAGCATATAATGTATAAATATTTACATTGGATGTCATATTTAACACTGTTGGTGATTTCAACATCGAACTTTGTTTTGTTTTACTCGGGCACCTGTAACCTCTGTGACGTGTCATGTCAAAGGTCGCGGGTCACGGTATTTCGTTCCAGACGAACAATCGGAAATTTGCCGCTCTTGCCAACCCCGTTATGGTGGATGATTGAAACCAAACTGTCGATAACCGTAACAGCTTCATTTGTTTTCGTGAAATAAAAAAACTTAGTCTTGCAATAATAATAAGGTATTTAACAATAACAAACCGCATGAATACAAAATTTACATACTTAAATTAAACGAAAGATTATTAATAATTCAGTAATGAATTCTACTGTCAAAGAGCTAGCTATTTATATTTAGACAAACGAACTAATAATAAATATATAGATTCATCGGGGACCGGTATTCAAGTAATTTTAACTGACATTTACACGTTCATACTTCAACATCAAATAGTTCTTGTTTATATACTTATATAACCAATAAATTATAAATATATTCGACACTGCATAAGATCCTATGTGCCGTTGCTACCAACCTACTTTTCAACGTCTTTTAATAAATTGACACGCCTCATTAAACATACGAAAACGTGACTTACATATAATCAGTCACAAAGCATGAACAACACAGACCCAAAAGGGTGTGTCAACGTTTATCATGTGCGTTTTCGTTTCTTCTGGGAGACATGCTTTCGACTTTTTTTCTCTCATGAAAAGTACCGCTAAGCGACCTTCAACTTCGGTCGCCATTTTGTTTTAAGTTTCGGCTAAAAAGTTGCGGTACCTTTTCTGTGTTTTTGCAGAATTTGAGGCTTAGGAAGCATGAATGGAATTTCTAAGTATACGTATGAATATGAGAAGTGGCACATTTTCACACAGACTGTTTTTAAAAGATGTCAGTAGGTATGTATAACTGTATGAATGTTTTTGAATACGCTTTGATATGAATGTGATGAACGAGGCCTTGAACAAATACTGTAAAAAAAATATATACACTCCATTCACCATCGATAAACTGGGCATTTAGTTGGTTTCATTAGCTAATTAATACATAGATGCGTAGATATTTGACCATTTTCAATCTTTTAACCAAAATATTTATGTAGGTTTCAAACATTCCTTCGCATATGGATTTTCAATCAGTCGGTGCAATTTGTTCGAAATGAAAAAATATTTCAATGGCGGCACATTTGAACGAAAGTGTAAACAAGGGGAATTTGACTAACTCCATATGCGTTATTTATTGACAGTAGAGTTGTGAAAATGACACAGATGTGTTGGAAATTTACTGCTTTTTGCGATGTTGCAATTGCTATGGGCTTGGGTTAATCCAAAAATATTTTATTTCAATTCTTTTAACATGATGTTTCAGAAGGACATATATGTCCCTCTGGCACAGCAACTGCGTTTTGTGTAGGGACATATATGTCCAAATGGCATCCAGGGGGTTAAGTAGGGGAATATCCTCGTAACTATCCATTCTTAAATATAATTGGGCCCGCCCCCTGCGGGCCCTTTCCTCCATTATTTTTAAGGAATGGAGAGGTACTCGGACATTCCCCTCTACATAATTCACAATCAGGGTTGACGAGCAAATCCAGGCTGTCAACATACTGGCACAAAGTGATCATTTCGTGACGAATAGAGCCTGTAAAAGTCACACCACGATCCTTTAAATACATCTTCAACAGCAGTACAATCTTTGATGAGAACATAGTTGATATGTTCTTGAAATCACAAGCTTAGAACGTAAATAAACAATATCGTCTCTCGACGAACAATCTCGATCTGCTCGGCAGTCTGACAGCGTTTCGTTTACCCGTTGTCATGCCTTTAGTCACGTGTCATAAGGGGCAGATAACTCTGAACGGCAAAACTGGTTCAAAATACACGTCGAGTCGCTGACAATTGGGTTTTAAAACTTACAAGGTACAAATGAACCCCATCCCCAATTGAGTCTATGTCCAACTTCATTCCCAAAAAAAAATTTAAAATAAAAATAAGAAAAATCCCAAAATATCAAAAGGCACCACTTCAGTATGTGCCTGATAGCTTTGCCAAGTTTTGATCAAATACACTTAATGGTTTTGGAATTCTGCCCCGGAAACGAACCCCATCCCCAATTGAGTCTATGTTCAACTTCATTCCATAAATATTTTAAAAAAATAAAAATTAGAAAAATCCCAAATTAGAAAAAGGCACCACTTCAGTATGTGCCTGATAGATTTGCCAAGTTTCGATCAAATACACTGAATGGTTTTGGAATTCTGCCCCGGAAAAGGAAATGATTATGGACGGACAGACGGACGGACGGACAGACAGACTGGCTGATCGCTATATCCCCCCGCATTATATGCCGGGGGATAACAAACAAACAAACCATCTGAAAATATGAGGTCCTAAAGTACTTCCATTATAAATGTCTTGGACACTGCAGAAAGACTTTTAAAAACTCAACAGAGAAGTCATAAGTACTTGGGCTTTTCTTATTTTTCGTGGTTGTACTGCTTTTGGTGCTGCCTTTGTTTTGTTTTTCTAATTTATTCATAAGATGTATATTTTTTGTGTTTTATCAACTTTAGATATTTTCATGGTTTTCATTTTCTTCATTGATAGAGTTTCTTTTGTTCTTGTAAATTCACGTGTCCGCGAATCATTTCCTCTCCGATGTCATCGCTTGATTAGTTTATTTATGAGTTTACTTGTGTAAATTCTGTTTTCTAAGTGGCAGAAGTAACTACATTTACATTTATTAGATTTACGATAATCTTAGTGCTAAGGTCATATCGAAAATCTAGGCCCAGAAACTATTACTTACAGACTTTCGGGACATCATCACAGCAGAACGATCAATTTTATTTCTGCAGACATCTGAGTTAAAGGGAGCGACTTAAAATTTAACGTCGCATCGTGGAGGCATCTGAAGTCATGTGTGTGTCGCCTGGTGTACATAATACATGTTACTCTTCAAATGTCTGACGTCATCTGTGTGTTGACATGAAGTAATATTTTCCCCTCATAACAATATCCCTTTTTAGTATGGCTGCTATTTCTGAACACAAAAATCACTTGAGTCCAGTCACAAGATGACACACGTAGGTCAAAGATTCAGTAGCGAGTAAACCCTCAACGTGCCCGGATGACGGCCTCCACACTGTGTCTCATCCCTCCAGTCAGACGCCTGATCTGCTTAATGGGCAACTACAGTTACGCCCAATGCAAAGCTACTTCCAATTCAACCAGATTCTGTACAGGAGACTCTAGTCAAGGCAGAGTCGCACAACATTGTTCTGAAGATGGCTGTCACTGTCTGGGTGAGATTTGGTCTGGCATTACCATCCATAAACTGAGGCCTTGTGGTGAGTGGGTGGTTTTCGAAATGGGGTTCCAGGGCATCTCAGATGTACTGATTACCTGTGATGTTGCATTGTGTGGCGACCGGTGTATAGTCGTATTCCTGTCTCCAAACCCTCAGTCGCCCATCCGTGACGGGGAGCAGAAACCTGCTTTCGTCCCACCAACGGCATTTCCCCCAGGTTCTCAGATAACAATTCTTGCAGCTCAAGCGGATCCTGGAGATTTTGTAGGACAGGTCTCTATTGGGTAGCCATTTGTCGTTTCACGACGGAACTCATTGCAAATGGCTATCCTGAGCATGGTCCTTCCATCACATGTTAATGTTCACTGGGGATCATAAAACACTGAAAGACTGCAGACTTTAATGCACCAAATATGATGCCTGAACATACTGTATTTTGGAGAATGTATTAGTGACATTAAAGGTGACATGTTATTATTCTTTATCTCAGGGGGTGTGTGATGGAAGCTAGTAGGTACTGTAAAACCATGGAATGTGTGCTGCAATCAGATTGTTTGAAAAACATGACTAAAATGGAATTCGAAGCTAGGAATCTCAAGGGACATGTTCCACAAATCGGTTTAAAACGATTGTATCTCCCATACTTTTAACATTTACTTTCGACAGTCATTGTCTTAATTTGTTTTATGTGAAAGAGCCTGTACTGTACACTGCACATGAATATTTTCCTGACAAATTATCTTCTTTTCTAAAAACAATTTTTATTAATGTGCCATTTGGCTTGGTCAAATATATAGCACATTCATTAAATATTAAGTTGGATCAATATTTATCAAAACAACATTGATCTAGTTGTTTTTTCCACATTCTGATAACCAAGCAAGGCATGTGACATCATAGCATTCAAGAGTGACATCATGTCTGTCTTGAGTCTATGTTCATGTAGCAAGAGAGTGTTTCAGAAAATGAAGTTTATTTCGATAACGTGTTTTCAGAAGTTTGTGTCTCTTAAATCGAGCTGGGGGAGCCATTCTGACCTGGAATCCCTTACGAAAGACAAACCAGTGGTTGATAATGTGAGCACCAACCCACAACAGTTCAGCAGGCAAATGGTTTCTACAGATCTCAACACAACTAGCTACTCCTTCAAAATCATAACACAACATATATTTTTTCAAATTTTTTATTACTTTCTTACAAAGAACCCATGAGGGGCTCAAAATTCAAACAGGACAACTCAAATCTATTGTTTTCTTATTGATGCATTACTGCACTGATTGTTTCACGATGTCTCTGTACAATATTTACGTGTGTACACTGTTTCTCCTACCTATAAATGAACATCTAAACAACCTATTGTCCAGAAATGTATCCGATCCTTTTAAACGCTGCAGTAAAAAACTTCCCACCTGCGTCTGGTTGACCTATAAATGATTGAGTGTTGGCCATGCAAACCAGTGGCTAATATTCAGAACAATGTGCTACTCTGTTGGGTATGATCACAGGGCAAGAATATATGATCCTAATTTAGTCACTTCTTTCAAAGAGCAATAGTGAGTGAGTGAGTGAGTGAGTTAAGTTTAACGCTGCTCTTAACAGTATTCCAGTAACCTTGCGGTGTGTCAGCTTAACGTGGGAGGAAAGCCCGAAGTGATAGAGGTCTCAGATGTTAACCACTACGGTGAAACCCGGGTATGGTGCTGACAAACCTAGAAATATAATCAGGGCGAACCGGGATTCGAACCCACAATCATAGGTTTCTGGCATGCCCAAGGGACGCAACTCTGCACAGTGAATCGCGGCGCCTTAGACGACTGGGCCACCTGTGCCCCCTTCAAAGAGCAATAGCTTGGGAGGGACCTAATTTATCCTAGATCTCTGCATGAAAATAATGCATCTGATTTAAACTTCCTTATGATGCAAATTATACAAAGATAGCAGGCTTTCCTGTCGGGTAAATTCTGAGGGAAAAAGTTGCTTCTTGACCTTTGGGAAAGAAATTTTATTTGAAATGACGACTTTTTGAGTAAAGTGATCTTTTCCACTATGAAATATTTAAATTCATTCAAATCGAAAAGCATTAAATGCATGTAATCTTTTCATTATCAGGGAATCAACATTCCAGTGTGGAGTGAGTGAATGTTGTTTTAAGCCACTGTCAATATCCCTGCAGTGTGACCTGATTGTGAAAAACAATCTGGGCCAGGCAGACCATCATCCCACACCAATCCATGCCATCAAGCCAGGGTAACACACAGCTTGTCCAACTGATTTGATTTCATTTGCCCCATGATGAGAACAGGATATGTGAGGCCTATTCTCAGCAAACACAATAAACAAGTGTTCTATTATCTACATATTCTATCACGCTTTTTTGAGAGTGACTTGTGAGGGAATTACAGTGACACATTTCGGTGATACCTTAACCTATAGTTCAGTGAAAAGTGATCTCAAGAAGTTCCAATTAAAATAGTGGCATAGTCTTTTTCTCAACCCAGTGATCCAATACCCTTCTCTCTATATGAATAGAGTGAAATGTGATCACAGAAATGTACCCTACCTACTATCATGTCCTATTTCATTGAAAAACTCAATGCATCAGCAATTATACCATCTTGTGTTCTCAGTATGACTTCAACTTTGCAAAAGCTTCTTTAAAAAAACTCCCTTATGTCTTTATTGCACAATATTTTACACGATACATTTTTGTCTTGTCCAGCGGTAGAAACTAACACTAGTCCACTAGTCCTTATAATGATAACACATAGCAAAACCCTTAATAACAACTAATTTTTACTAGTCCTTATGAAACCTTTACTACTGGGCAGTTTGGTAAGGACTACAGGACTAGTGCCAGTTTCTAACGCTGCTTGTCTAAGAATCCAGAGGGTCATTTTTAATAGACTTAAATTCCTGTGAAGTGAGTCAACAGCTGGCATCTAAGAGAAACAATAACCCATGTTACATAGCACTAAGATAACACATATTAATATGGCAAACAATAGAACTAGTGCTTTAAAACTCTATCGTATGAGTATAGTTATCCAATAAAGTAGACATTATTCTTAAGTAGACAATGTGAGCTGTAGTCTAATAATTACACTTCTAATTGTTCAAATCATTTGGAGGTAGTGGAGTGGTAAATACTTTCACCTGTCACAACAAAGGTCTGGGTTTGATTCCTCACTTGGGCCCAATTCTGGTGTCCTACCCTGATATTGCCAGAATATTGCTAAAATGACGTAAAACCCAACTCACTCACTCAAAACACTTTTCTTAAAGTTTACAGGATTTGATGGTTAACATTCAAAAAAATTGTTTTAAAAGCTTAATCTTTGGTAAAGAAATATTTTTAAATCTCAATACAAAGGGGTTACATTGCTCTCATTGTTTTGTACTATGAATGTTCTTAATCAGTCAATTGAGTTTACTTGTCTTTGAAGACTTTAGTCCTGTTCCAGAATAAATTCTCTTTATGTACAAAGCATATACAAACAAATACTTCCTATTAACATGATGAAGTTCAATAATACAATAACCACTATGAAAATTTGACATTTTATTTTCTGACAAACAATTTATTAAACCTAGAATAGATTTGGAAGTATCCACCAAATGAGTGATGAACGTTTACTGATCTAGATATTTGATAATTTTAACAACTGATAAACATAACCATTCACTGATTCAGATATACCTAAATCCTAACGTTTATACATCTTTTAATGAGAGTGAGGTTTTGTTTTATTTTCAGTGTTATTTCAGCAAAATGGTGGGCTCCCACTTCAAAAAGTAATTAACAGGACCGTGTAAGGAATCAAACCTGGTACTTCTATTTGACATGCGAGTGCCTTAACCACTATGCCATAATCCCCCAACATCTTTGTCATACTGTCCCAGAATAGAACACAAACATACCTCCATCATGGTGTAGAGTAATTTGTTTGTCTGACGCGCCAGTTCGTTGATTTAGGAATTAATCACATGAGCAATTAATCAAACTTCAAATTGTAAAGGGCGCAAATCAAAGATAGTAATTGTCTAAGTTATAATATCATAAATTAAATAACAAAATAAACAATTCCATCTGTCAGTATGTTGCTACACAGATTCCATGTCCACATTAACTGATGATGGCGTATAGCGTTTCACTGTGTAGACTCAGCACGTCTTTCACTGTTGCCGACGTTAACGCTCCCTTGTTGTCTCTTGTTTTGCTGACCGTCACAGTAGAACTGTTGACACCAAAAACAGCTCTAACCTGGAACCCAGAACAATATTTTCTGTACCCATAATAAACTTTGTCATCAGAGATGTTTTCCTACATAGAAATTCAGAAATAGCCACTTTTATAAAAAAAATACCATTTTCAGACAAAACCAGTATAGTTGGTTGGTTGGTTTGTTGTTTAACGCCGCACTCAGTAATATTACAGCTTTATGATGGCGGTCTGTAAATAATGGAGTCTGGACCAGACAATCCAGTGATTAATATCATGAGCATCGATCCATGCAATTGGAATCGATTACATGCTTCAACCAAGTCAGCGAGCCTTACCACCCGATCCCGTTAGTCACCTTTTACGACAAGCATAGTCACCTTTAAGGCAAGCATGGGTTGCTGAAGACCTATTCTATCCCGGAATCTTCACGGGTACAAAACCAGTATAATTAAAATCAGATCTGTTTCTCTGATACATCTGCATGAACATCTGACAACCCCTTCAAAGGATGTCGCAAAAACTGACGGCTAATTCTAAATGAAAGACATGTGGGTTCTTGAGACCATCAAATGTCAGCTTTCTAACGTGATTCAAGTTCATTTATTTACCACTACAAATTTTAATTTTTAAAATAGAATATCCACAGAGTACACAAATTTTTATTTGATGGTACTCATGTTTGGTTGTAGGTGCTATAGCAATCAGAAATTACAGGGTGTTTACAATATTCACAACATAATTGTGCAGCCTTTATTGTTAACATTCAGAACTAGCTGCTTCACTCACTTATATCTAAAATTTAGAAGCCTCAACGCTTATTGCCTCTTCACTGAAATGACCTCCTTTGGGGGCAATGTGAGACTTTCATGCAGAGAGGAATTGTATCTGTGTAAAATATGTGATTATATGGGGAATGAGACAGAACATAAGTATAGAAAAATGTAAGGATATATATTGATAATGAAAAGGATATGAACAAAGTAACTCACCTGGTCTACAAGTTGGTCTACAGAAAGGGTATCACCTCGAGGGTTCTCCAAGAGTAATGTCCCCTTCTCAGCCTTGCCTTTTGACCTGATGACCTCAACATTAGCAAAGTGACACACTGGTGTGGTGACCCCTGCTGGTGTTGGACCTGACTGATTGGATGAACCAGATATATAAAGTGTTCGTGTGGAGTAGTCGGCCATCTTGGAATCAGGTGAGAACTGTTTTGTGCGAGCAGCATCTTCGAACACCTTCACTGTCTGTCCCCGAACTCCAAACACCCTTTGTGCCTGTTGTGAAAAGTAGCAAAATGAAAGATTGCATCGATATTAAAACACTGCCATCAGAAACATTAAGCATTTTTGTTTATGGCTCTGAGCTAAAAGGATAAAAATAACTAAACAATTGTTGAAAATTATTTTATTTAATATCTCCTTATTTGATGGATGAGAAAAGTAAAAATATTTCGTTCCACTACAAAAATAATATTAGGGTTAATTACTGAGAGTGCACCCACTGCTAACAACTAAATTTCCCGACGGTATGGACTGTTGCTCATATTTTCAATCACTGACTTGTCTGGTACAGATGCAATTATGTACAGGCCAACGTCATGTAGCTGGAGTGAACTGACAACAAACAAACAACGAAACAAAGTGTTTCCTGGCATGGACGAGGTAAACCAGCAGTAGCTACACCATATTGCTATATATATATACATCCACTCCAAGTGGGCATTGTGACCAACCAACTCGCATTACAGTCACACTTCACCATATGCATCAGGATATATTCTCCAAACGAATCTATAGGTTTCACAAGTTTGGATACTTACACAAAGACAGAGATCATGAATTTGAAACATATTCTTGTAAACGTACACCAAAACATCTTATTTTATTTTATTTTATTTTATTACGCACACTGCTTACTTAATGCATATCAAACTTCACATTGATAGATGCAGAAATGACTGATGTCAAAAAATGATATTTCAATATGGCTGCCACGGGCAGCCATGTCTAATATCAAATCAGAACTGAGCACAATTCAGAGACACAACAGCTGGGATCCTTCATGCAAAGTTTCAGCTTCAAAGCCTTTGTAGTTTCAGAGATGTCGAAAATGTAAAAGTTAATGGCTGACAGATGACAGACAACTCCCCACAAAATTAGCTCACTGACTCACAGCCAGGTGAGGGGAAAATTAAATCTTGACCAGGGATGAGCAACGTTCCATCCCATCAAGTTGAACATATTTGTAAGACATTGGACTCAGAACTCATACAATTAAAAACATTAGTTAAACTACCATTAGCCCAAATCCCTTTTCAGTGATGATATAGTCTGATGAGCCTCTAAATGAATCCACTCAAATAAGTCAAATTAAATCACACAACTAATTTTGATCAGCAAATAACCCTCACGTGAAATCAAACAATTTCCAAATACAAGCCTACCTCAGCTGCCAAGTCTTTTGCTGCCAGTGGGAAGCTCCCGACAGGGTTCTCCAACAGTAATGTGCCTTGTCTGCCAGTGAAACCCTCTTGGGCAACAGCTCCTAACAGGGTCAGGTTTAGAAACCTACAATTAGGCTTCACACCATTCTTGACAGGAGCCGGAGCAAGATGTGATGTTGTGGAGCTTGAAGGAGCTCCTGATGCAGTGCCTCGTCTTACGATGGCTAGTTCTATCTTGTCAGACTTGATCTGGAATGAACAGAGGAACAGTATGTAACCAACCAAATGATACCGGATGTAAAATAGTGCTCCCATACTCTAAAAAGTGTCACTGCACTGTAGTACGTCAAATTCACCTTCAGAAGAGGGACTTGGATTAGTTGTTGATATCTAGCTGATGAACCAGAGAAATTCCTGCTCAGTCCATAAAAGTAGAAATTGGGATGATGGTCATTAAAGTTTTGGAATTCACTGACTGGAATCGCCATTAGCATGGATTGAAACACCAACAATTATAGAAGAAGCCTCAGAAATCCCTAACAGACAGGCCAAGGTAAATCCCCTATTTGGATAACAAGTGTACCGGTGTTCAAAATTAAGCATGAAATTTGCCCTAACTCTAGTAACAAATAACGAAAGAGGGTTCCTTACACTCAATTGCTACATGGGCGGATCCAGAGATGGGGGGGGGGGGGGGGGGTCCAGTTGTCCGCCCCCCACCGCCCCCTTAAAAACCAAATGTAGTATGTTGAGGCAGAAAAATTGACAGAGAGAATTTTGACATTTTGGACCCCTTCCTTTTAAAAATGCTGGATCCGCCCTTGAGCTTGAGTGGCAAACCTGAAATTTCAGACACTTTGAGACGCTGTTTAATAACATAATGGGTGACTGCTAGGCCCTTACCTCCGAGCTCTCCTTGATGAGTTGCTCCCCCTGGGCAGGGTAGACAGCCAGGGGCTGCTTGATGGTGGAGAAGATGAAGTCGGAGAACTCGCTGATGATACGAGTCAAGTTTGACGAGGCCTGGTAGAACACGGTGATCTCATCTTGGGGAGCCAGATTTGCCTGAAGAGCAGTATGAGATCATTCAACACTAGATTATCTTACATACATAGTAGTGTGTGACAGTGAGAAGGCTTGTTGTTTTTTCTTGTTTGTTTGGTGTTTTAAGGCAGACTTAACAATATTTCAGCTTTATGATGGCGGCCTGTGGGGCCTGTAAATAATCAAGACTTGCAAGAATGATCCACTGATCCACTAAGTCACCTCTTAAACCAGCATATTAGGAACCTATTCTAGCCCGGGATACCCATGGGGAGAGAGTGACAGTGAGATTGTGAGGAGTGAGACTGTGAGAGGAGGCTGTGGGTGAGGAAGTGTAAGTAACATTGTAAGTAAAAAAGTGTAAGTAACATTGTAAGTAAGAAAGCGTAAGTAAGATTGCTAGTAAGAAAGCGTAAGTATGATTGCATGTAAAAAAGCATAAGTAATAAAGTGTAAGTAAGACAGTAAGTAAGAAAGCTTAAGTAATAAATCATAAGTAAGATTGTAAGTAAAAAAGTATAAATAAGATTGTAAGTAAGAAAGCGTAAGTAAGATTGCAATTAAGAAAGTGTAAGTAAGATTGCAAGTGAGTGAGTGAGTGAGTGAGTGAGTGAGAGTATGGTTTTACGCCGCTTTTAGCAATATTCCAGCAATATCACGGCAGGGGACACCAGAAATGGACTTCACACATTGTACCCCTTCACACATTGTACCTGGGAATCTAACCTGGGTCTTCGGCGTGGCGTGCGAACGCTTTAACCACTAGGTTACCCGACCGCCCTGATTGCAAGTGAGAAAGTGTAGGTAAGATTGCAAGTAAGAAAGTGTAAGTAAGATTGCAAGTAAGAAAGCATAAGTAATAAAGCGTAAGTAAGATTGTACGTAAGGAAGTGTAAATAAGACAGTAAGTAAGAAAGTGTATGTAAGATTGTAAGTAAGAAAGTGTAAGTAATAAAGCGTAAGTAAGATTGTATGTAAGGAAGCGTAACTAAGACAGTAAGCAAGAAAGCGAAGTAACATTGTCAGTAACAAAGCGTATTTAAGGTTGTAAGTAAGAAAGCATAAGAAAAATTGCCAGTAAGAAAGCATAAGTAGTATTGCATGAAAGAAAGCGTAAGTAAGGTTGTAAGTTAGAGAGTGTAAATAACTACTGTAATTAAGAGAGAGTAAGTAAGATTGTAAGTAAGTGGGCATAAGATTGTTATAAAGTGCTCAAAAGTAAATAGCGTGAACAATTGAGAGTGAAAGTTAGTTATTGAGAGAATGGTTTGAGGTTTCACCTTCTTCCTGAGTTTCTGTATACGGTTGATGACTTCTCTGGCCACCCCCTCATCCAACATGGACTGGTCTGGACTCACGTCCAGCAACACTAGGAGCTGAAACATGAAGCAACATCAGCATCAACATCAGCATCAACATCAGCATCAAAAATGCATAGAACAGAATTTCAGGATGTCCGAACTCAGGCTGGTACTACATGTCTACCACTTTGGCTGAAATATTTTTCGGGTATTGTATTGACCAACCATGCAAGGATCAAAGAGTAAACTTGGGGTCCAAACCCACAATCAGGAAATCCTGACAGGACCAAGGCAGGTAATTCTACAAAGCAAACTCCAGTATCTTAGATGATTGTGGCATCTAGACCCATCCACACAGTCACTCACACCCAAAACACCATGTTGTCCACAATCAAAGTGCATCCAGTCTTACGCATTTTGAGTACTCATTGTTAGATGAATGAGTGAGTATGGTTTTACGCCGCTTTTAGCAATATTCCAGCAACATCATGGCAGGAGACACCAGAAATGGGCTTCACACATTTTACCCATCTGGGAAATCGAACCCAGGTCTTAGGCGTGACGAGCAAACGTTTTAACCACTGGGCTACCCAACCGCCCCCGCATTGTTAGATACTTGAACAGAATATGTTCTTCAAAGAACATAAACTATCTATAGAAAATATTATTCTAAAATAGGACGGACATACAGCAAGTAAAATAACAAACAGACAACACCATGACTTGCATGAACATGGTCAATTAAGTTTTCGTAGAGTTATCTCCCTTTAAGTAACAAACAAAAACAGTTGCCAGTACTGCAGAATATTGTCATGGAAACCAACTCACCTCTCCTTCTGAATGAGCTTCATACTGTTCACTCTTGCCAGCCACTTTATCCTCGACACTGTACATTATTCTCAGATCTTCTCGTGCCAGGACATGTCCTCCCACAGTTATCTCCCCTGATTTCTGGAACGCTACAAGCTGTGCATCTGTCAGCTGTTGGATATCCTTCATAACGTTCTTGAAGTCTCCCTTGAGTCTGGCGCCGAGGACTCGGTGATCAGGCTCGGCCTTCAGACGGACGCCATACTTCTCCTTGTTGGTTGTGGTGGTCAGGTACCGTACATTCAACTCCTGGATGATATTGACAGATGGCAGATTGAAAACAAGGTAAGTTTATCTCTTAAATCAATGCAGAGCTAAGTTACCTTTAGATATAACCTCGCTAATTTGAATTTGGAACCGAACTTGCAGCAGGAGGTTTCAAATGTTAAATTTAGCGCAGTTAAATATACAGGTAACCTAGCTCGACATCAAAAACACAGTAGGCTTATCTCCATTCTACCATGACTAAATAAAACGCATACTCTTTGGTGTTAGGTAATACATTGAGTGAAGCCGTATGGAGTATATATATATACTCACCACAAAAAGAAACGTGAACCATAGAAACATATAGAGAAGTATATACGTTAAGAAGAGATGTTACCAAGGTGTACAATTAATGACAAAACTAACACTCAGAGTGTCTTTTTCTTATCAGATATGCTGCACATGATTTCCAAAACTTTACATGCTAATCCTGCACAAGACAAATGGTGCATCTCGAGTCATGGATCTTTGACGTCCCATGATGGTTTCATGAGCGTCTGTTCACACAACATAATGTTCATTTGTGGTCATTTGACCAACAAATATGCAGTTCACGTTTCTTTTGTTGGTGACTATACATACACACGAAGAAAATTGTTATTCAGTTGTGTATGCTCTGGTTATCTTAGATTTCTTCAGTTTTCTACACTTACCACAAAACAAAGATATCAAACAATCTGACAAGGAGTGTCACAGCAGGGATTCAGAGGTAACACAATGTATTGAACTTTGGTTGAACTTTCATCAGGTTAATATGTGATATTTAATCATGTGACGTGATATTTGTTTGTCTTTGAAACAGAAAAACTACATAATTCTGCAAGATCTTTAGTGAAAATTAGGATTATAAGTCTACAAATTTTGTCAATAATCTTATATGCTGTTGTGTCCTGGCAAATGTTGAAAAAATATGTTGTTTCAGAGCTAATTAATCAGATGGATGTTTAACAATGTATGCAGAATCTTCCACATCTACATCAGTTTGTGTGTAGCTCTACACCACTGTCAGCCTGTACACGCTTGAATCCGGGACAGACAAACCAGTGGTTGATATTATGAGCCATCAGGATGATGACACACTTCGAGTGAGTGAGTGAGTGAGTGAGTTGGGTTTAGCGCAGCTTTTGACAGTATTCCAGTTATATCACGGCGTGTCAGCTTAATATGGGAGGAAAGCCCGAAGTGATCCAGGTCAGACGTTTACCACTTGGGTGAAACCAACGAGCACGGGTATGGTGCTGACAAACTTAGAAACATAATCGGAGCGAACCGGGTTTCGAACCCACAATCATAGGTTTCTGGCGTGCCCAAGGGACGCAACTCTGCACAGCGAATCGCAGCTCCTTAAACGATTGGGCCACCCGTGCCCCAGACACACATTCTACCAAGTCATCAACTGTGACAACTGATCCATTGAGTTGCCTCTGAAGACAAGATAAGGCTACAGGGAACCCATTCTAACACAGGTCCTCATGGAGAATAGTGTACATAATCTCACCTGTACGATGTATTTCTCCAAGGACCTGATGTCCTCCAGGGCACTGGGGTCTTGATGGATGGCAACCACTTCCTTCAGTGGGTACTGTAGCAGACAAAAACACTTGATCAATCAGATCAAATCATCCATAGAACATTTAATCCTGACAATCTAAGTGAGTGAGTGAGTTGGGTTTAACGCCGCTTTTAACATTATTCCAGTTACATCACGGCGTGTCAGCTTAATGTGGGAGGAAAGCCCAAAGTCATGCAGGTCCCAGACTTTTACCACTTTGGTGAAACCCACGAGCATGGGTATCGTGCTGACAAACCTTGAAACATAATCAGGGCGAACCGGGATATCAGTGAGTGAGTGAGTGAGTGAGTATGGTTTTACGCCGCTTTTAGCAATATTCCAGCAATATCATGGCGGGGGGACACCCGGAATGGGCTTCACACATTGTACCCATGTAGGGAATCGAACCCGGGTCTTTGGCGTGACGGGCGAACGCTTTAACCACTAGGCTACCTGACCACCCTGGCAATCTAAGAACAAACCTGTGCAAAGCCATGTAGCCATGACTACAGTGTGAGTGAATGTTGTTTTATGTCACAATCAGCAATCAGGTCGCAACTACATCACACAATCCTATGTTTGAGTACTGAGGCCTATTCAAAAACTAGATACTGAAAGATTGATTTCTCTTCCTTCTGGAAATTCTTTTGCATGTGGCCCTGACCCACTCCCCTGGCCAAACAAGTAGACCTGCACAAACTAACACCTCACCTTCACTGGCATAGTCTTCCTGTCTCGGATGACTCGGCCCAGCTCAATGACAGTCTGCATGCTGGAGACAGCATTCTCAATCTTTGTGTCTATCAGTATGGCCCTGTTAACATGACAGAAGACATGTATTCAGCACCATGCAGCAGCCCAGACAGACCTATATATGGCAGTGTGTAAACCACAACCAAGGGGTAACTTTACTCAGGGTCAAACAGGCAGTGATATGGTCTGGGGAACAGAATTTCGGCAAACGGTCTAGCAGCTATATATATGTGTCTATGATCAGCAAACTAACTGCTATTACAATGCTAACTGTGTGCCAACAATCTGTCAATGTAAAAAGTCTGTCAACAATCAGCAAACCGTCTACAGTCAGTCTGTGAAACATGTGCCAACAAATTGGCAATAATCTGCAACATTCCTCCAAAGATATGCAAAATACCTGCCACCAGTCAGTAACCAGTTTAGTCACAATCTGTCTGCAGAGAGAGAAAATTATAAACAGTCTGCAAACAGTCTCCCTGTCTGTCAGCTTTGCCTGTCTGCCAACTGTCTGTCTACTGTCTGCCAACAGTCTGTCTTTCAGTACGTCTGCCTGTTTGGCAACTGTCTGAGAACTGTCTGTCAACTGTCTGAGAACTGTCTGTCAACTGTCTGTGAACAATCTGCCTGTTTGCCAACTGTCTGTCTGTCTGCCAACTGTCTGCCAACTGACCTGGGTTGAGGCAGCATGAGGAAGTGGACACTCCGGGTGTCCTCCTTGCTGGTGGGAGACTGCGGCTGGTAGCGGCGGAGATTCTGGTACATCAGCTCAGTCAGGAACGGTGTGAACGGTGCCTGCAAGGGAGACAATCTAGCATCTGTACCAACTGTTAACAACTTGTTGCAGACTACACTGGAACCCATGTTCTCCTGAGTATTTCAGATGAGGGACAAATCATTATTGTTGCAGCTTTATCTTGTTGTCTTACAACAAGATCAACAAACAAACAGACAGTGTCAGAGAAAAAAGTTTAACAAATATGGTTTTACATTGGTTTATTTGATTGTTTGTTGTTTAATGCCGCACTCAGCAATATTCCAGCTATATGACGGCAGTCTGTAAATAATCAAATCTGGACCAGACAATCCAGTGATTGACATCATGAGCATCGATCCACGCAATTGGGATCGATGACATGTATCAACCAAGTCAGCGAGCCTGACCACCCAATCCTGTTAATCGACTCTTACGACAAGCATAGTCGCCTTTTACTGCAAGACCTATTCTACCACAGATCTTCACAGAAGTAGTATAGGTAATGGGGGTTCTGGACCACTTCCACTGGAGCCGGATTCATATACCTATACTGCTACTACAGTCGGCATTTTTTATGCCAAAATGATTATGCGATTCAATGATAGTCATGAGATTAAGTTAAATTTGGTCTAGCTCACCAATAACTGGGGCCAATCATTGCTTTAGATGAGCCTAAATGGTAATAAAAATATTCTTCATTATTTTTATCGATAAAGCGATATTCAACATTTTTATTAAGTTCTTCGTTCATTTTACTAGGAGACCAGACTATATAACTACACTCTTCTTGTAAATTGATAAGAAACAATTGATAACCGTATTTGGTTGGTTTGACATCACTGATATAATAAAAACCTTGTGGTAATTCTCTCCATTTAATAGCTTTTTCGATCTCCATTATTATATATATGTATGTAAGCCAGCCTGATGAACTTCATTCGTTGTAAAAATATCAAACTTCTTCCTCGGTATATAACGCGGTGCCGGTAAATATATTTGCCACATCGCTTGTTTCTTTAACCAATCCTTGGCCACATCTTTAGATACCTTAGCCGCGGTGGCTAATTTTTTTATTGCTCCTATACCTTTCCAATATCCTCATGGGCTATAGTAAATTTTATTCATTATTAATTAATATTGATATTTCTTTTAAAACGACTTTCGTTGAATCGCATCATCATTTTTATACTAATACAAGCAATGATTGGCCCCAGGTATTGGTGAGCTAGACCAAATTTAACTTAATCTCATGACTATCATTGAATCGCATAATCATTTTGGCATAAAAAATGCCACCTGTAGTAGCAGTATAGGTATATGAATCCAGCTCCAGTGGAAGTGGTCCAGAACCCCCATTACCTATACTACTACAGGTTTTTTACACTGGTAGAAGAATGGGTCTTACACATTGTACCCATTAGCAAACACTTCATCCGCTAGGCTTTACCATTCCAGAGAAGGCATTTAGTGTGCAACTTGCATGTGACCTGTTGAAACCTAGCCAGTCACAAGTAACTGAAGAAACTATATTAATTAACATTTGAAGCATCAGAGTCACTTACCATGACTTTAGTCATGGAAAAGAGGACACTGTAGAAGGAGTCCAAGGCCTGGCGACAGTCGTCCACGCCGCCATCACCCTTCAGCCGCTTTCGGTTCATCCTCACGTACCAGTTTGTCAGCTGGTCAACAAACCGGATCAGGCGTGGCGTCACCGTGTACAGGTGGTACACTGCAACATGAGCAGATACTCAGGGCTAACCAGGGGATACTTGAGACATGACGAGGAGATACAGGTGGCATGACGAGGAGACACTCGGGGCATGACGAGGAGATATTCGGGGCATGACAAGGAGGTATTCAGGGCATGACGAGATACTTGGGGCATAATGAGGTATTCAGGGCATGATGATGAGATACTTGGGGCATAATGAGGAGGTATTCAGGGCATGACGAGGAGATACTTGGGGCATGACAAAGAAATACTCAAGGCTAACCGGGGATACTTGAGACATGACGAGGAGATACTGGTGGCATGACGAGGAGACACTTCTTGGGGCATGATGAGGAGGTATTCAGGGCATGACGAGGAGATACTTGGGGCATGACAAAGAAATACTCAAGGCTAACCAGGGGTTACTGGAGACATGACGAGGAGATACTGGTGGCATGACGAGGAAACACTCGGGGCATGACGAGGAGATGTTCGGGGCATGACAAGGAGGTATTCAGGGCATGACGAGATACTTGGGGCATAATGAGGTATTCAGGGCATGATGAGGAGATACTTGGGGCATAATGAGGAGATATTCAGGGCATGACAAGGAGATACTTGGGGCATGACAAAGAAATACTCAAGGCTAACCGGGGATACTCGGGGCATGATGAGGAGATACTTGGGGCATAATGAGGAGGTATTCAGGGCATGACGAGGAGATATTCAGGGCATGACAAAGAAATACTCAGGGCTAACCAGGGGATACTTGAGACATGACGAGGAGATACTGGTGGCATGGTAGGGAGATACGATGAGATATAAGGGGCATGACATGGGTATACTTGAGACACTCTCTGGTCTAGCTAGCATTTAATATGTATATGGATTTATATTCTCAAATGAAGAATAAACTTCAGGCTGAAAAGATTTCCGGTGTGTGATATGCATCTTAGCAATAGGATACACAATTTGCTTACTTCTAAAATGACATTCATTTGTTTCATTTATCTTAACTTGTTTCTCTGTTTTATTATTATTCTTTTCCTCTTGCAGATTTTCTGCAGAATTGTACACACAAGGACATAAACCATTACGTCCAAGTTAAGTTCCGAAACGCTTTCTGAAAGTTTCCCTCTGAAGGGGTTGACTCACAAGCCATCTCCTTCCTGACGAATGTGATGAGGGACTGTGTGAAGGAGAGGATCCATCGGTCCATGTAGTTCTCCGACACCTTCACCGTGTCCTCGTTGTACACGTACGTCACACCCTCCTCCTGAAACATGCAATATCAGGTCATACAAACACAGGAACATGTGACCTGACAAGACAACCTGTAACACAAGAACATGTGACCTGACAAGACAACCTGTAACACAAGAACATGTGACCTGACAAGACAACCTGTAACACAAGAACATGTGACCTGACAAGAGAACCTGTAACACAAGAACATGTGACCTGACAAGAGAACCTGTAACACAAGAACATGTGACCTGACAAGACAACCTGTAACACAAGAACATGTGACCTGACAAGAGAACCTGTAACACAAGAACATGTGACCTGACAAGAGAACCTGTCACACAAGAACATGTGACCTGACAAGACAACCTGTAACACAGGAACATGTGACCTGACAAGAGAACCTGTAACACAAGAACATGTGACCTGACAAGACAACCTGTAACACAAGAACATGTGACCTGACAAGACAACCTGTAACACAAGAACATGTGACCTGACAAGAGAACCTGTAACACAAGAACATGTGACCTGACAAGAGAACCTGTCACACAAGAACATGTGACCTGACAAGAGAACCTGTAACACAAGAACATGTGACCTGACAAGAGAACCTGTAACACAAGAACATGTGACCTGACAAGAGAACCTGTAACACAAGAACATGTGACCTGACAAGACAACCTGTAACACAAGAACATGTGACCTGACAAGAGAACCTGTAACACAAGAACATGTGACCTGACAAGAGAACCTGTAACACAAGAACATGTGACCTGACAAGACAACCTGTAACACAAGAACATGTGACCTGACAAGAGAACCTGTAACACAAGAACATGTGACCTGACAAGACAACCTGTAACACAAGAACATGTGACCTGACAAGAGAACCTGTAACACAAGAACATGTGACCTTACAAGAGAACCTGTAACACAAGAACATGTGACCTTACAAGAGAACCTGTAACACAAGAACATGTGACCTTACAAGAGAACCTTAACACAAGAACATGTGAGCCTTTACAGCACAAGAACTTTTAACATGTGAACCTATATTGATTGATCTATTACACCAATATGAAGAGTGTTTAACATGTGATAACACAGTGTGACAGTTGAATGTCAAAGAGAGGACGAAAGTGACCCAGCTTCTACATATTTGAAAACTTTTGCAAGACCAATGAGCACAAGCGCAGTGGATCATAATGACCCAGAATTCTCATCCATTATTTTGAAAATTATCTCAAACACGAAATCACAAGAAATATCTACATCCCATTGTATATATCAGGTTCACATAAGCACAATGCCAAACGTCAACCTTTAAAAGTCAGATATTTTACTGACTCCATTGCTCTCTATAGATCTCGACACCTCAAGCTCTATAGGAGCTCACACTGGGTGAAAACTGAGCAAACTCTTATCACGAAAATCACCAAAATGTCAAAATGAAGGCTGGGCTGGTTTTGAACCAATCACATACCAGCATTCTTAAATAATTCAGCTTTACTGCTTCACCAACTCAGTCCTCTCCAACAATTTACAAATTTATTCCAGATTGTACACACTTTTGGGTGTAGATACGACAGGGAGTAAAAGAACCACAACACAGTATGGTCATTATTAGTCTCCATTCGGAACTACCTGTTTACATTCCTTTTCATTCACCTATACCAAGATCTTAGAATGCTGATTGGCAGGATAGAGAGTTCACGTTACATGCATTCCTATGGACACTTTGACTGACGTTAATGGACAAGGGTATCAAATCTAGCAAAAGATCTGATTTTAAGAGATTAAGAAAAAGTTTTTCAATTGAAGAAACAAGCCATACCCTCTCCAGCCGGTCTATGTTCTGCATGAGGAATCGGTAGGCATTGTACCAGGGCAGGAAGACATCCTTGAGGACATCCCTCACACCAGCCTCCTTGAAGCGCAGGTTCTCGGCCCTCACAGACGGGGAGTTGATCAGGTACAGTCTGAAATAATTGTAATGCCAAGTCACGTGATTTTGTATCCATCAGTGTCAAGAACCCACTCCAATGTAGACCAGTTTGTGTGATCAGAATTAATTAACCTGCCTGATTTATCTAATGGCATTAGTAGTTTGTTACAAATAAAAAACAACTTTAATCAATAATATAAACAAGTAAAACCCTCCCATCCCAGACTCTTTTAAATCCGACTACTTTTATAATATGTGACTAGGAGCCATTCTACAAAGACATCTTAGTGCTACTTCAAGTGTAATACTCATTGCACCAAGATCGCCTTGTTGAAAGAGCCCTTGTTTTGAAAATTGTTACTTTGCCAACCACGACACATCCATCAGTTCAACCGACCTGAGTGCATCTGCACCAAACTTGTTGACGATCTCTACGGGGTCGGGGTAGTTCTTCTTCCTCTTGCTCATCTTCTGTCCATCTCTGTGATATAGACATCATGGTTATAAAAACACAATTCAAACTTTATAATTCGTCACTGTAAAAACACTAGTAGCTGAAAGACCAGCCTTCGAAATTCATGCTGGTTCAGTGGCCCCAGACTACTAAATTGTGCTATGGACAACAAAGATTCCAGTTTACTTGCCATTTGAGGTGTTGATAATTTTACAACTTACTCTGCCAGAACCAGTCCGTTGACAACCAGGTTCTTGAAGGGCGGCTTCCCAAACAGCAGTGTGGACAGTACCAGCAGTGTGTAGAACCTGGGGCAGAATACTACAGTCTTCATACAGAACACTACAGTCTTCGTACAGAACACTACAGTCTTCATACAGAACACTACAGTCTTCATATCATACAGAACACTACAGTCTTCATACACAACACTACAGTCTTCACACGGAACACTACACTCTTCATACAGAACACTAGTCTTCATACAGAACACTACAGTCTTCATACAGAACACTACAGTCTTCATACGGAACACTACAGTCTTCATACGGAACACTACAGTCTTCAACGGAACACTACAGTCTTCATACACAACACTAGTCTTCGTACACAACACTACAGTCTTCATACAGAACACTACAGTCTTCATACAGAACACTAGTCTTCATACAGAACACTACAGTCTTCATAAAGAATACTACAATCTTCATACACAACACTACAGTCCTTATACACAACACTACAGTCTTCATACACAACACTACAGTCTTCATACAGAACACTACAGTCTTCATACAGAACACTACAGTCTTCATACAGAACACTAGTCTTCATACAGAACACTACAGTCCTCATACAGAACACTACTATTCATACAGAGCACTAAAGTCTTCATACACAACACTAGTCTTCATACAGATCAATAGAACCTGAATGGTTCATACAGAACTTGAGCCACCAAATCAAAGGCCTTTTCAACATGTTTAACAGCTTCAAAGAAATTTTCACACTTTACATGGTGAAAAGTAAGATTCAATTCTTTCTACCCAAGGGCAAGGGCGTTTCAAGACATTCAAGATTAACAATTTAACAAGACTGCCAAATTCAAGGCCTTTTCAAGGCCAGATTGCCAAATTCAAGGCCTTTTCAATGCCAGATTGCCAAATTCAAGGGGTCTTGTCAAAACAAAACTGCCAATTTCAAGGCCTGTTCAAAGCCAGATCGCCAAATTCAAGGCCTTTTCAAGGCCAGATTGCCAAGTTCAAGGCCTATGAAAGGGTATTAGATTTCTGATCAGGGTGCAATATCTAACCTACCATCCACGGGTCTGGTCCACTCCCTCTGCGATGAAGTCAGCAGGGAAGCTCTCTTCAAACTCCTTCTTGTGTTCGAATGGGAAGTGAGCTTGTGCATAGGGCATGCTGCCACTCTCAAACCAGCAGTCAAACACCTCACTGACGCGACGCAACACTCCCTTACCCATCTTGGAGGGAATGGTCACCTTATCAACACTGAAATAATAATAATAATAATAATAATAATAGTGAGTGAGTGAGTGAGTGAGTGAGTGAGTGAGTGAGTGAGTGAGTGAGTGAGTGAGTGAGTGAGTGAGTGAGTGAGGTGGGTTTAACGCGTTTTAACAGTATTCCGTGTCAGCTTAATATGGGAGGAAAGCCCAAAGTGTCTCAGACGTTAACCACTTTGGTGAAACCCACGAGCACGGGTATAATGCTGACAAACCTAGAAACATAATCGGGGTGAACCGGGATTCGAACCCTCAATCATAGGTTTCTGGCGTGCCAAGGGACGCAACTCTGCACAGCGAATCGCGGCGCCTTAGGCCACTGGGCCACCAGTGCCCCCTAATAATAATGATAATGTATTAAGGTCAGGTAATCAGCTTCTTTAGGCCATAACTCACTTTTCTCTGTGAAGATCCTTCAGTTCCACACCCGAGAGTTCCTTCAGTTCTTCAATAGATCCTACACACACAATCTGGAACAATGTCACAATGTGCGATATAATCCAACCAATGTCCACATGATTAATGACAAGTGTGTTTAACACAAGACAACATTTTGTCTTTGTCAGCGCTGTAATATATTCGAAAAAAAAAACTCCATCATATTTCGCTGAATAAAACATGGTAGAACAAGACTGAAGTCAAATGTTGGTTATAACATTTATTATCACTGTTCCCATGGTAAAACTCTGCCAATTGAGTGAATGTTGTTGAATGCCGCAGTCAGAAATATTAAAAACATGCCACTCTGGTTTGTCTGGACCAGGAAAACCAGTGACTGATAATATGAGCAACAATCCAAGCTATCAAGGCCAAGTCACTGCGTGTGACACCTGTTAGTTGACTCTCACAACAAGCATAGATTGGTGGGAACCCATATATACCCATTAGGTTACAGTGAGGTTACAGTGAGGTGAGGTGAGGTGAGGTTACAGTGAGGTGAGGTGAGGTGAGGTGAGGTGAGGTGAGGTGAGTGGGTCTTATGTTACTTTTTAAGATTAATTCGCTTAAAAAAACAGGATGAATGCATGTGTGTCCTGACTCATAACCAATCCCTATGCATCGGATAACCAAGGATATCCCACTCACACAGTGTACTCCATGCCGGCCATCCTTGGTTTATTCCCTTAACGCTTAATGCCAGTCGGGTAAGTAAGTCGATGTGTGTAAGTGGTTACAGAAGAGCTACTTCATAGCCCTGTCCACCTACCTCTTCTCCATCTTCACTGACCCAGAGCGGGATGGGGGTGCCCCAGTACCGGTTACGAGACACAGCCCAGTCTCGCGCATCACGCAGCCAGTTGGCAAATCTCTTCTCCTTTACAAAGTCCGGCACCCTGTTGAACAAACAGACTGTCAGTATAAGAAACACTGTTGACAACACAACCTAACTAAAACACAGACAATGGCCTAGCAGATGACAAAATCCGGCCCCCACAATAGCATAAGCCACCGCTTTAGCCCCTGGTTAATACATGTACCAAGTTTGGATGAAAAGTCTTTCACAGTTTTTAAGTTATGCGGAAACGAAATACTGACCGACAATTCCAGCATTTTATGATTTTAAAAAGTAAAGTGAAAAAAAAGAAAGAATATGAATTTTCACATGCTTAGCATATCTTTTGTTGAATCAGCTCCAAACAAAAAGAGCCCCGTGAAGATTCCGGGGTAGAATAGGTCTTCAGCAACCCATGCTTGCCGTAAAAGGCGACTAACGGGATCGGGTGGTCAGGCTCGCTGACTTGGTTGATGCATGTCATCGATCCCAATTGCGTGGATCGATGCTCATGATATCAATCACTGGATTGTCTGGTCCAGACTCGATTATTTACGGACTGCCGTCATATAGCCGGAACATTGCTGAGTGCGGCGTTAAACAACAAACCAACCAACCAAACAAAAAGAACATCCAGCCATTTTAATCATCACTGCCAGACCAACTTAATTGAAAGGCAAACATGGCAGTTTTGAGCCAACACACAGCACCCCTTTCTCCCCTCCCCCTCCACCTCAAACTCTGTCATGGAAATATTAGTGTCTAGTAACCAAAATTTACAGTTACACTGACATTTTGACCATGTTCCTTGCCTTAGCTCCAAAGCAACCTACACCTAATGTGTTAAGAGAGTATTTTCCCCAAATGTGTTTCAGGTGAAATCTGTAATAAAATTGGCCTGTCAAATATCAGGGATGGGTATAGTAGGTTAAAAGTGTATCACAATATTTTGCAATACTCAGGGCTGTATTGCGATATGTATCACGATATCTTGTATAATTGTTAATTATAAATTTAGAAGCTCACTTCCGACAGAATGAAATATTTGGTTCATCAATTTTGCCATCCGTTTGTTTTAGGCCAAAGTGCTTCCACTCTTTGTCTTTGCCTTAATATATTTAGAAAAACTGACCAGAGAACACTGAGAATAAACCTCTATCTTCGCATACTTGCATTTTGGAATTTTGAAAATAAGGAAACATTTCGAAGGTATTTGGCAAGTTTGTAACATTAGGTGAAGATTATTGCACTTACATAGCCACGTGCATGCATGTGTGTGTGTGTGTGTGTGTGTGTGTGGCTGCTTGTACTAGACCGGACTGATACCATGCCGCAGTTTAACATGAATGTCCCACTCAGACACAGTATACTGACTCCGAGCCGACCCGTCCTTGCTTTAACCCCTTAATGCCGAGTGCCAGACAGGATAACAACAAGTACCATCTTTTAACGTCTTTTGGTATGACGCGGCCAGGGATCAAACCCCGGACCTTCCGCTCTCCAGGCGGACACTCTACCACTAGACCACGGAGGCGGTCGTTTGTAACATTAGATACATGATAAAAAGCCCTAATTAAATTCACCCCATCTACCGAGCATTAAAAATGATATAGTGATACGTATCACGGAAAGAATGAACCTCAGTTACCGATATACCGGTAATACCGCGCAGCGTCAGTCCATATCATCACCATCACAATCACCATCATCACACTCACCAGTATGTCTTCTGGTTGTTATCCAGCAGTTTCTGGGTAGCCTGCTCCACACGGATAAACCAGCTTGGCACCGCTTTGTACATGAGGGGCGTCTCAGACCTGCAGGAATCGAGTGGACATGACAGTCACACAAGGCGTCATGACATGGGTCTATTGGAACCACACAATAACTGTTATATAAAGAACTAATTCATTACACGATTTTGATTGGACTATGCATACTCATTAGTCCAGCCAAAATATTGCCTACTTCGGCAAGAGTGGAAACTGGGCTTTTCTTATCAGTTAATTCCCTTGCCTTGGGAAGATGTTGGCACACAAGGAATGTTTAACCCTGATTAGGGACGACTTACTCCTAGTTGGGACCTTTCTGAGTGTGTCATCACACCATTGACCATTGGTTGTCAAGTCTAGTGTCTATAACAGTCTGCAATCGCATCCTTATCGCTGACTCTTATATAAATCAACTTTTTTCCCAATTGAAATAAACTCAGAATCTCAAAATAAGTAATCTCTAACTAAAAAAGCGGACTTGCCTCCAGCAGAAGGGGTAGTTGTGCTTGGCCGTGCCCTGGTGGACGAGACGACCCTCTGCCTTCAGCTTCTTCATGATCTCTTTGTCTGCATCCTGCAACAAACATATAGCTGTAACACAAACTACATATCTACAAAGTTTGTTTGTTGCTTACCACTGCTGTCATCAATCTTCAGCAGTCATTAAATAATCAAGTCTGGATTGGCCAAACCAGTGATTGACGTTATGAGCAGCATCCCACAGTCGGAGTACTCTATCAACCAAGTCACTGAACCTGATCACCCAATCCATCAAATCTCCTATTATGTCAGATAGGTTACTGGGGCTTTGTTCTAAAACTCAATCTACCACAGGACATCCTCAAATGGGTTATTAGTTCTGACAAGGTAATCATTGACAGTAACCTTGGTAGAACATCTTGCATACCCTACAGTGAGAAAGCTGGATGCTCAATCAGTATAATCTTATTTTTTCTAGAATCCTATTGCAATAGGTGTTATCCGGGTATCAAACTATGAAAGAAACTATCACTGAAATACTGAAATCTTTTTGAACAGAAGAAATAGCAAAAGTTATGTTCGTGAACACATGTTTGATGGAATTTAATGCTGTGTGAATATGTGCTATGCTTTACAGGTTTGTATACAGAATGTTACTCCATCCATCAACACATATGGTAGCTTTGGAGAGAAGACCCAACAAATCAAGACACAATCTGGTTCCATCAAGAGGTGAATGACCAATGACCTCTCAGATTTCATCAACAATATTACTTGTGCAATGCGCTTCAACATGACACATTATTTCCACAGAACAGAACTTTGCACATACTTCACTTGCAGAGTAGTTATACAGTCTGTGTTATACACGGACTCATTTCATTACTTCACTGAAAAGGCCCATGAAGATCCATGTTAGAATAGGTCTTCAGCAACCAATGCCTGTCGTAAAATGGCTTCTATGCTTGTTGGAATTCGGGGGTCAGGCTTGCTGACTTGGTTGATGCATGTCATCTGATCCCAACTGCGTTGATTGATGCTCATGATGTCAATCAATGGATTGTCTGGTCCAGATTTGTTCATTTGCAGACTGCCGTCATAAAGCTGGAATATTGCTGAGTGCGGCATTCAACAACAAACATACAAAGAAAGAAACAAACTGAAAAGAGACATGCGTTACTTTAAAGGGCAAGTTCACACGGAAATGAACCTATTTTTCTTGTACTTTTTCCACATTAAAAATGTTAACCTAGAAATGTCATAGACAAAAATATAAAAATATCACAATTAATTAACATATTTTTCGCATTAAAACTATTTATATTTTTCACATTTACCAAGTGTTCTATTTCCATAACAAAAACACCATGGCGTATGCCCCTTGCAATATGACGTCATTGGTGCCAATTGATAAACATTATGACGTCATCATGCTTTGTTAGAGCCGCTTCACGTGGTGTAGGTACATGTGTGTGATTCTTGCGTCTCAGATGCCAGCCAGCATAGTGTTATGCTGAGTCACCACTGCGCCGGAATGTGTCGTAGGCCATGTTGTTTTACCGCAAACTGGTACTTGATATATTTTGCGTTGAGAAAAGACAGGGACCAAGTTGAAATGGCACCAATTACGTCATAATCTAAGGGGGATAACTCAGGCCTGTTTAGCTCGAAAAAACGAAGGCCTCATAACGGCATTACTTTTTTTTACACGATTGTGAGCTTCCTACTTTCACTGTGAAAAAAATGAGTGCATATTTTCAAACACAGATACTAACTAATTCTAAAATTGCGTTTTGTTTAGAAAAAGAAAGAAAGTGATTTTTGCGTGTACACTTCCCCTTTAACATAACATGGCTGTGCGTGTCCATGGGTGATGGAGGAACACAGTGCATACCACTTTTTAGCAATATTCCAGCCATGTGACCGCAAGGAACTCTCAAGCTAGAATGGGCTCCACACATGGCATGCATGTAGGAATGAAACCTTAAACAGCAGGTTGGCCCACCACCCTTAGTCCTTGAGTCAGTGAGTGAGTGAGTATGGTTTTACGACGCTTTTAGCAATGTTCCAGCAATATCACGGCGGGGGACACCAGAAATGGGCTTCACACATTGTATCCATGTCGGGAATCGAACCCGGGTCTTCGGCGTGACGAGCGAAGGCTTTAACCACTAGGCTACCCGACCGCCCCCTTTAGTCCTTGACCACACTGACCTTGAAGTACATGCCCTTGAAGTGTGTGACCTCCTCTGTGAACTTGCCACTGGCGTCAATGGGACACACCATCTTCATGTCCTTGCTGATGATCTTGTACTTCAGACATGTCTGGTAATCGTCCTTGAAAACGATACAAGGTCAAGGTTATTCACAAGGTTCAAGGTCATAGTCAAGTAACATCTCTTCAAGCTAACCGGGGTAATGGAACAAAAATCCCACTTGGTCTTCAGGCAATCAGTCTTATAACTAATCTTGTTTATTTTTGTGTGTGAAAAGTGTCAACGTTATCAAAATATCAGAATTTAAATTTTTTTTGTTTAACAGAAAAACTGAGGTGGTGTCCTACAATGCACGTTGTGCCGGCGAATCAAACACAATGTTATGTTAATCAATTGTTCACACACGAACATAAGTAACCATGGTAATTCCTACATACTTCACCAAAGTACGGCGCCTGATGGACGACGCCGGTACCGCTCTCTGCTGTGACATAACTGCCTAGAAGAACTCGGAAGGCTCCATTTGTCTTACCCATCTGAAACAACATCAACAAAACACACATATCATACCTGTCATTATGTATAAGCATTATAGTATACTTTTCAGTTTCTAAAAACAAAAAATTTCAATTACTGCTCCCCTAATCATTGTTTTCTCTACTATGACTTGACATGAGGAGCTTAACCAATGAGCATGATGTTTGTCAATCTACCGTTCTCCATAACAAGAGTAACTACTTACACTCTCAAAGTATGGAAACAGTGGCTTGTATTTCTTTCCTTCCAAAGTCTTGCCCTTGAACCTGTAAGAAAATCAAGATGTGTGTCTTAATCTCAGATGCCTGCGGTAATTGCTAACTCAGCAAAACTCAGAATTTGCCTCTAAAAAACAGAATATTAACATTACGATCATCTGTTTCAGGCACACCTAAGTGACAGAACTCTGCACAGCGAATTGTCGACTGGTTCACCAGTACCCCCCACTCCTGTGTAATCAATTCGAAACAACTTCATTCCAATCATACACTAACACAGACAGTGGATGTTGACATGCTTCTTACTTCTCTAATATGGTGTACTCCTCCTCCGACTTGAACAGAGCCACCAGTCTAGCCTCCATCATGATGTACACCTTCCCGGAACTCTTGTCTGGGGAGAGAAACATCTGTTAAACGCTACTGGTAAAAATCACAACCAAAGACTTGTCAGCAGAAGGGAACACCAGCAATAATTACAACTTCATAATAAATGCCAAGGAATATTATTAATGATGTTAAAACATCCACTTCTATTGAAATATTTAGATCTTCAACGAATGTACGTGGGTAACACATTATAGACTAACAATAGTCCAAGGTTCATACAGACATCGAAATTAACATGGATAAAATTCAAGGCCTTTTCAAGGATTTTCAAGGCTTTCAACATGTCATTTTCAAGGCTTTTGTAGTAGGGTTATTAGCCAGCCTGTCAATATATTTCAGTCCAGCATACTGTATATTAGTCGTAAGACCTAAAAAGAATTATGAACATCACAAACTTTCAAACAAGGTTGATCTTTACAACCACACATTAAGTCATGAATTCTTCACAGTGTTTGGCAAAGAGTCAAATCTATCATTGGGAAAAATCACACTTAAACATCCTTGGTACCCAGCTATTATTTGGTGTGTTTTAAAACTTTAATTAAGTATTGTAGCGGCCCGGACCCGAACTTCTGATAAATCTCAAAGTCTGGATGTAACTGAGAGTCAAAACACTTCTTTTCAATGAATAATTAGTTTTTATTCATGTGGGTATAACAATGCCTTATATGGACAACACAATGCTTCCAAATAAGTAGATCCCTCTGAGCTTTAAGGTTTATTTGTAAGGACCAGTGTCAGGGCAAAATAATTATTGCCTGTAACTATAATGGTAGTTTACTGCTATAAATATATATATATGGATGACTTCTTTATCTGAATAACTTTACAGTTACTCAGATGGCAATTTGTGTCTGTGTTCAAAAATGCAGTCTATTTATAGAAATGATTACATAAGGACAAGGGGAAGTTTTGGGCTGAATTATCTGCCCCTTGATTGAAACTGACCTTTAGACTGCCAAAGTCAGAATGACCCAGAATGGTTCTCATCGTATTTATAGGTGTGAGAAAATGGTCACATGTCTGTTATTGACCAATCAAATTACGAGAAATTACGTCTCTTTACGTCCTTATTCCTTTGAGGGATCTACTTTCACAATGTAAAATCACTGAAATAAAGAGGAAGGCAAACCATCTCAGGAGGTAATTTGGTATAAAAATGAGTATTTATACCAATCAGGAGGTAATTTGGTATAAAAATGAGTATTTATACCAATCAATTAATTCTGTCTACTTGATTCACTAATTGCCTTCCAATATCACAAGATAAACAATTACGTCCTGCTACGTCGAAGCTATGTCCTTGCTGCCTGCCGAGAGGACGTAATAACAACAAGCAACATCGACTGGGAATTACGATGGACAATTCAAAGAGGAAGATTACAAATGTCAGGAGGCAATTGGATTTTATCTGATGCATAAGACCTTTAATAACACAAATTGGCCACTGGTATGCTTTGACAGAAGCACTGGATGTCATATTTATGAGAAACATGTTCATAAATAGTGACGCTAAATACTGCGCATGAATACATCAGCGAAGATTACATAGTTCCTGATGTCAGAATTAACAGTAACTTTAATACACGTCTTGACATATCATCAAATACGATTCTGGGTTCCTCTGGACATAGTTCATTAGATTAAATAAACTTTATAATGCAAATGCTAAGCATTAGCCAAATTCAGTAACTTCATCGCGACCTAGGCTAGCTGTCACAAAGTTATAATGGCGGGCGTCGGCGAAACACGTAGCTCAGCCCTGATCACAAATTCACACAAATATGGATAAATATCAAGCTGCCAAGTGATTGTGATCTGTTTGTTGAAGAACAAAGGTATGATTAATCTGTATCTGATTGTTAATTTGCGTAACTGTGTGCTTAGAACGATGAATTCTTCAAAAGTTACGGTCAATGCAAAACTCTTGAAACAAGTAAACAAGATCGTTTTGACAGGCACGTTGTTGACATCGATGCTTATGAGGTACTGGCTCTTCCTAAACAATATGTGTAACGTGATGGCATGGACATATGATTATTTTTACGAGATAACAGTGTGCCATGAAGCTCTATAAAAGCATGCTGTGATCCTCTGATAGATTTCTTACCAAAACGGGATTCAAAACATTGAATTACGTGAAAACGAGGTTGGCAAAAGTATACTGATATATACCTGCAAAACTAATTACAGTTTACAGGATAATTATGATATAATTCGTGCACTGTCATATAACCATCAAAAATACAACAGGGAAATATTTAGGAAATATTTCTTATTTTTACAAGCTGTCATAACTTACATATTTTATAATAAAGACACATTAATATTTATATATTCTTCGTGATGGCCATCACAGTATATGTCAGTTTGTACAAATTCAAGGCTTTTTAAACTATTTTGGTGATTTTCAAGGCTCTTTAAGGTTGACCAAAAAAATCAAAGCTTTTTCAGGAGGGACCTTAAAATTGTACAAACCTGTAGTCAAACAACAATACCTATGACATATGATAAGCATCCCATTCATCATCTATGTATTCATCTGATGAAGGGGCAAGAAGTTGTCTAGTGTTTCCGTTGAGTTATAAATATACCAGTTTATTGGATCGACAGCACGTAAAATACCAGAACGCTGACATGGTTGATGCAAGTCATGGTATCCAATTGTGTGGATCGATGCTCATGATATCGCTCACTGGATTGTCTGGTCCAGACTTTACTGACTGCCATCATATAGCTGGAACATTGCTGAGTGTGGCGTTGAACAACAAACAAACAGTACTTAGTCCATTTAAGTTTCAGGTCTTCAACACATTAGGTTACGTGTTTCACTGGTTGTATTTAACATATTTTAAGCCATCCCGGAATTTGACACATTGATATGAATACCTTCAGGTACAGACAGACTGGCAGACTTAAAATATTTCTGTAAGGAGTTCTTATAACATCTACAAACAGGATAAGATAAGAAAGAGTACCAACATATATTTAACATGTTTAAAGAGCTCACTGACCTTTAACTTTGACATAGTCAAGGTCTGCGTTGACACAGCAAGCCAGGTTGCTAGGCAACGTCCATGGTGTGGTTGTCCAGGCGATGATGGACACATCAGGAGACTCTTCCAGTGGGAAACTAATGATGACTGAAAGAGAAGCCAGGATAACAGTGATGCTGGATTTGTATCAGTGATACTATGTCAACCCGTGAAGACCTGGGTTAGAATAGGTCTTCAGCAACTCATGCTTTGTCGTAGGAGGTGATTCTGCTTGTCGTAAGAGGCGACTAACTGGATCGGGTGGACAACCAAATGTCATCTTTCTAAAACGTCATCTTTCATGTCTTTACCGTCCTAATTTGATCTCGAAACAAGAAAAAACCCACACAACACAAATATTCCCTCAATAGTAGCCATTTTTGGATGTAGGTGCCATGGCACTCAGAACAGACAGGGTGTATGAAATAACCATAACAATATCTTAACACTGCATTTTCTTATTTCCATTCAGAACTGCTAGTTTATGTTCATTTTTGAGATACAGAAATCAGATATGCTGCTTTCAATGATTCATTCACTAAAACCAACAATTTAGAAGCCTTGACACTGACAAGAAAGTTCACCTGAAGTAATCTCCTATGTAGAGTTTAACATATATCCATCCCTAGAGTTGATCTGATTTGAATGAAATTGTGTCCAGTGAATCTGCACAAGTTGCAATCACATGAGAACCCACCTGCGGGGTCTGTGACCTCCTTATAGTTCTGTCCCGACTCAAAGTTTGACAGGGGTGTGTTGCAGGCTGTAGAGTACGGCATCACCTGGAGAACAAGAAGATCATAGTTCAGTGGACACTGGGCTTCAGGACTCAGTCAGCATGGTCAGGAAGGAATAACATCAACTAGCCACGACTAATGTCTGCCAGTCAAAAGATATTTCCACACTCGGGTAGGGGTGAACAGGACAACAAAGTCATGATAGCCATATATCATTTTACATAAGTCACGATATGATACGTATCGTGATACCTACATTTACATTAAATTGCATGGAAACTTCTTGACAATGAATATTTCAGAGCAGGTTCAAAAGGAAAAGTTAGCTGTAGACTGCTATGTTTAGTAGTGAACTTGAAACGATACTCACAACATATTTTGAGATACTTGACTGACAGTACAGAGGGGGTCATTCAACGAGTAGTAAGTAATTTATTTCAGAAAGTGTTTCATCTTGTTTCAATACAAAAATGAAACGTGTATCGTTTTATCACACAAAAACTCACCGTGCACCGATGTATTGTTTCACCCCTAAACCCGGGTACCGAAACACTCCATGCTAAGCGAGTGACTTTAGTTACTTTTTTTTGGTTATTTTTGAAGCTGGAAAGTATGGTAAAGTAAGAGTTTTATTTTTTTCATTTTTCATTTACAATTCATAAATCATTGAATCATTAGTATGTGGTTAATCTGGAGATAAACATACAGAGAGTGGCTCACCACAGTTTTGCAACAAAAAATGTACAGCAGACAAATATATCATGTAATGTTTAAGTTCACATCATGACCAAGTGATATTTAGCTCACCTTATAGCCCTGGTAGACCAGCCCCTTGTTGTAGAGCTGCTGGAACACCCACCAGATAGTCTCCATGAACCAGGGGTACATTGTCTTGTAGTCGTTCTGGAAGTCAATCCAGCGCCCAAGACGGGTCACAATGGTCTGAAAGAGGAAGCAATACCTTCAACAATGTTCTGGCTGTCTGAGGAAATGTGACCAGAACAAACAGGAGTCATCAGAAGTTGACTAATTCCCCTGGCCCCCACACTGCCTGACTTAACTTACCTCCCATTCGTTTGAGTATCTCATGACGATCTTGCGGCACTCAGCGTTGTAGGCCTCGATCCCCATCTTTGCCACGTCCTCAGGGCCCTTGATACCCAGAGTCTTGTCAATCTCATACTCCTACAATGAGGTGAGGTGAAATGGGGTTTAACACACGTCCATGATTACTTCACTTATATAGCGACAGGTATGCGTGTATGCGTGCGTGCTTGCGTGCACTTGTCCAGCCCAATGCCGATTTTATGCTGCTAACCCACTGAGATACCATGCCGAAGTTTAACATGAATACCCCACTAAGACACTGCCTAACGACTCCAAGACGACCAGTCCTTGTTTTAGCCCCATAATGCCAAGCACCAGACAGGGTAACAACAAGTACCATCTTTTAACATCTTTTGGTATTACGCAGCTGGGGATCGAACCCCGGACCTTCCGCTCTCAGGGCAGACGCTCTACAACTAGACCAGGAGGCGGTCGCATCTATCTGGAGCACTGGAAACTAGTTGTTGATGTTATGAGAAAAGTCTCACCCTGTCTGGGTACAATGACACACAATCATCCAAGTCACTTGCCATCCAATCCAATTCAGTCATCCCTTACAACAAGCATAGTATACGAGGGATCTATTCTGCCTTGTAAACCTTTCAGTTATTTCTGTCCAGTAACCCATCCAGGGAAAAAAACTGGCACAGGCCAGTTGGACCTGAGTCAGTTGGTCTATTGTTAAGGTATCCTGAGGGCTAGCAGAATGTCAGTCTTTTTGGAAGATGTCATTATATGTTATCAGTATTAAGGCTAGTGCGGGTTTCAAGATAAGTTGCCCTTGTCTACCTACCACTGGCAGTCCGTGGCAATCCCAGCCAAACCGCCTCTCAACATGGAAGCCGCTCTGATGCGCCCACCGCGTGGCAACATCCTTGATGGTCCCGGCCAGGATGTGGCCATAATGTGGCAGCCCTGTGGCAAATGGCGGACCATCATAGAATGAAAACCTGGAAAGAAAAATATTAATTTGAAAATCATTGCAAAAGGATAGCTCATGACTTTGTTCTTGTTTTGTTTGTTTGTTGTTTAACACCGCACTCAGCAATATTCCAGCTATATGACGGGGGTCTGTAAATAATCAAGTCTGGACCAGACAATCCAGTGATTGCGTCATGAGCATCGATCCACGCAATAGGGATATGATGATATGCATCAGTGAGCCTGACCAAGCGATCCTGTTAGTCACATAGTCGCCTTTTACGGCAAGCATGGGTTGCTGAAGACCTATTCTACCAAGGATCTTCACGGGACCAGAGGATTTTGGAATAGGAAGGGGATGCACACTACTCAGATCATAAAATTAACAAATGGAAGGAGGTGAGATGAATTGGGGTTTAACCTTGCGTCCAAGGTTATTGCACTTATATAGCGATGTGCATGCACGTGTGTGGCTGCTTGTACTTGACGGGACTAATGCTGATTTTATAGTGCCAGCCCACTGAGATACCATGCCACAGTTTTAACCTGAATACCCAACTCACATACAGTATACTGACTCCAAGCCGACCCATCTTCCCGAGGCAAGAGAGTTAACTGACTATAAAAGACCAGTTTCCACCCTTGCCGAACTAGGCTGGTATTATGGAGTTACATGTTGGCCGGACTAACAAGTCTATGCATAGTCCAATCTAAATCGCACAACAAAATCGAAATCCGGTTCGTATACTGTCATGCAGATTTCAGTCAATTGCAGGATTCGCAAAGCATGTGCACCGCCAACTCCTTGTCAACAGATATTTTCCAAATCTTTTCAGGTTTTTAACACTTGTGCACAAGTGATTTGATGCACTTCAGGATGAAAAACCCGTTTTATAACAATATTGATCTAGATAATCGATCAGATCATTTTGACTGGGCACCGCCATTTTGTTTGAAACAAATTCAAGTGCACACTCCGTCGCAGTGGTGACTCAGCATAACACCACTGCCACAGGCTAATTTGCATATCACGTGACCGGACTTTTCTCTTGTTTGTAAACAAACGCGCTTTTTCAGAAATCTGTATAGAACGGACTAATGCAAGTATTTGGGGGCGCTTTATATATTGTTTTGCATAACTACATAGATATGCTACTACAACTGCGACAGTGAGTTGCATGACAATATATATTTATACATCAAAGTGACCGAATCACTAGCTCTCCGTTGGGCTTCGATCACAGCACGTGGCGCCGTACAACCAATTTAAACAAAGGATAACTACGCAAAAACAAGTAGATTTTCACGTATTAGGATACTTTCTTAATGAACCGTAACCATTCTTTGACATTTGTTTATGAAAATGTGTAGACTTGTCAAACATGAAACGGATGAAAAGCATATGCAATATCTTGAATGGACTGTGAAAGATGTGACGAATCGTCACATGGTGCTGGCCTGTGGCAGAGGTACTATGCTGGCTGGCTGCCGGCCGCATGGAACTCTGGGTAGGAGAGTGATTCAAGTGATACAGAGGTGGAATCTGATTGGTCCATAGGAGAGGCTCAGAAGGGACATGACTTGTAATAACCACTAGTGGCACTATGATCGAGCCCAGGAATTCCAGCTTAGTTCAGCAAGGGTGGAAACTGGACTTTTAAAGTCTGTTAACTCACTTGCCTCGGGAAGATGGAGCTGACCACTCCTTGTTTTAGCCCCTTAATGCTGAGCGCCAGGCAGGGTAACAACAAATACCAACTTTTAACGTCTTTATGTATGACGCAGCAGGGAATTGAACCCAGGACCTTTCACTCTCTGGGCAGACGCTCTACCACTAGACCATAGAGGCGGTTGCATACAGAGGGAAAAACATAGGTTGAATATGATGCCAGACAAAAAAAGATAGGTATGCTCTCCTGCATCCATCCTAAACAACAACAAAATGCTCAACTAACCACATAAACAGTCTCCTATTATGTACTAATGCCTGGTACCCATGAAGATCCATGGTAGACTACATCTTCAGCAACCTATGCTTGCCGTAAAAGGAGACTATGCTTGTCGTAAGAGGCGACTAACGGGATCTGGTGGTCAGGCTCGCTGACTTGGTTGATGCATGTCATCTATCCCAATTGTGTAGATCGATGTTCTTGATATTAATCACTGGATTTTCTGGTCCAGACTTGATTATTTACAGACTGCCGTCATATAGCTGGAATATTGCTGAGTGCAGCGTTAAACAACAAACCAACCAAGCAAACAATGCCTGGGTAAATGTCACTCAGTTGGATGGGAGATAAGACTTCATAGGCTTTCTTGATAAATTCAAAATTTTCAATTCTTCCTAATAATATTTTCACTGAAAATAGTTATTTTCATTTCCAATTAAATAGGCATGTACAGTTGTTTGACAAGGAAAGAACAGTTCGAAATTTGACTTTCTTTTTAACCCCCCCAAAAACCAATTAAAAACGTCTAATTGTCCTCCAATTATTATGGTCTATCTTTGCAAGTGGTCTGCTGTTCACAGCAGTAGAGATTAAAGCTTTCATCACTCCCAACATGGGCACAATGTGTGAAGTCCATTTCTGGTGTCCCCTGCCGTGATTTTGGTGGAATATTGCTAAAACCAGTGTAAAACCATACTCACTCACTCACTCACTGTTCACAGGAAGAAGCTAAGGAAGATGATTAAGGTCAATCTGTAAATTTGTCAAATTCAGCACTACTATTTATGTTTAGCATGCTTAGTTATAGAAATGTAACGATACAGTGGGGTCACGATACAATACAAATCCCAATACTGTGGATGTGATACGATTCGTATCCCAATACAATACTTCTATTTCATAAGTTGATATTATTCCTTGTTGAGGGTGAATCACAACCCTGAATCATTTGTTTTAAATTTCAGAGATCAAAGATGGGATATAGTAGGGCAGAAAGATATAGGCTAGATGGCACTGTGAATGCTATGCTGTTTATAGCCAACCAGGAATCTGTTGAACAGTTTTTGCTGTTATTCAAGTGCTTTTATACCAATATAACTTGTAGTGAGTGAGTATGGTTTTACGCCGCTTTTAGCAATATTCCAGCAATATCACGGTGGGGGACACCAGAAATGAGCTTCACACAATGTACCCATGTCGGGAATCAAACCCGAGTCTTTGGCGTGACGAGCGAACACTTTAACCACTAGGCTACCCGACCGCCCCTAACTTGTAATGTATTGTATTGTGATACAGGGGTTTTAAATCGATGTTTTGTACTGTGGGCCATGTATTGGGATACAACATGTACAATATTGTATTGACGTATCGTTACACAATTTGGTTATGAAGTCATTTATCAACAGGGATCGAAACCAGTAGAAGTCAGGAAGGACCAGTGAGATTTCCTTGTGGACTTCAACTTTCAACATTATGTAGAGGGCAACTCTGATGCAACTCATCTTTGTGGAAAATAACAATTAATTTCAAACCCTAACAAACACCTGTGATATGATTAGTTTCTTTGAACTTGAGCATACATCAGTGAGTATGCGCGCACTCTGCTGCACACTGCATGATGCAACACCTAACACTGACAGCATGGCCTATAATTAGAACACTTGCCACACTAGACGTGCACTCACACAAATATGTCACACACACAACCAGTTTTGGTCACGCTACAGCTATTTTCAACAGATGCATCCAGCGGTGAACAGAATCACAATCTCTATGAGTGGACACGGGTCACTCAACAGGGAAACAGATGTAATATTTATCAGGCTTATGGTATTCAAAACTAAATGTGGACGTCACATTCTTATAAAAGCTAAATAAATTTGGACATGGATCGCTACATAGTGAACTGTTTGTATGGCAACCTTAAAATAAGGGCCGACTATTTGATATTGAGGAGGGGGAGGGGTGGTGGAGGGAAATAATCTCTTCCCCAAAATGAAATAGTCCTCACGTTTTGCACACAAATCTGATCATTGAAAATAATGTCTGCGCCCCCCCCCCCCCCAAACGGGTTGGACCTTCAATTGAGCAGATAAGGGCACTTAGACTCTTCCAGGTAGGGGGGGCACCATAGACGCTTCCTGACAGGGGGCACCTTAGACGCTCCCAGATCGGGGGCACCATAGTCACTCCCAGATAGGGGGCACCATAGACACCCTCCAAGAAAGTTCAACAAATACTGATAAAACAAACACTTGCATCTAATGACCAGTATCGTCATCTGTCTCATGGAGGGTGCAAAACTTTGTTTACTTGATCAAGTTGATATGTTGATAACCATAAGGATAACAATTGTTTCTTGACTCTTATTATATATCAATTATTGATCATAGCTGTATGTTTAGGATGTGAAGATCCCAAAGACTCATACCTGGGTTTCCCCTTGGACTGTTTCACCGATGTCTTGAAGGCGTCAATGTCTTTCCAGAGTTTCAGTATCTTCTCTTCCTCTGCAGGAAAGTTGATATGTTCTGGCACACTGGCCATCGTTGATCTCTGAAACGGGAACAACAAATACTGAAAACATACAAGATTTACCTGATTTACACCAACTCCACCATGAGCCATCAGTGTGAGAATGTCAGGTAAAGTCCTGCACCACAGATTTACCTAAGACTCTAAACTATGTGGCCCCGGCAGGCAAACTGGGAAGAAATTGTTATTTTGTTAAAAATTGGGATTTGTTTAAAGTTCTTATTTCCTTCCATTCAGAGGTGATTAACCAGTGGTAACAATGTGTAATGAGATTGCTTTGTTATTTTCTAAATATTCTCATGTCGAATATCTGAACAGCTTTTCCCCAAACTGATTGATATATTTGGCCCACTTCTGGATGTGATCAATCAGCCATTGTGTTAATCTGCATTGCCCAGCTTACTGCTACATCTAACATGTCTAAGGGGAACAACTCACTGGACACTACCTTCTCAAAAATAACATCATCCAATGTACGACGGCATCAAACGCGACAGTACGTTCGAATCTGTAGAAATGACGTCATGATAGAACAATGTTTCATCATGAAATAAACCATGCCCGATTCCTGTTGTTCTTTGCGATTTACCATGTAGCTTAGCCTTAGCTATCATATATGTGACATAACATTCATCTACGTGTAATAGGGTGATAAAAGATACAGTTTCAGCTCTAGCACCAGTGACTATTCATACGATGTAACATAGCCATAACCATGGCAACCAACACTGATCGTGGTGATTTATCAATTTCAAGAGTGGAGCTCAAACTCCTGAGAGCCCTTCTTTACTGATATACTAAGCAGTAAATATGATCAACAAATGGCAAATGGAAAATGGTAGCACTGATACTGAATCCTTATTTTGTTTAATAATTTTCTTAAATTCAGGGGTATTCTGAGATTGCATTTGAAAGAATAATATGAAGGAAGCATTAAAATCTGTTCCTATTATATGAGAATACAGGTTACTTCTACCATGTCTACAAAGCCATAAAACTATTTATTATTTATATACATTAATACAAGGCGACTAACGGGATTGGGTGGTCAGGCTCGCTGACTTGGTTGATGCATGTCATCGATCCCAATTGCGTGGATCGGTGCTCATGATATTAATCACTGGATTGTCTGGTCCAGACTCGATTATTTACAGACTGCCGTCATATAGCTGGAATATTGCTGAGTGCCGCGTTAAACAACAAACCAAACCAAAAAAAACAAACCATTAATACATTGTAACATGAATTGGGAAATATTTAGTTCCAAATTGGGAAGTCTTATTAACATTTGCTGCAGACTTGGGGCAGAATATCGGCCTCTGAGCAGGTCTAGACAAATGCCTGAAACATTCAGCAAATTTCTGTCCATCCATTAGAAAATCACTAATGCTGATTGATTACTTAATAATTTCTATTGTCTTGTTGACTAGCATATTTGTCAAACCCAGCATACTGTAATCACTGTATAAAGCCTATGTACATAAAAATATAATCCAGAAACTGTACAACATGTACAAGTCAAAGGGACATTATCATATTTATTACGATAACACATTGATATATACAGCTTTGGTAGTACCCACTAGCGTACAGAGCACTGAGTCATTGACATAATAAACATACCACATCTCCTCAACTAAGCAGCCAGGCGTATATTTCTTTCAGACACTCTTTACTCCCGGCGTTTAATTGCAAAGATAACAATGAGGAGAATTCCATGCATACAAACTACCCAGCATTTACTTGAGGTCTGGCGTTTATCCAAGGAAATAAGGTATACAGGTGACACCTGTTTCTCCTGACCCAGGGTAAAAGTGTCCCCAGCAACTAATCCTTGTCGTAGACACCCAGATGGATCATGTGGTCCAACTCTGAGATTTGGTTAATAGGTGAGGTGAGGTGAAATGGGGTTTAACGCCGCATCCAAGATTATTGCACTTATATAGCGACATGCATGTACGTGTGTGTGGCTGCTTGTACTAGTCCGGACTGATGCCGATTCATAGTGCTAGCTCACTGAGATACCATGCCGCAGTTTAACATGAATACCCCACTCAGACACAGTATACTGACTCCGAGCCGACCAGTCCTTGTTTTAGCCCCTTACTGCCAAGCGCCAGACAGGGTAATAACAAGTACCATCTTTTAACGTCTTTTGGTATGACGCGGCCGGGGATTGAACCCCGGACCTTCCGCTCTCCGGGCGGACGATCTACCACTAGACCATGGAGGCGGTCTTTTGGTTGATAGATTGTCAGTAAAGCCAAACGACATAGATCAAGCCTTGACAGTCAAACCAGTGATTGATATTATGAGCAATGATCCATGACAATCAGCCAAGTCACTGAGAATGGCCCCTCGTTTCATTAAGTTGCCTCATAATCATGATAACAGCAGCATTAATTTGACCAACTTAAACCCAGAACTTCTACAGGGGTAACAACAACCTATTTAGGACAAATAACCTTAAGGGGGCTCACAGCGAAGATCAAGATCAGAAGCCAGTAAATTAGCAAGATCACAAGCCTACGAAAACCTGAGAGTAGTGCACTTAACCAGGCACACTTTTTGGGATTCTAATTAGGATCGAACTCCTGTTGCCAGCTTGCAACTAAACCAGGCAAATGAGTTAATCCAAAAACTCAAAACTATACGACCCGTGAAGATCCGGGGTAGAATAGGTCTTCAGCAACCCATGCTTGCCGCAAAAGGCAACTATGCTTGTCAAAAGAGGGGACAAACCGGATTGGGTGGTCAGGCTCACTGACTTGGTTGATGCATGTCATCGATCCCAATTGTGTGGATCGATGCTCATGATATCAATCACTGGATTGTCTGGTCCAGACTCGATTATTTACAGACCGCTGTCATATAGCTGGAATATTGCTGAGTGCGGCGTTAAACAACAAACCAACAAACCAACCAACCAACCAATCAAAACTATACCATCACCAGGGATGATATCACATAAATTAGTGGTTGTTAAGGCCAGGCTTTTTTTATTTTTAGGATTACGGATTTTTCAGCCCAAAGTCCAGGGTTGGAGGAGGGAAAAAAGAAAGAAAGAAAAAAGGCCAGATGCATTTTTTTTAAAGCAGAATGCCTCTGGCATACTTTCTGAACATATTCTGTGCTAAAAAGACCGCCATTTGTGACGATAAAGCCCCTTTAAACAATAAAAATTCTACCACTTACAACACAGATATTTGTCAAGGGAGGCTATTCATGTTCGGCTTCGAGATCAACAAAGATGGATTATGTATCTCTTTACTAGTTTACAACGGTAAATTCATGGTTTTTTTATTAAAAGGTGATGATAACAAATAAAATAACTGATTAAGTGGCTATCGGCGGGGGGAAAAAATGGAAATTTTATTTATTTATTTTTAACATTTTCTCAAAAATTAGAGTCGGCGGGTCCGTAATCCGAAAAATATAAAACGCCTGGCCTAACCAACTTATCAGTACCCGATTGATTACATTTATAAATGTGTGTGGGCAGTAGCCATTTCGACTCGTGAAGATCCGGGGTTGAATAGGTTTTCGGCAACCCATGCTTGCCATAAATGGCAACTATGTTTGTCATAAGAGGGACTAACAGGATCGGGTGGTTAGGTTCGCTGACTTGGTTGATGCATATCATCGTATCCCAATTGCGTGGAACGATGCTTGTGATGTCAATCACCTGATTGTCTGGTCCAGACTCGATTATTTATGGACTGCCGTCATGTAGCTGGAATATTGCTGAATGCGGCGTTAAACACCAAACAAAACAGTAGCCATTTCCTCGGCAAAACTCGAAACTGGATATAAAGAGTACAGATTTTTTCTCAAATTACAATGCATTAATTTGTTAAGAGATAGCTAGCTAATACCATGCATAAGGCTCATAAAGGGGTGGTTTAACACTAAGGATAGAACAGCTGAAGAGGTCGTTGTTGGCACAGTTACTACAGATATGTACGCCAGGTACGTTTCTGCACACAGAAATGAACACTAACCAAAATCCGAATACAGAGACGTATTTGTAATTGATTACGTGATTAGTTCCCATTAGTATAGTTTGACTTTACCCAAGTTTAGTAAGCAGGTTGAGAACATGACAACGCACTGACGACAGATCACAACTCACCTTCAAGACAGCTTAACAAACTAGCGTTCAATAGGCGCGGCGGACTTTATGTAGGTCTACAGCACACTCAATCTGAGGCAAGTTTATGCAACAATCACTGACAATAGATAGGTGTATATATTGTGTTGACGTTGCATCAGCACAAGCCGGCCGACATGTGCGCCTGTGTTATTTCCGGTTTAAGGGTTATGTTAAAACATGTATTGGAATATAACGAAAACAGTCATTTTTGTGCATGATCAAAAAGTTTATTACAGACCCTTATTTCAAATATATTCAGATCTATATACCACGACATGTGTGGTCATCAGATTGCAAAGCATCCCTACAATTATAGTTACATTTATTCATTTTTATGTTCTTGTCAATTCATGTTTTGTAACTTTGCTAGAATTAGACGCGAGTACTTCCTGTTGACACGCAGAGGCACGAAAACAAACTTCTTATGCCTCAAATAGTCCAGTTCTTAAACAGACAATTACCTCTCTGAGATAATGACGAATGGTAAACAGATGCAACTTATTTTTTCGGTTATTCATACCTGTCTGTAAGAATAAGCTAACTTAATCGTCTTGAAGTGCATGAGATATGTTTGAACTGTCCAAGTGTTGAATTTTGTTGAACTTGGGAGTCCCATTTAATTTCGTGGGACATTCCGACGATTTTGTTATTTTTCATTTGACGTTCATTAGTCTTATCTTCAGGCCCTTTGGGTCTGCTTCTTCATCTGACAAATTCGTCAGAACATTTGGAAAACTCAATATCTTACAACACTTACCAGTGAATATGGTGAATGACAACATTGGCACAGCTAGCATATTCTTCATTTTCTCCTGTAAAACTAAAATACCCAATATTGAACCAAAAATTAATTGTGTTAATGGCTTGGTCTACTCTGCTGTCCAGTGACATATCAGCATTATAGTGTATCCATGGTAACACCCTACATGTACATGTTGTATGAAAAATGTATATGTTCTGCATCATTCACCATTCCAAGATCAATCATTTTCTGAAAATGTTTCATTTTTTCATAATCAAGTTGAAATTTGAACATGATGAATAGGTCTTATCTGCATGATCAGGATTGACTAATTTAGATTGATTGGTGTCAATGTCATAATCAGGTTTTCATGGTTATATTAATACAATGTATCAATGACGATTTGTATTTTACATTGCAGTGTATTCATTTGATGGAATGTTGGTCTTTGGCCTGCTTGTCATATGTACCTGTGCCTACATGCGACGGGTTCCTAGACTCAAACAGTGGTTCCTGTCAGAGAAAAAAGGCTTGCTAGGAGTTTTTTATAAAGGTGAGCTATTATCTGTTTATGTGTATTTTGGGTTAGCCAAAATACATGTTTTCCTGCTGTTCCAACATTCCTGTCAAGTAATCTTTTCGTCACATCTGAGACTTGTCTTCAAGACTTGCACATGAAATATAATACAAAATGTTTGTCATCTTGTGCTGAACAAGTGACATGTTATCAGAAAGAGAAGAAAGGAAAAATTTAGATTTTGTCAGAATTCTGACATCTGACTATACTAGACCCTTGAAGATTCCGGGTTAAAATAGGTCTTCAGCAACCCATACTTGCCATAAAAGGCGACTATGCTTGTCATAAGAGGCGACTAACAGGATCAGGTGGTCAGGCTCGCTGATTTGGTTGATGCATGTCATCGTATCCCAATAGCGTGGATTGATGCTGATGATGTAAATCACTGGATTGTCTGGTCCAGACTCGATTATTTACAGACCGCCGTCATATAGCTGGAATATTGCTGAGTGCGGCGTTAAACAACAAACTAACAAACATCCCAATACTAAAAATATTGCTTATTTTGACCTTGCTGTGATGCTAAGCAAGTAGGTAAATTTTATGTGATCATCAACAGCTGAAGTATTGGGCCAAAGTAGACAATTCTCAATATGGTAATAAGTGTGCACAATTCTGTCTTGCAAATGTACATGATGTAGTGGTCATAAAATTTCTGAGTCTCGTGATGGGATTCAAACCACAGACCCTCTGGCCTGAGGTTGGACACGTCCGCATGACCAAAGAGGTTAACCCCGTCAGTAAGCAGACAAGGAAGGGATATCATCTGTTGGATGACTCCACGCTCTGCTACATACTCTCCAATCAACAGAAGGCACGTCCGGGGGCACATGGTTGGGTACTGAGACTTTAGTTGCTAAGCCCCACATTTGGTGCCAATGTAGTGGCCATAAAGTTTCTGAGTCCTGTAAAGGGATTCGAACCACATACCTACTGATCCAAGGTCAGATGCCTTGTCCACATTACCAAAGAGGTCAACAGGCTGACACGGAAACGATGCCATTTTGTGGGATGACTCTGTGCCCTGCTACACAAACATGGTGAAGTTAACCATGATGGCTAATGGTTGTCTGTCAGAGACTAAAGGCTTATTTACCTATGTACTTCTGTCTTCTACCCGTCAGATCACACTAGGAATACCAATTCAACCCCAAACTATGTCACGGACAAAGGGTACCATGCATTGAAAGAAACATTAGTGTCACGTCCATTGTTAAACCAATTACCAGTCGCAGACGTAACGTGTACACAAGACGGTGCGGTCCGCAGTACTCAGTGAAGTGCTTGATACTAATTAATTCAATCAACGTGGCTGTGCTGTCACCCGCGACCTCCGCGAAAGTAATTAAAAATGCTATGTAAAATCGCCCACTTCCGAGAGAGCCCCCAATCCACCCAAGGTCGTGACTGGCAGTTCACATGTGCATCCTGATTACAGACACATGACAAGATGAGAATATTACATGAATGGTCATTGAAAGCTCTCTTCTGAATGTGGTCGGTGTCAAATTCTCTCATGTTAAAATGCAACCACTAATGCTTATTGTAGCTGTCGTAGCACTCTTTCACTACAAAACGATTTCAAGTCAATAATAACACAAACAGATTGTATGTCAAATTTGCCTCCTGCCTTTTTTTCCGTATGTGGTAATTTTGCTATGACGTTTACTGACAATTTTACCTTTCTGGATTTTTTCTATTTTAAATAGGTCTTAGGGTCTGATATCTTAATATATATACAAGTATTGTTTTGAATTGATACCCCAGTTCACACTATATCGCTAGACATTTTAACCCCTCACAGGCAGCTTGGGTTCTATGCTCCCCAGGGAGTTGAGAATAAAAATCAAGTGCACATTGATCCATTGCCCAGGGTTATGTTGTATGCTTTGAGCATTCTTTAGGGGGTGGATTTGGAACATTATGAATATGCAAATTGTTAGTAGTAGTATTGTTATTATTTTTAAGACTGTGAGAGGAGATGGGGTCTTGCTACCATGAATAAGTACACACAGTTACACATAAATCGACTTGTCTCCCTTTCAGCATCTGTTATTGGCACCCGACTCCACACACCAATATCGGTCATCTGTATCCTCATGGCATTCTATGTTCTTCTACTCAAGTAACCATGGAAACTCACCCCTCATTCCGTCTCCGCCCAGAGTTGTCTGCCCTTGTTCCCTCATCCATCATGACTTTGTATCACAGTAAGTGTGGGAGAGGCATGGACATTACAGAGGACAGTGGATAGTGGCTGACGAGTCAGCTAGGCAGAAGCTGTGTAATAGATGAAGAACATGACTTTCTGTGATCACTATGTACTTACCATGTTTGTGTCCAGATGTCACATGGCATTCATAGTGCTGATGTTACAATTTGCAGAGCTCCAGATGCTTTTTTGTATAAAATATGCACAACAAATCACGTTTACCCACTTAATTTCAAGTTGCGGTGTAGAAATATGCCTGAAAAATATTATTATTCATTAGTGCAACTACTGTGCGTATTTACCCAATGTGGCCTTTAGCTTCTGTACTGTAATGATTTGTATTAACTGATCAAATGCAGGCATCACTATTGCGTTGATTAATTGATAAAAGTGCTATATATCTTTTTTATTTTGTAACCTAGAGATATCACTGTAGTGAACTTGCAACAAGTGAAAAAATTGCATCTTCCCGAGGCAAGGGAGTTAACTGACTCTAAAAGTCCAGTTTCCATCCTTGCCAAACGAGGCTGGAATTTCTGGGCTCGATCATAGCGCCACCAACCTATTATGAGGAATGTCCCTCCTACTGACCTATCAGATACCACCTCTCTGATCACTTGCATTTTGCATTAAACAAAATAGCGGCGCCCAGTCAAGACAATCTGATTAATAATCAAAGTCTATGTTGTGATAAAACAGGTCTTACGTCGCGAAGTGCATCAAATCAGGTGAGCACCTTGATTAAAAACATGAAAAAATGTGAAACATATCTGTAGACGCCGAGTTGGTGGTACACATGCTTTGCAATCAACCAAAATCTGCACAGCAGTTTACGAACTGTATGTCGTTGTCGTTGTGCAGTTTTGAGCCAAAATGTAACTCCATAATACCAGCCTAGTTCGGCAAGGGTGGAAACTGAACTTTTATAGTCAGTTAACTCCCTTGCCTCAGGAAGATGTAAAGTTGGGGCAGCACATAATCAGGTGCGAAGTCATCTGTAACTGCATTTTAGGCACAATTTGTTTTTCAGATTTGTACCTTGTGGACACAAGGGAGTTAAAATGCATTGAATACCAAAAGAAACATGTAAATAGCCAATGATAATGACTACATGTGACTAAATACTCATTGGCTTTAAAAGACGACCTGGAGTCCTGACTTCATCTTGTGTGGTATTCATTAATCATGGGATTTCACTTGGTCTGACCCAGTGTCTGAAATAACTGCCAGCCCGCCTGCCCGTGGCTGGTAACTTTTCTATCAGGCTGCATGAAATTTTCCTCCACCTGCCCGACTGTCTGGCAGATAATTTTAATACTACTTACGTATTCCGTTTTATCATAACTCCTCATAAATTCTCAAGTAATTATTTGCATTATTTAAGCTGTATCAAGATGCAATTTGTCTCTTATTTTTCACGATTTTTCAATGTTCATCATGTCTGAATGCGGGTGGGTAACTTTGAAAATGGTCAGGCACCTTTCATGGGTCACCTGCCCAACTGTCTTGTTGGGTTTTCAAATTATTTCAGTTGGTCTGACCAACTGTTAAACTTCAGGAATTCCGAGACTACTCAGTTCCTTTTTCTAAAAACTTTTATCTCTTGAAAGAAGAAGCTAAATACAGAAACTCTAACCTTATTTTCATTTGCGCAAAAATGTGGGCAGGTTATTCTGCAAAACAGTGATATAATTTATTCAAATTTTTCTCTTCACAGTGGCTAATGCCATGACATCGCCTAAAATAGGCAGAATGTGAATTTCATGTACATGAAACAATTATGTGGATAAGTTGTGACATACAGAAAAATGAAGATCTAAGGCTGGTTGTATTCAGGGTGGTTTCGGCCAAAGTCGGTTGTATCGTTTCTCATCACCATTCTTGTTTTGATTATCATATTACTATTTGTTTAGAAATGTGTGTATAAATCTCGAGAATTTGTCCTATTTTTAGGTTTCCTCAAGAATGTAAAGTAATTTACAGATTAATTTTTACGTTGGTAGTTTTCTAAGCTATACAGATAGGAATATAGAAAGATTTGAAAGAATGTTACCATGATGTATGGTGTATGTTTTACCTTAAAGAGGGGCTGTGCTCCACTGTCTGGAATCCATTATCGGTTTAGGTCTACACTTTGTGATCAGTGACTTGTATATGAGTGAGTTGGGTTTAACGCCACTTTTAACAGTAGTCCAGTTATATCGCGGCGTGTCAGCTTAATGTGGGAGGAAAGCCCGAAGTGATGCAGGTCTCAGACGTTTACCCATTCGGTGAAACCCACGAGCATGGGTATGGTGCTGACAAACCTAGAAACATAATGGGGGCGAACTGGGATTTGAACCCACAATCATAGGTTTCTGGCATGCCCAAGGGGCGCAACTCTGCACAGCGAATCGTGGCACCTTAGACATCTGGGCAAGCCGTGCCTCGACTTGTATATGAAGTTGTCTCAGATTCAGACATTAAGTGCTTCACAGATATTACGAGATATACATCCCAGAATGTGGGATACCAGGTTACCAGTGTTAGGATGACTTGAAAGGAACCTGCTAGGAGTGCCAATTTGACGAAACCTAGTACTCCTTCACATGACATTGTTAAAAGACTTTTATGGATAAGATGTACAGTGTGAAGATACCTTTGCATTCATATGAAAGGTATCTTGTGATGGAACGTTTGTCAATGTCATTGGTACTTCTGAGTTGCAGAGCACCTATCTCGGTGAATCCGATGTCTAAAAGTGAAAAGTGTGACTCTATAATCAATAGACCAAGATCACGATTCAGTGTTCCTTAACCTCCTGGTGTCTCAGTATGAGTTTACAAGCTTCCGTTCTAAATATCCACTGTCACTTGACAGATATAGAGCTTCAATATATATTCAGAACTTAAAGACTGCTCTGTTAACCATTCTCGTCAATAGACATTGACAGCCTGTAGCAGGGATTTATTTTGGATTCCAAACTTAAGAAACCTAGCAGACAAATTTGACAAAAGCAAACAACTTTGTTCAAATTTGAATTTTCTTAAAAAGTCCATCCTAAATTCAGGGCTATTTTAATATTTCATTCAATGCAACTCTTTTAGGACAATCAATTTTGACCACCTGTCAAAGGACAGTGGCGTGTATGAGTTTTAAAATCTTATTCACAGAAGTCAAAAGGACGAAGTTATTTTATAAAGATCTATTCATCGAGTTATTTTACAAAGATCTGTTCACTAAAATGTTTTCACACACGGATGCATCGACATTAAATCAAAAATAACTATTTATATGGTTTCTTAACTACTGTAAAACACAAATAAAATATGGCTCGAAAATAATACGTCTGACCAAATGTAGACTTTAAGCGCACCAAATAAATGCGATCAACCATTATTATTTTTTAAGTTACTAAACGATGATCTTCGCTGAACTATATCTACTCTGTGTAACAGATACACCAATATACATGGTATATATATTTGTTTGTAAATGCCAATGTTCACATTTCTGTTGTCAATACTCATGTACATCATCATATATACAGGGCTGGTGTTGTGTCTTACCTGTACATACTGTCACACTTGTACATACTACAACAAAGGGGTTTTAACATTACCGTTTGGAGGTATTACCATTTTGACTATTTCAGTGGAGGATTCGCATGTTGGATAGTGTAGTACACAGGAGTTTTTCAAGCTGGTAGTAGTTCTTTAACATAGTGTAGAGAAACCATGTTGGTCGATTAAACCACAGTCGTGGAGGGATTTGCTTGTTGAATGTTATTTACAATGCGTGTTGTTTACATTCTTTAATACACTGGAGACAAAGCTCACCAGTTGATGAAACCACGGTTGACAGATTCGCTTGTTGAATGTTATTGACAGCACGTGTTGTTTTCATGAAATGGATATCAGTTCTTTAATGCACTGGAGACGAAGCTCACCAGTTGATGAAACGGCGATGGACAGATTCACTTGTTGAATGTTATTCACAGCACGGGTTGTTTTCATGGAATGTATACCTGTTATTTAATACACTGGAGACGAAGCTAACCATGCTAACCAGTTGATGAAACCACTGAAATGTATTAGTACAGTCAGCTATAGGCTACAGAGGTTGTCTTTTCATACTTGGTTCACAGATATATCACCCTGAAATGAGTAATGTGTAAAAAATAAGATTCCACTTTAAAGCTCCTTTTTTTTTTATTACCGATGTAACTGACTGAAATGAGTATTTTGTGGTTACAATTTTTTATCGAGGTGTGTATTCAAAGTACCGTATTCGACGTAATAAGCGCCCAGGGCGCTCTCAAAATTAGAAATCAGGGGCTCTTATTAGAATATTGTTTTGGTGGAAAAAAGAGCGTTGAAAGATAAATTTCGTGGTTTATGCTGACACACTGAAATGTTTATATGCGACAGATACATTTTTCCAGAATTTAATTGCCCATAATTAAGAATGCATATAACACACGACTGCGTATTTTACGCGAATAAATAAGTCTTGTGTACATTGATCAATCGGAAGGGGTGCTAATTGGGATTGTTCACTAGCCAATATATTAGCAAATGTCGCCGTGGGCGCTTATTAGAGCGGGGCGCTTATCACGTCAAATACGGTATGTAGTTTTTAGGCTTTTTTAAAAAAATTGGAAGTGGGGGCTTTTTATGAGTCTGCAAACAAGTGAATTAAGATGGTTATTTACCTTTTGTGAGAAAATAAAAATGCTTATTGAAGATAAGATTCTTTCATGTTGGCTTGTTTACTGGTGTACAAAACCTGATAGAAACCTTTTGTATTTGAACATGTTGAACTAAACATTAGAAATAAGGTACTGAAAGATTTGACTATTTTTGATAGAAGTGGGAACTAATCAGGTTTTTTCGACAAACCAGTATTAATTATGCATGTCTCGTTGTTCCATCTTTGTACATGTTGTAGCAGTATCAAGTTCAAGTAAGCCTTCAAGATAAATCCTTGTGTGCATGTACTTACAGGACTAACATGCATGCTGATCATGTGTCATATTGTACAGGTATACAACAATTGTACATATATCGTGTATATTGATGGGGAATTGTGTAACAATAAAAAGCAGTTTTTCAAACAAATGACTGAGCTTATATTTATCACCATTGATTAACCATATGGGTAAGGTGAAATTTTAGCATCACATTCAAGATTATTCTACTTATATAGCGACATGCATGCACATTGTGTGTGTGGTCCCTTGTACTAGTCCGGATTAATGACAGTTTCATAGTGCTAGACCACTGAGATACCATGCCACAGATCCCATGAAGATCCGGGGTAGAATAGGTCTTCAGCAACCCGTGCTTGCCGTAAAAGGCGACTATGCTTGACGTAAGAGGCGACTAACGGGATCTGGTGGTCAGGCTCACTGACTTGGTTGATGTATGTCATCGATCCCAATGGTGTGGATCAATGTTCATGATGTCAATCACTGGTTTGTCTGGTCCAGACTCGATTATTTACAGACTGATGTCATATAGCTGGAATATTGTTGAGTGTGGCGTTAAACAAACAAACAAACAAACAAAACCATGCCACAGATTAACATGGATACCCCACTGAGACACAGTACACTGACTCCGTCCGTCAACAATCACCTGATGACCTCACCACCTCAGGCATGATCATTTGTTCATGAGAGAAGGTGGAACAATCATCTTTTAGAGTTAATCAGCATGTTCCAAATGTAAACAATAAAGGCTGTGCTATCATGTTGTGGATAATTAAAACCCCTTCTTATTTCCGATTGCCATGGCATGTACACCCAAAAGGGAGAGCCATCAATGGAATAGTTGTGTTCTCTGTGGGCTTCCTTTCATTAACATTAATATATCCTAATCAAGACAAAAATGAAGCTGAAGCTGAATCACTTTTGAAAGTTGACCTCTGATTGGCTAAAGCACCCATGCATCCTTCCTTTTGATTGGGTGGTAAAAGTTTGCTCAGGGTTTACCTGATACAACCTTCTGTGGAGGTGTCCTCTGATCTTCACAGAGAGGTATCATTGTGTAAAATATCTGATCTTAAGGAGATTGTCTTAATTCAAGCATGGACCAAAGCCTCTCAAACAGGATGAGGTTGGTACTAAAAAAATACAACAAAGTCTAATTATCTTGATGAAATAAATATTATTTGAGAAATTCCATTTGGCATTTTCCTCTGAATATTTAAAGTTAAACATTATTTGAGAGCTTTTTGTTTTACAGTGGACACCCTTCCAAGATGGCAGCCATGAAGACAATTATCATCGATTCTGACATCTAAATTTATTTAAATACCAAACACATAAACATTTCATATGTACTTAAGCAAGATTTAGAATCTTTTTGCCATGAAACATTGATAAACACAAAATAAACAATATTTAAACAAATGTAGAAATAGAAATATCATAAAATGTGCACATCAGATGTTTATCTTCAACAGTTACACAGAAACAAGTGCAAAGGCCCACATGCACAAAGCAGGCTTAGGGTTATGTATGGCTTTCCTTGCAGTTCAGTATATATCGTGGTGGCTGATATTCTCCTTGTACTCCATTAGCTATGTGGTTAAGCACAAAGAACATTTGTTCTTATTTTGAGGTTTGAATAAATTATAATATTTCAGTCTTAAATGAAGCATGAAAATAAATATTATGGATTCAAAAAAGCAAGTTTCGATTATTTTGAGTCTTTAGAATACAATTAAACATATACATAATAAACGTAATTTAGTTTTTCATAGTGTTTTGATATATTCTAGGGATCTGTTCTTAACCAAATAACATGTAGCAATTGTTGTGGTGTCTTGAAAGTTTACTGATTTCATAACTTTGTGCATATGACCCTTGTTCCATCTGGAAACATCTACGCAACATGCATATATGATATTTCATTGATTTATATAAATTATTAGTGAACACATAAAAATTCATTCCAATCCTACCAACATGCTTAGGACATTCAATTAAACATGTTCAATCAAAACATACACAGGCATTCATCCTCAATTAAAAGAAATTCAATCACGAAAAATATGTTAAAGGATGCCCTTGTGCATGGACTCAAATTATAATTTTCAAAAGGGTTACATTCCACATTTCATTCTATTTACCTGACCTCTTTCAAAAACAGATGCCTGTGAATTTCTAACTACAAAGCCTACACAATCATTTCCCTGAGATATAGGGCCAAGACTTTTTAATATTTCTTGATTTACAGATGTTCTGTGAAATATCAAACTTGTTCGCCTTTTCATTTCTTCTTGGTCATCAGAATCTGTAAATCAAGTTTCATAAAAAGTCTCGTCCAGTAATACAAACATATGTCATCATCATCATCATCATCATCATCATCATCATATTTGCGTGTCGGTCTGATGAAAAAAACATTGTCAATACTTCCTGGGTTTGTATACATGGTACACTGCTTGTTGTAAGAGGCGACTAACGGGATCGGGTGGTCAGGCTCGCTGACTTGGTTGATGCATGTCATCGTATCCCCATCACTGGATTGTCTTGTCCAGACTCGACTATTTACAGACGGCCGTCATATAGCTAGAATATTGCTGAGTGTGGCATTAGACAACAAACAAACAAACAAAACATGGTACAGACTACAGTCCTCCATCTGCCATGAATACACACAGCCGTCTTGCAGTGTAGTTACTATGTTTACCAACAAATCCAGCCACTGTCTGCTTCCAGCAAGAGGGAAACCAGTGAGTGCTCGGACCAATTCATGTTTGTTTGTTGTTAAACGCCGCACTCAGGAATATTCCAGCTGTATGACAGGGGTCTGTAAATAATCAAGTCTGGACCAGGCATTCCAGTGATTGACATCATGCAATCATGGCAATTGAGATACGATGACATGCATCAACCAAGTCAGCGAGCCTGACCACCCGATCCCGTTCGTCGCCTCTTACGACAAGCAAAGTCATCTTTTACGGCTCCGATTACATCACACAAACAGCAATAATACTTGTACCCTTGCCTTATGGCCATCTTATTAACAAATTGCTTCAATATCAAGAGATTTTACTTCTGTGAGTTATTAATGGCCTCATTTCATCAGCACAACTTAAACACTACACTACACCACAAACCATCTGTGTATAGTCACAAATGATGGTGTACCAGTGTCTGCAAAACCTGTGAAGTATTGAGATGATCAGGAAACTAGAATAAAAAACATATTTATGAGACATGTTAAAAATTTAGTCCTTTCTGTTTACACAAATTAGTCCCATAAATCACATAAAATAGTTAAATTTATTCAAGTGGAGAATATATAATAAGTCTAGGCAAAACTCTCTTTTTTAGTTTTACGGAGGAGTTTGCTCTAAATCTTCAAGAGTTTAGTGGAAATTATCCAGTTTTTGTTTATATTTCATTACCTTCTAACCATGAAAATCTATAAAAACAAGAAATCAAATTGGTTACACCTAATTAATTTTGATTTCAAGTGAAATACCAGTAGAAGATACTTTTGATGATGAAGCCGAATGTGTGGATATATGTGATGAAAATCACAAAACCACAAGAAAGACTTAATTGTATAAGTCGTGCATTGGTATTGAATGGTATTGTACTGAAGTCTTGTCTGTTTAAAATGAACTGAAAAGGAATATTTTTACTACTCCATGTACAATGATGTATGACTAAAAAGAGAGTGTCAATATAACCCTCAACACATCAACCTCAACACATGTACACCAACCACATCAACTCACACCAGCCAGTGCACCATCTTCCCAAGGCATGAGCATCCAATAGCCTACTTATCAAAATCTAGTTTCCACCCTTGCCACATCAAGCCCCCTATCCTGTGCTAAATATGATTGGACTACAGCACAAATCGATAGTCAAATCAGAGAATGTTTCATAAAATCAACATCCGGTTCCGAAAACATGGCTGCTGCCATATAGCTTGTCGAATTCGCGCTGACGTTCTTTCAACAATTAAGCGAAGAGAAGAATTTTCGAAGTCTTTCCAAGTTATAAATCAATACGCCCAAGTATTAGGCTTGTAAGCTGTACGATGATGAGAACAGTCATTAAACACGACTTGTCCTCATTCGTATGAAAGTGATTAACCTCTGACTGTCTTTGTTAACATGAATATTTCTTTTCCCATCTTTGAACCCCTCAACGATTGCCCTTATTTGTCTGTCAGGGATGAAATCACAAATATTTTAGTTATTTGATCGACCAGGTCGTCGGACATGATAGTCACCATCTTTATGAAGCCAAACGATCTAAGAACAGCGATCTGATTGGATTTTACACAAGGTGGCACCAACATCGAGCCAAGAAAAGTGGGCTTGATGTGGCAAGAGCAGAAACTAGGCTTAGACATAGACGAGTGGAAGATGCCAGTGAACAAGACATCATCATTTTGTGTGCACACAAAATTCATTGTAAAACCTCTACCCACTATGTCATTCCCACAATCACTGCCTCTAATACAACATCATGTTGCTGTGTTGACAGCCTTATGACACATCAGGAAGGAACGCGACACTTATTGTTATACATCTATTCTTCACAATCATCATGACAACCCAGATTTCAAACACCCTTGATTACCTAGTCTATTACATCTCCATTCTATTGATATATACCTGAACCCACTGACCACCTTAGCCTTGTACTGAGATGCTAAAACTTGCCATCCAATAAAATTATACTGTTCTTGCATGATCTAACCAAGCAGCCATTTCAACAGCGTTCGTGTAAACTGCGTGCCACCACAAAATAAACCCTTCTGGAATGACTTGTATGAGGACTCCCACCCCTGTCTGAGTACTCAGGAAAATATCTTTCCAGTTAATTTGAAAGTAGATCTATGCTAAAAGCAAGTTCAGAAGAGAATTTTGATTGGTTGATGATTTTAAGATGATGAGCGAGAGAAATCCTGTGCTAAATTTAGTCCTAAGAGAGATGAAGCTGGTGCCATCACTTCTAAAACTAAGCTCTGGTGGAGAGTGGATCCTGGCCATTAATCCTCATAGAATGGAGAATAAATACACATGGGGATGAATTTCTACTATGATTTTTCTACAACTAAATTACCCATCAAACCCCAAACAAAGACAACATGATCACATACAAGTATGATTATCTCAAAGCTTGTCCTTCATACAAGTGAGAAGAACCCAGAACCATTCCCATGCATGTAAAACAAATCCTATGTAATTGGACCTTAAAAATGCTAGATGTTGATCAACCCCTCATCATTCACCAACATCAATGTGCTTGAATATCATTATAAGCAATTACAGTCAACTACGGTTATAACAAACTCAAAGGGACCACTAATTATAGTTTGTTATATCCGTAGTTCCTTAGAAACATTTCGACTGTCAGACATCTCCGCTTGCAAGATGTGTCTGCCATCCATTTCCCCACTCGAGTTGTCGCATTTTGTACACAGAATATATCCACTTCATAGGTTGTAGCCTAATCACTGTGTAACTATTGTTAAGTGGGGGAGTAAAACGAGGACAAGGTGTCAGTACTTAAGTGTAGATCAATTGCCTTCAATTGTTTATGACTGCTTTTGATAGGCAGATTGGTGACACATGAGCATCTCAGCTCAGGGATTAACAGTTTGTTATAAACTTAAACATTATCGTTGACAGAGTACACACGGGACCATAAAATGAGTTCACTATATCCGTTATCAGCGTGTTGGTTATATCCATCAATTTTATATGATAAAATATACAGCAAATGTCAGTTCGTTATATCCGACAGTTCGTTATAAACGTAGTTTACTGCAGTTCTTCCAGCGTAGACCAATTTGAATATGGAGCCTAAGTACATCAGCAGAGGTGTGCATCCGAAAAGAATCATGATTATGATTATTATGATGGTAAATATGATCATGGTATTGAAGTGGAATATTGGCGAACACTGTTGAATAACGTTGTTCCAGTTTAACATGAATATATGTCGCAAGAAATTCAATCATGATTTGGTTACAGTACAATGATTGCAATACAATATGTGATATAATACATCAAAACTCACCTGATGTTTATGGTGTATTTGTGACATAAGATGGTAAATTCATAATAAAAGGGTAACCATGAATTTGCAAACCTAAATAAAAAATGTCATGATACAACAAAACAGCAACAATATCTTATAATAATCATCATGTTAGACCATAGCAGGGTAAAAAATAAAAGGATTTAAAATAAAAAATATTTCAATTGTTATTCCATCCACCACATATATTCTGCCTATCAAACCTCATAATGGTACATGCAAAAATGGTGGAGTAATTACTAACATTGACATTCCAACATGGCTGCTTTGGCAGCCATGTTTAAAATTTGATTGGAATTTTCTCAGACACCATTGCATGAGTCATCCATGCAATCTGTCAGCATCATATGCCTCCTGAGGTATCAGAGATGCTTCAGAGTATGACATATGAGTGACAAGTACCACAGCATGTGTGTCTCAAATTTCAGCCCATCCAAACAAAGGGTAGGTAGGATATCAGAGTCAGAGCTTTTGGGGGTTTTTGGTTATTTTTTTTTCTCTGAAAAATGGATATTGCAGCTAGGGCTGGGACGGGTAACTCGAGCGGGACTCGGGTACCCACAGGACCACCCGGAACCGTGGTTAGTCACATAATATATTGTTTGATGACAAAAATTATCTAAAACTCTATGGTTACACTACAAGTCACTAATGTTCCCATTTCTTTCTGACAATGCACCTATCCCTTCTGACTTTTATATGTTTGAATAAAGATACAACTTCATGTAGTAAACTTCAGTGTATGCATGACCAGATCGTTTTACACGTGTATCTAAATACATTTTGCCAGGGATACAGTCAAACGTTTCTAAATCGGACAGTTTGTACCTATCTCTAAATATCTACAACGGGTACCTGGGAAGGGTCGGGTAATAGGGTGGTGGGTACCCGGGTAGTAAATTTGGACTCGCCCCAGCCCTAATTGCAGCCCATCATTAAAAGCCTACTTAAAAGCCTAAATGAAGATAATGACTGGTTTATCTATAGTCAAACACAACAGCTAAATACCGTGGACAATGAACAATACTGTGATAAAAGTTGTGGTGAAACTTGAAAACAACAAGAAATCAGGGCAGGGGCTTCAGGTTTGGTCAAATGGTAAACCGGAAACACACATGTACTATTTTCCTAAGCTCACATAAGCTTAAAAGTCAGGTGAGCTGAGAAGTAAAACTTGTGAAAGTGATAAGATAAGCTCCATCACCAAAGAGAATGATCAGTGATAAATACAAAACATATTAGGCTTAAAAAAATAAAAGAAATGATTCTCAGGCTTCGGTTCGTAACATTTAATCCTGCGAATCAGTCATTATCATTGCCATTATGAAATATATTTATCAAATTTCCATGGTTTTCTCTGTTATACATCAAATAAAATTATTCACAAGTGATATTTTTTTTAAATGCCTTTTTCAACGTGTGCATAGATGTATTTGTTGGTATTGTGGGTGAAAAACAGAAATGTTCCACTCACATCAATTTTGAGAAAACATGAAAGAGAAATATTTCATTTTTTATGTAGCCTCAGTAAAAATGATAACTGATTCATAACTCCTCCATACAACACGCTAAAAAGAACATCTTTTTCACAAACAACTTGCATGGAAACAGAGTTCTTTTAAACCCCCAAATAATACATGTTTCTGGTAACCATGGTAACACAAATGACCAATCATTTTAATTGCAACTAGTTGCCAATAAGTCTTTGTACGCAAGAATAGTTTAAAGTTATACCTGATCCCACAAAGTATTGCAGTGTAACCATGGTAACAATACTTTGGTGAATCATTACTGTCTTTGTGCCTGACCTCAAAATTTGATACAGACACGTTAAGCATGTTAAGTAACCATGCATACTTGAAAAATCCTCAACAATATATAGGGTAAAGTATGGGTACAACATTTAGTAAACATGGTGGCATTTGATGCCCTGCAAATATAAAAAACATTCCAATATGTTAGAGGAACTGTTGTCAGTATTTCATTGTTTTAGCTATATTGGAATTTCGAGAACAGCCCTTTATTAGCTTCAATGGAATTATGTTTGAGACAGTCTGTAGCACCAACTCCAGGACTAGAGTCCACACCATGAATGTTTCCATGGCAACAACCTTTATCATCTGATATTAAAACAATCAGTGAGCGAAATGCGATCACTCAGTACTATTATTTTCAACTTTATCATTGCTGGATTCGACACCATCAGTCCTGATTTCCACGTGATCATTGCCACTTTCCACTTTATCATCACTGGTGTCAACTTTATCTTGACCAGTCTCCACTTTATCATGACTTCTGTCCACTTTATCAAGGCCGGTCTCCACCTCTTCGTCATCAATCTCCATTTTATCATGGCTGCTGTCCACTTTATCCTGTTTATCATGACTTTTGTCCACTTTATCAAGGCCGGTCTCCACCTCTTCGTCACCAATCTCCATTTTATCATGGCTGCGGTCCACTTTATCCTGTTTATCATGGCTGCGGTCCACTTTATCCTGTTTATCATGGCTGCTGTCCACTTTATCCTGTTTATCATTGCTGCGGTCCACTTTATCCTGTTTATCATGGCTGCTGTCCACTTTATCCTGTTTATCATGGCTGCGGTCCACTTTATCCTGTTTATCATTGCTGCTGTCCACTTTATCCTGTTTATCATGACTGCTGTCCACTTTATCCTGTTTATCATGGCTGCGGTCCACTTTATCCTGTTTATCATTTCCAGCCTCTACTTTGTCATGACTGCTTTCCTTCTCATCATCACTCCTTTCCACTTTATCATGGTCACTTCCCACTTTACCATCACTGTTATCATGGCTACGATCAGCACAATCCTCGTCTTCAGGCTCCTCTGTCAAGTCGATGACATCGCTGCTGTTACTGCCATCGTCTATACATCTAGTCGTACTGCTGACCTGGGGTCTGTTCAGCGTCTTCACGCACACAGTCATCAGCGAAGGCTGAGTTGGCATCAGGTTACCCAAAACGTCAAACCGATCACCATTAGCATCCGTCTCGTACAGAATCTCCACCGCCTCGCTGTCCGAGTCACTCTCTGACTCCGAATCCGTGTAATACAGGCTCCTAGGAAACAAAGCACCACACGATCCTTGACTTGGCGGCAGAGTCGCGTCACTGTCAGATTCACAGTTCCGGGACAAGTCCGGTCGCATCTTTTTCCTTGGGCTGATATCGCTGTCGGAACTCGCTAACCTTTTCTCAACCTTTGCCACAAGGTTGCTGAGATTTCTGGCATATTCTGCACTGTTTATAGACATGGGCATTCTACGCTTGTTGTTGAATTTGGACATGACACAATCCTTCCCTCCACTCAGAAATCCAGACTCCTTGTCACTTTCATCATCACTGTCCAAAATAACTATCTCCTCCACTGACTCCTCCATTGTTGAAGGTGGTAGTATCGGAAGCCTCATGCCAGACCCTCTGTCCACTGCATCCTCCTTGAGCCTGCCGATGTTTGTATGGGGCTTGTCTGTACAGGCCTTAGCCGTACAGGCCTTGTTTTTACGGGGTTTGTCAGTGTGAGTCTGTTTCAGACCAGGTATGTCTGTGTCAGAACTGAAATCAACATCAAATCTCTGGGTTTCCCCAACATCTTCCTCCACATTGTCTTCAATGTCTGTCGCATTTCCCTCATCAAACAGATCACAACTGCTTTGTTTCTCAAATACAGACTTTTTTTTAGTCTGTCCATCCCTTTTGTTAGAAGACACCTTATCTCGATTTCGCTGCGAGATCGACACCGTATCTCCGTTTCCTTGCAAGATCGACACTTTATCTCCATTTCCTTGTGAGACATTATCGCCTTTCTTTTGCGAGATACCATCTTTCTTTTTAGGACCCTTGCCATCCCCTGAATCAACAGCAATGTCGTCTTTGATTTCAAGGTCATCCTCCTCATCTTCATCTGCCCTGATCAAGGTGACCTTATCTCCTTTTCCATCACACGTCTCACCATGTGAGACACCATCTCTAGGTCCATGAGACGTGTCGCCATCTCCTTGGTGAGACGAGCTGTCTCCCTGTCCATGTAACAGCCCATCACCAGCAGATCCTGCAGCTCCGTCATGCACGTCAATCTCACACACATCCTCCTGTGACAGACTGGACTCGATGACCACAACATCATCATGGGCGCAGTAGCTGACGGTGGAGACACGGTCCTCCTCGTCACAGTCCTCATCTCCGCTCACATACAGACAGTAGGACTCCTCGGTGTTGTCTGGGGATGAAACAACAGACGATGACTGTTACCTTTCTCACAATAACATTGCCATGCAAAGGGCATTTTACATAGTATTCTGCAATATCTCAATGTTTTAACATGCCTCGCATAAATCTGAGCTGGGTCAATATGGTAAAACAAATCAACGTTGATGGGGCTCACTGACACACAAAACATCAAGCCAAGTACTGTCTACACCCAGGAACCATTAATCACCATCTTAGGACCCTAAATTTGGAGTAAGTATACCATACAAGGAATATTACCAAAAGTCTTTTTTCATTGTTCCTATCCAAGAATAAATGGCAATTATTCTCATGTGTTTCTGTATCATCAATATCATATATTAGGAAATAAAATTGTATTATGCGAGCCTTTGGTGAGGATAATACATACTTTTTAGTCCTAATATATGATATTTATAACACGGAAACACACAAGGGATAAAATATCTTTATCATACAGTGTCATTCTTAAAATAATGGATGCTAAAGACACAATTTCATTCAATGAAGTAGCTCCTAAAACCAAGATAAATACAATTTTTGAGTGAACCGCCCAATGTATCATATGGCGCCAAATGACATGCAGCTGTGGTTGTCACCATGTTTTGGTGTCACATTGGGAAACCCCAATCTAAGCACAATGGCAACGTCAGTAAATATAGTTTATTGAGAGAGAGTGAGAGTGATTATGGTTTTAGCAATATTCCAGCAATATCACGGTGGGGGACACCAAAAATGGGCTTTACACATTGTACTCGGCTTGACGAGGGAACGCTTTAACCAATAGGCAACCCCACTGTCCTTTTGAGAAAGAGTGAGTGGGTGAGTTAATGCTTTACGTCACATTGGCAATATTTCAGCCATACTTTTGAGAAAGAAGCACCATGTTGATGTATTGAGCTTAAAAGAAGTTCCTGCTAGATTTGCATACTTATCGGATCATGCTACCCATTTTTTTTAATTATTTTTTTTTTATTGGCTTATTGCATTGATGAAACAAGCTTTGATATGATCAAGTATTTGATCAGAAGATGACAGGCATTAATTTCTTGACAACACTCAGCATGCATCACAGAAAATGTATTTACCCCAAACTGGGATATACAATCTTGAGGACGAAAACACTCACCCAGGGTCAGGTCCTCAGCCTTGTCCTCTCCAGCCTTGGCCCCGAACAGTTCCTGTGAGGACAGAGGCAGAGAAGGTTTCTCCTTCCCCGTGTCCTGGGTGTTGGTGAGATCCATCCCTTCATCCTGGATGATGCTACCCTCATACGAGCTGTCCACCACACTGGCCTCGCTGTCCACCACACTGGCCTCGCTGTCCTTGGGGGAGGACAAGCTGGTCTGGGACGGGGTGACCTGCCTCTGGGGGAGGCGGGAGGAGGGTTGGATCTTGACTGGACTGTCAAATACCAGGTTCTCGGAGTCACTCTGGGACGAGTCTCTGGCTGTGGGGTACAGAGACAGGTTGACATTACCAGGCAAGGATGAAACTTGGGGCTGAGGGAGGAAGCATGCCTGAGTGCAAGTGAGTGTGGGTGATTGTGAGCGAGTGAGTGAGTGCGAGCAATAGCGTGTGAAAGTGAGGAAGAGAGAAAGTGAGCAAGACTGAAGGCGAGTGAGTGAGTGCGAGCAATAGCGTGTGAAAGTGAGGGAGAGAGAAAGTGAAAGACTGAAGGCGGGTGAGTGAGTGTGAGCAATAGCGAGTGAAAGTGAGGTAGGGAGAAAGTGAAAGACTGAAGGCGAGTGAGTGTGTGCGAGCAATAGCAAGTGAAAGTGAGGGAGAGAGAAAGTGAAAGACTGAAGGCGAGTGAGTGAGTGCGAGCAATAGCGTTTGAAAGTGAGGGAGAGAGAAAGTGAAAGACTGAAGGCGAGTGAGTGAGTGCGAGCAATAGCGTGTGAAAGTGAGGGAGAGAGAAAGTGAGCAAGACTGAAGGCGAGTGAGTGAGTGCAAGCAATAGCGTGTGAAAGTGAGGAAGAGAGAAAGTGAGCAAGACTGAAGGCGAGTGAGTGAGTGCAAGCAATAGCGTGTGAAAGTGAGGGAGAGAGAAAGTGAGCAAGACTGAAGGCGAGTGAGTGAGTGCAAGCAATAGCGAGTGAAAGTGAGGGAGGGAGAAAGTGAGCAAGACTGAAGGCGGGTGAGTGAGTGCGAGCAAAAGTGTGTGAAAGTGAGGGAGGGAGAAAGTGAAAGAGTGAAGGCGAGTGAGTGAGTGCCAGCAATAGCGTGTGAAAGTGAGGGAGGGAGAAAGTGAGCAAGACTAAGGCGAGTGAGTGAGTGCGAGCAATAGCGTGTGAAAGTGAGGGAGGGAGAAAGTGAGCAAGACTGAAGGCGGGTGAGTGAGTGCGAGCAATAGCGAGTGAAAGTGAGTGAGAGAGAAAGTGAAAGACTGAAGGCGAGTGAGTGAGTGCGAGCAATAGCGTGTGAAAGTGAGGGAGGGAGAAAGTGAGCAAGACTGAAGGCGAGTGAGTGAGTGCCAGCAATAGCGTTTGAAAGTGAGGGAGAGAGAAAGTGAAAGACTGAAGGCGAGTGAGTGAGTGCAAGCAATAGCGTGTGAAAGTGAGGAAGAGAGAAAGTGAGCAAGACTGAAGGCGAGTGAGTGAGTGCAAGCAATAGCGTGTGAAAGTGAGGAAGAGAGAAAGTGAGCAAGACTGAAGGCGAGTGAGTGAGTGCCAGCAATAACGTGTGAAAGTGAGGAAGAGAGAAAGTGAGCAAGACTGAAGGCGAGTGAGTGAGTGCGAGCAATAGCGTGTGAAAGTGAGGGAGAGAGAAAGTGAAAGACTGAAGGTGGGTGAGTGAGTGCGAGCAATAGCGAGTGAAAGTGAGGAAGAGAGAAAGTGAGCAAGACTGAAGGCGAGTGAGTGAGTGCGAGCAATAGCGTGTGAAAGTGAGGGAGAGAGAAAGTGAAAGACTGAAGGCGGGTGAGTGAGTGCGAGCAATAGCGTGTGAAAGTGAGGAAGAGAGAAAGTGAGCAAGACTAAGGCGAGTGAGTGAGTGCGAGCAATAGCGAGTGAAAGTGAGGGAGGGAGAAAGTGAGCAAGACTGAAGGCGAGTGAGTGAGTGCGAGCAATAGCGTGTGAAAGTGAGGGAGAGAGAAAGTGAAAGACTGAAGGCGGGTGAGTGAGTGCGAGCAATAGCGTGTGAAAGTGAGGGAGAGAGAAAGTGAGCAAGACTAAGGCGAGTGAGTGAGTGCGAGCAATAGCGAGTGAAAGTGAGGGAGGGAGAAAGTGAGCAAGACTGAAGGCGAGTGAGTGAGTGCGAGCAATAGCGAGTGTGTGTGTGTGTGTGTGAGAGAGAGAGAGAGAGAGACACACACAGAGAGAGACAGAGACACAGAGAGACACAGAGACAGACACAGAGAGACACAGAGAGAGAGAGAGAGAGAGAGAGAGGGGTAGGGTGTTAAGTGACTACAAAAGTCCAATGGCTACCCTTGCCCAACTACGATGGAATGTCCCGGCTCTTACAAAAAGAATGGTGTATTGGGAACCTTATCTGACCCAGAATCCCATTGGGGTTCTCTGGGTGGGCAGTAATTCTAGGCTTACAAGATAAATCTGTGGCATCTGGGGGTAGAGTGACAGAATGTCTAGTAATGTAAGAAGAGATGGAGCCAAGATATCTGTGTGTGCTGATTGGTTGATGGCGAGGCAGGAAACTAACACTGGCAGCAACATCATTGTGGTACACAGAAAACCACTAAACACCAGTGCATAGTTTAACCATTTCCATGTAATGTGATTATGATTGTGATACTGCTGAATTAGGCATACAAGACATTCACTTCTCTTACATCAACAAGACACTTACGTCCAACTCACTCATCCAACCACTCTATCATTTCAATCACTCTCATCTCAGCAGAACAAGCACGCAGAGTCTTTCCGTGGTACACACTTCCTCTGACTTTGAGCTTGCCGAGCACACTGTCTGGGGCCACCATGGGCGGAATGTGCTTCAAGTGCACCAGCTGGAGGAAGCTGTTCAGTCTGGCCTGAACCTGAAACAAGGAGTTCAGTCTCCAGTATCAACTCAAATCGAATTCCACAGATGACCACATCAAGAATGGAGCGATCGTTTGAAAGAAATTTTTCTTCAAAATGACCGGAAGGCAATTTCAAATACTTATTTACATTAACCTGTATTTCATTTCATTTTTTAATTAAATTTTCAGGTATCAAATCTGTAAAAAATCACAAAATTGAAAACACAGGTTTATCTCCTTTCTAACATGACAAATATAACAAAATAATTAGCTAAATTGAAAAAAGCAGTTGATTTAATTATCTCCATTCTACCATGACAAAATAATTAAATAAACCACTAAACTGCAAAATACAGTTGGATTATCTCCCGACTAACTGTTAAATTAACAGTCTAAACGAGCATACAGTTGTTATCTCCATTTCACCATGCATCGGCTGCATTGAAAACACTGCTGCTTTAGCTCGTACTTGACCAAAAATAGATTGACCTTCACCTTGCTCATATCCTGTTCATTGGGCGGGATGACATTGGGGAAGACTCGGTGTGGTTTGAGGTACCTGACGAGGTCACGCACCTCCACATACGATGAGTGGAAGGAGTAGCACACACGGTGCAGACCTCGGGAACCCTTGGGGTATACGATGAGGTCCTCGTTGCGATGCTTGTGGGGGTTGAGTGCAAAGAACATGGTGGAGGGACGGAGGACGAGGACATTGATGTCGCGACCATGTTCCGGGATGTAGCCACATGGAAGTCGAGATTGTGGAGATCTTCCATGCTGGACAGAGAAGGGAGAATTATAACAGTGCAACAAATACATATTCAGGATATATCAAAGGGCTAAAAAATCCACTTGTCTGTCCGTAATGACGAGTGGTAGCATGTGCAGCGTGAGAAAGAATTGAAGAAATGCTCGTCCCACCAGGCAGGTACATATATTTCAATCATATTAATTCATCCCTTATCGTTGTCAATAAAATATGCAAGATAATTTCGAACCTGAAAGACGTTTTCAACTCTCATATGATCTAAGTAATAATGAAATACATGTCGCTCATATATCATAAATAGACGACATACTTGGCAACTGTCTGTTACAGAAATAAACAGAAGTGTGTATGCACGGTTAGTTTTTGAAGGGAGATAATAATTTTTTTTATTTTTTTGTTGTAAGCAACTTGTTACTGACGCTCAAATGTCAAAACGATAGTGAACAGTTAATGATTCGCACTATTATTCCAGCTATATGACGGCGGTCTGTAAATAATCGGGCCTGGACCAGACAATCCAATGATTGACATCATGAGCATCAGTCTACACAGTTGGGATACGATGACATGCATCAACCAATGGAGATATGACAAACTTGATACTCCAGGATATACTACTGACTCACCACAAAGGTACAGGAATGGATTCGGGCCGCAGGGTCTGACGTGAAGACCTGGTCCAGATCGCCGATCTGCTGATACACGTCACACTTCTGCTTCGATGTGTGTACCTGGAAAACAATCGATATGTACCTCACAATCAGGACTCCAACTTGAACCAGGCTTTGTGCAGCTGGCCAGCAATTGTCATACATGTGTTTCTGTCAGGTTCAAGACTTGGTCACTCGGTGTTAGGGCTGGGACGGGTAACTCGGGTACTCGGGTACTCGGGTCGGGTGGGTAATGAGTAGGATCCCGGTACCCATAGGACTACCCAGACCCGTCCTTGTCACGTGATATATTGTTCAAAGACAAAAATTATCTAGAACTGTACGTTTAAACTACAAGTCACTCATATTCGCAGTTCTTTGTGACTACTACGCCCATTCCTTCTGACTTTTAAATATTTGAATAAAATTTTAAAAATTCAGTCAACTTCAGTGTATACACCAGATCGTTTTATACGTGTATCTAAACACATTTTGCCAGGGCTATGGTCAAACTTTTCTCAATCGGACAGTTTGTAACTATCTCTTGAGACCTACAGCAGGTGTCCGGGTATCCGGGTAATAGGGGGTCGGGTAATAGGGGGTTGGGTACCCGGGTAGTAAATTTGGACTCGTCCCAGCCCTACTCGTTGTCCATCAGGTCATGAATACTATCTGTACTGAAGCCACATGGTCAAAGCAAAATATACGGCTGTAGACCCATGAACAGTTTCAGTGCATTGAAAGATTGACAAGGGCCATGTACAAGATAGTACATTTAATTTTCTGGGGAGAGGGAACAGTCACTGCTTCTAGACATACATTTTCATCTCTGAAGGAGAAGCAAATACATTTATATTCATATTTTCGGGGCATCCAAACCTCCACAATATATTTTATATAAAAAACATGTAGAAACTGAGGTGATTTTTTATCTAATCTCCAAGCCCCCCAAGCCACTGAATATTAAACTGTTTGTTTTCCTTCAGATTGGTTTTCCATCAGGTTCAGCAATCAGTCTGTCAGAGTTCATCAGGTCATGTATACTATCATTACAGAAGCCACATGGTCAATGTTAAACACATTGCTGTGGACCCATGAACAATTTCAGTGCATTGAGAGATTGATCACCTGCATAACATAAGCCATCTTCACGAGGCAAGAGAGTTAACTGACTTTAAAAGTCCAGTTTCCACCCTTGCCGAACTAGGCTGGTATTATGGAGTTACATTTTGGCTGGACTAATGAGTCTGTGCATAGTCCAATCAAAATCGCGCACCGAAATCGAAATCCGGTTCGTAAAGTGTCATGCAGATTTCAGTCGACTGCAGCATTTGCAAAGCATGTGCACCGCTAACTCGTTGTCAACAGATATTTTCCAAATATTTTCATGTTTTTAATCAAGGTGCTCACGTGATTTGATGCACCTTGCGATGTAAGACTCGTTTTATCACAATATAGATCTTGATTATTGATCAGATCGTCTTGACTTGGTGCCACCGTTTTGTTTGAAGCAAATGCAAGTGATAAAAGAGGTTGAATCTGATTGGTCAATAGGAGAGGCATAGAAAGGACATAACTCGTAATAGCCACTGGTGGCGCTACGATCGAGCCCAGGAATTCCAGCGTAGTTCGGCAAGGGTGGAAACTGGACTTTTATAGTCAGTTAACTCACTTGCCTCGGGAAGATGAACATAAGCACCATGGAAGAGAACATCCATCACATTTTCAGGGGGGAATAGTCACTGCTTCAGACATACATTTATTTACTTTATTTCTCTGAAGGGGAAGCAAAAACATTTATATCCATATTTTGGGGGGCATCCAGATGTCCACAATATATTTTAATAAAAAAACATGAAGTCTTATGGTGATTTTTTTCTTTTTAACTCCGAGCCTCCCTACCCAAGAATATGAAACTGTCAGTAAGTCAGGGATCCCACCTTCTGGTGTGTGTTGGTACTGAGCTCCTTCAGGAAGTGTTCATGGCCGTACTTGGACTTGCAGGAGATGGACACAACGTGGTCAGCGGACTGAGCCAGCCAATGGGACACAAGCTCACACGCTGCCTTCGCACAATCATTGCGACTCGGGAAGTGGAAGGCTTCCTCGAAGCAGAACGTTGTGTCGATGTACAGACTCTTGATTTCCTTCACACTGAAATTGCATTCGTATTACTTCTATAGAGTTGTATGTTATGAATGAAACTTGTAAGATGAATGGACAACCACACAAACCAAAAAATTGTATGACAAAAATATACAAGTAGCTCCAACAGAAAGACATCTTATTCAGTACCGGTAAACCATATCGACCTGTAATATTTGTCTATGTCACATCTGCATATACCCAATATATGATTGGTTTTGGTTTGGTTTGGTTTGTTGTTTTACGCCGCACTCAGCAATATTCCTGCTATAAGACGGCGGTCTGTAAATAATCGAGTCTGGACCAGACAATCTAGTGATTAATATCATGAGCATCGATCCACGCAATTGGGATCGATGACATGCATCAACCAAGTCAGTGAGCCTGACCACCCGTTCCTGTTGGTCGCCTCTTATGACGAGAATACGGCAAGCATGGGTTGCTGAAGACCTATTCTACCCCGGATCTTCACGGTTCCCAAATATATGAGTAATGGACATAAATGTCCAAGTATTAAGAGTATGAGACTATGAATAGTTGAGACTGGCATAATAATGCAGAAATAATTTACAAAATTACTATTTCGTGTTCTTCCAAATAACCCTTGTTGTACCATGTTGGACAAGACATTTTGTAGACTTCCTTTCCAACTCAAGTCAGAAGTAACTCCCTGACCTGACCAGTCTTCATTTAGTCCCATAATGCCGAGCGCCAGATAGGGTAACAACAAGTATAAACTTTGCACGTCTTTTGGTATGATGTGACCTAACCCCCAACCTTCTGCTTTCTGGGTAGATGATCTGCCACTACAGTCCTGTTTTCCCCAGTGAAAAACAAATACTCTGAGTGTAGAGGAGTTCTTGTGTTTCAAGGTGCTTTATGTCATATACATATAGTAGTCTGACCTAACTCCTATTCCTCCCCACACAATGGTACCGAGTTCCTCCCCTCACCTGTCTCCTGATTTAAATGCCTGTTGAGTGCGTGCATAGTCGGTCTCCCAGCGGAAATCTCCGGTGTACAAGCATGTGCCTTCTGGTCCTTCAAACAGAAACCTGGAAACAAATGTCTCTCTGTTAGCTGCACACAAACATATCCACTCACACAAACATCTCCACTTGCACAAATATATCCACTCACATAAATATATACACTCACACAAACATCTCCACTCACACAAATATATCCACTCACATTAATATATACACTCACACAAACATATACATTCACACAAATATATACACTCACATAAATATATACACTCACACAAACATATACACACACACAAATATATCCACTCACATTAATATATACACTCACACAAACATATACATTCACACAAATATATACACTCACATAAATATATACACTCACACAAACATATACACTCACACAAATATATACACTCACATAAATATATACACTCACACAAACATATACACTCACACAAATAAATACACTCACATAAATATATACTCACACAAACATATACACTCACACAAATATATACACTCACATAACTATATACATTCACACAAATATATACACTCACACAAACATACACACTCACATAAATATATACACTCACACAAACATATACTCTCACAGAAACATACACACTAACACAAACATACACACTAACACAAACATACACACTCACAGAAACATATACACTCACACAAACATACACTCACATAAACATACACTCACACAAACATACACACTCACACAAACATACACCATTTATACACTCTCACACAAACATATACACTCACACAAACATACACACTCACACAAACATACACACTCACACAAAAATACACACTCACACAAACATACACACTCACACAAACATACACACTCACACAAATATATCCATTTACACAAACATACACACTCACACAAACATACACACTCACACAAACATACACACGCACACAAATATATCCATTTACACAAATATATACACTCACACAAACATATACTCTCACAGAAACATACACACTAACACAAACATACACACTAACACAAACATACACACTCACACAAAAATACACACTCACACAAACATATACACTCACACAAACATACACTCACATAAACATACACTCACACAAACATACACACTCACACAAACATACACTCTCACACAAACATATACACTCACACAAACATACACACTCACACAAACATACACACACAAACATACACACTCACACAAAAATACACACTCACACAAACATATACACTCACACAAACATACACTCACATAAACATACACTCACACAAACATACACACTCACACAAACATACACTCTCACACAAACATATACACTCACACAAACATACACTCACACAAACATACACACTCACACAAAAATACACTCTCACACAAACATACACACTCACACAAACATACACACTCACACAAATATATCCATTTACACAAACATATACACTTACACAAACATACACACTCACACAAACATACACACTCACACAAATATATACACTCACACAAACATACACACTCACACAAACATACACACTCACACAAATATATCCATTTACACAAATATATACACTCACACAAACATATACTCTCACAGAAACATACACACTAACACAAACATACACACTAACACAAACATACACACTCACACAAAAATACACACTCACACAAACATATACACTCACACAAACATACACTCACATAAACATACACTCACACAAACATACACACTCACACAAACATACACTCTCACACAAACATATACACTCACACAAACATACACACTCACACAAACATACACACTCACACAAAAATACACACTCACACAAACATACACACTCACACAAACATACACACTCACACAAATATATCCATTTACACAAACATATACACTCACACAAACATACACACTCACACAAACATACACACTCACACAAATATATACACTCACACAAACATACACACTCACACGAAACATAGACACGAAGATAGACATTAACACAAACATACACACTCACACAAACATACACTCACACAAACATACACACTCACACAAACATACACTCTCACACAAACATATACACTCACACAAACATACACACTCACACAAAAATACACACTCACACAAACATATACACTCACACAAACATACACTCACCTACACATACACTCACACAAACATACACACTCACACAAACATACACACTCACACAAATATATACACTCACACAAACATACACACACACACAAACATACACACTCACACAAATATATCCATTTACACAAATATATACACTCACACAAACATATACTCTCACAGAAACATACACACTAACACAAACATACACACTAACACAAACATACACACTCACACAAAAATACACACTCACACAAACATATACACTCACACAAACATATACACTCACATAAACATACACTCACACAAACATACACACTCACACAAACATACACTCTCACACAAACATATACACTCACACAAACATACACACTCACACAAAAATACACACTCACACAAACATACACACTCACACAAAAATACACACTCACACAAATATATCAATTTACACAAACATATACACTCACACAAACATACACACTCACACAAACATACACACTCACACAAATATATACACTCACACAAACATACACTCACACAAACATACACACTCACACGAAACATAGACACACGAACATAGACATTAACACAAACATACACACTCACACAAACATACACTCACACAAACATACACACTCACACAAACATACACTCACACAAACATACACACTCACACAAATATATACACTAGCACAAATATACACACTCACACAAATATATACTCACAGAACATACACACTCACACAAATATATCCATTCACACAAACATACACACTCACACAAACATACACACTCACACAAACATTGACACTCACACAAACATACACTCACACAAACATACACACTCACACAAACATACACACTCACACAAACATACACTCACACAAACATACACTCACACAAACATACACACACAAACATACACACACAAACATATACTCACACAAATATATCCATTCACACATACATACACACTCACACAAATATATCCATTCACACAAACATACACACACACACACTCACACAAACATACACACACACTCACACAAACTCACACAAATATATCCATTCACACAAATATATACACTCACACAAACATACACCCTCACACAAACATACACAAACATACACACTCACACAAACATACATACTCACACAAACATGACTTACATTAGTGAGCCTGGACAATGTCCAGCCCCCAGAGGTGTGACCAGCACAGTGGACATCTGAAATATACAACATTGTCAGTTACCATGGTTACAAGATGATGCAGCAGGTGATGATTCTCAAGTAAACTAGACAAACAAAGGAACTCACACTTTGAACATGTTAAATCGTCAAAATGAAGAAAGTAGCATGTTACAAAACACCCTCAGGATTTCAGATTGGTTCATCCTCTAGGACAACAAATAAACGGCATCCAAAATGTCCAAAGATATTTTTCAGTTTGGTTATGATACAGGAGAACGTCCCATCAAAATTTCCTAAAAAGATGAAAATGGCCTAATGTCATTTATCTCTAGCAACATTCCCCCACAAACCCTCCAGTTTAATTTTATATTTACTAAATGGTTTTAAACATAAACGTTAAAAAAAGTATCAAAATAATCTCATATCATTCATTCAACCGAGACTGGAACCACACCCTGTTTCTGTATTAATCTAAAAAATAACCCCAAATATAATCTGAGATATATTTTCTTTATACCTGTGGGGCAGTGGGGTAGCCTAGTCATTATGCAGAATGCCCAGGTTCGATTCCAGTCGATTCCCCACATGGGTACAACATGTGAAGCCCATTTCTCATGTATCTGGTGTTCCCCACCATGATATTGCTGGAATATTGCTACAAGCAGCAAAAAAACATACTCACTCACTTCAACCTTGGTGTTTTGAAATAAAAAACACGCTGGAAACATGGAAACAATTTTTATTTAGAACAATGTTTCAGCTCTATTTTTTGCATCATTTTAGTTGTTTGCTTGTTTCTGAAAATTTGAGACACAACTTATATTTGACTATAATATAATGGAGACTGCTCAAATCTAGCTTGCACAGTATCATGCCACACACACAGACATAACCTTATCTACAGAATTATGGCAAACAAGCCCATAGGATACATACAAAGTTGATGGAGTGAGTGAGTTTGGTTTAACACCACTTTGAACAGTATTTCAGTTACAGAACAGCGTGCCAGCTCGCTGTTGGGGATAACCCAAAGTGGCATAGGCTGCCATTAAGGAATAGTTAACCTAAGATGTTGATAGTACAAGAAGACATAATCCAGACAGGCCCTACCTTCTTGACATCACCGCCTTTGTCAGGGATTGTGACTGTAGTCTGAACGCTGACATCCAATATTTTCTGAAATTGGTCAATTGTTGTAAACACATCTATAATCTCCATGCTGAAGAATATCATGAAGCAAATTTCAAAGGTTTATTCAAAAATGATTTCGAACATTCAAATAGTTTAGCTATCAGTAGAGGCAGATCCACTATTTTGAAGAAGTGGAGGAATTGCACATTACATTGTAGTGACATGGCCGAAGGGAGCAGTTAACATGTAAGGTGTCTAAAGAAAGAGGGGTGTGCTCAACTCCCTGCACCCCTTCTCTGGATCCATCAGTGTATTAGTAATAATAATACTGTCACACTCAATACTCCTCAGGGAGATGAGAAGGTATTTAGACACTGAATTGATGCACCAAGGTAGAAACGATCTCATTAAAATCAGACCTTAGTTCTCCTCATCGCTAAACAAAGATTTGAGGACATCCTAATACGGGTCACATCAGAACGACCTTTCATCTGACCAATCAAAGCGTGGCTTTTCCAGATCATGAAAGTGACATTCGGAATGTGTTTTCTAATCAAGCAACCTCGTAAACATTAACACGGGGTATTCCGAATGACAGTTACTACCCATACGACTGATTCCGTCAAAATTATCGTCTGTCTCTGGCTTCTGCGGGATAAACATTCGAACGGAGGAGGCGTTGCACAGTACGTGGGAAGCACTGCCATACAATCGCAACCATATATTAGTCATTCCAGAATGTTCGTTTGTTCAGTTTTCAAAATTTTAATCTAGAACTATGACAACATATTTTTCAAGCATAGTCTGAAATGGAAGTCGCCAGGTTGAAACGAGTGCCGTAAAGGTCGAGAAAGCTGCTTTCTAATTGGCTGTGTCAACTTCTTGTTAGTCGTTTCAGTGGTCGGTCAAAGTTTGCAAAAGGTCGTTCTGATGTGACTCGTAATGGGATGTCCTCAGATCTTTGTTTAGCGTCAGCGAGAACTTAGATCTGATTTTAATCAGATTGGGGTAGAATGGTCCTCCATTTTTAAATTGCCCCTGGATTGTGTGGTGTTTTGTTCTATATAAGTGACCTTTTACTTTATAAATATAAAAGTTGGTGTGTGTCTGTACAGATTAAAATGGCTGACAAGTGAAAAGCCTCACTATGAACTTGCGGAGGTGCATGTACTGTGGGTCGGACAGCAGCAGAGTCTGGGTGACGGCAGAGCAGTACAGGAAGACATCCATCCTGCAACACAATGGCACAGATACATGGTACAGCTGCATGGCACAGATACATGGTACAGCTGCATGGCACAGATACATGGTACAGCTGCATGGCACAGATACATGGTACAGCTGCATGGCACAGATACATGGTACAGGCGCATGGCACAGTTACCATGGTTACAAGTCACAACTATTTGTCACAGTTTGAATGTCAAAGTTACATCATGTACAAGAGTTGAGTTGAAAAATGTGACCTAAAGACATTAAAATTATTTATTTTTTTTACCACAATCCCCTCATACACTGATACCCTTTTGCCAACGATGTCATCATCTTAACTATATGTCACAATTTCACATAACACATGATATAGTACTAAACACTCATCAGAATAGCAAAATACTACAAGTTGCACCTGTTTTCCTTGTGGCCCACTAAACATGCTAAAAACAGGCGGGAAACACTGCATTTCATCAAGATCATAATGGACCAATCAGATCTCAACATCCTGACTTGGAGGTGACATAAACTATCTTGCATCTTGTGTCATAAGAATAGCTAACTGAACCTGCTTGTACTGACAGAGACACAGGTTTGATTCCTGAACACCATGTGGAAAATGAAAGAAACTCATCAGCATGTTCAGGATCTTTTCTTCGAGAGCCACTTCAATGCATGCTTAAAAGTCCTCATGCTCAATCTCACTAAAATCAGAGCCTTTACTCTGATATGAAGAAGAAGATCTGTTGACACCTCCATAGAAGGTGGCATTAGAGCTGCCACAGAACACAAACATACCCTGAGGATTACCACGATGACACCCTTTTAGGAATAATGCCATGGTGCTCAGAATTTCAGCTCAGAAATAAATGAATGTATAATACATCCACTACAAATTAATAGCAGAGCTTTTATTGCTTGCATTCAGAACTCCCTGATTCCATTATATTTTGAGATACAGAAATTATACATGCTTGTCTGAATGCTTCGCTCACTCGTACTGAGCATTTGGAAGTCTCGACTTTGATTGGCTGATTAGAAAGTCCACCTGACGTGATCCTGTGGAGGTATCGTCAGATCTTTACAGAGAGGTATCGTGTCTGAGTAAAGATGCAATGAAATCAAAGTAAGCTATGACTTACCTGGACTGCAACTTTTGATGAAATCTTGGAGAGTCCAAACCCACCATGTGATCTAACAAACAGAAGGAGAAACCATGTGTCAGACCGCTGAACACGTATGCCACATTCCACATTCAGGGATTACCTGGGATATTTATTGTGGGGTCCAGGGTCTCAAAGCCTCTTATGGAAGGTTCCCAGGTTAAAACTGGGGGTACCAGTCAACAAAATGACTGTCCCAGAGAAAAGTCCAACACTGCATGTAGTAGGCTATCACAAGTCATGGAAGTTTGTGCATGCTCAGAGACCATCAGATAAAATAGATATGGAGTTAGCTAACAGAAATGAATCTACAAGTGTTAGCGCTAGAGGATCGTGAATCATTTGACTGTGTTTTGTACTTTTGAATGATTACATACAGAAATAAATTGGTACGAAAGTATGAAAGAACAGCACTTATTCCAAAAGATGTAGACACATTTTCTGTGTCCAAGAGGATGCACTCTGCATTTTTTAATTTGTAAGCATATTTTGGACCTACAGATCATTCCCAACAGACACACAAGTGGGCCTACAGATCATTCCCCACAGACACACAAGTGTGCCTACAGATCATTGCCCACAGACACAAAAGTGGGTTTACAGATCATTGACCACAGACATACAAGTGGGTCTACAGATCATTGACCACAGACACACAAGTGGGCCTACAGATCATTGACCACAGACACACAAGTGGGTCTACAGATCATTGACCACAGACACACAAGTGGGTCTACAGATCATTGACCACAGACATACAAGTGGGCCTACAGATCATTGACCACAGACATACAAGTGGGCCTACAGATCATTCCCCATAGACATACAAGTGGGCCTACAGACCATTTCCCACAGACATACAAGTGTGCCTACAGATCATTCCCCACAGACATACAAGTGGGTCTACAGATCATTCCCCACAGACATACAAGTGGGCCTACAGATCATTCCCCACAGACACACAAGTGGGCCTACAGATCATTCCCCACAGACATACAAGTGGGTCTACAGATCATTGCCCACAGACATACAAGTGGGCCTACAGATCATTCCCCACAGACATACAAGTGGGTCTACAGATCATTCCCCACAGACATACAAGTGTGCCTACAGATCATTCCCCACTGACATACAAGTGGGTCTACAGATCATTCCCCACAGACATACAAGTGGGCCTACAGATCATTCCCCACAGACACACAAGTGGGCCTACAGATCATTGCCCACAGACATACAAGTGGGTCTACAGATCATTGCACACAGACATACAAGTGGGCCTACAGATCATTCCCCACAGACATACAAGTGGGTCTACAGATCATTCCCCACAGACATACAAGTGGGCCTACAGATCATTCCCCACAGACATACAAGTGGGCCTACAGATCATTCCCCACAGACACACAAGTGGGCCTACAGATCATTCCCCACAGACATACAAGTGGGTCTACAGATCATTCCCCACAGACATACAAGTGGGTCTACAGATCATTCCCCACAGACATACAAGTGGGTCTACAGATCATTCCCCACAGACACACAAGTGGGCCTACAGATCATTCCCCACAGACATACAAGTGGGTCTACAGATCATTCCCCACAGACATACAAGTGGGTCTACAGATCATTCCCCACAGACATACAAGTGGGCCTACAGATCATTGCCCACAGACATACAAGTGGGCCTACAGATCATTCCCCACAGACATACAAGTGGGCCTACAGATCATTCCCCATAGACATACAAGTGGGTCTACAGATCATTGCCCACAGACATACAAGTGGGTCTACAGATCATTGCCCACAGACATACAAGTGTGCCTACAGACCATTCCCCACAGACATACAAGTGTGCCTACAGATCATTGCCCACAGACATACTAGTGTGCCCCAAGACCATTCCCCACAGACATACAAGTGGATCTACAGATCATTCCCCACAGACATACAAGTGTGCCTACAGACCATTCCCCACAGACATACAAGTGTGCCTACAGATCATTGCCCACAGACATACTAGTGTGCCTACAGATCATTGCCCACAGACATACAAGTGTGCCTACAGATCATTGCCCACAGACATACTAGTGTGCCCCAAGACCATTCCCCACAGACATACAAGTGGGTCTACAGATCATTCCCCACAGACATACAAGTGGGTCTACAGATCATTCCCCACAGACATACAAGTGTGCCTACAGACCATTCCCCACAGACATACAAGTGGGCCTACAGATCGTTGCCCACAGACATACTAGTGTGCCCCAAGACCATTCCCCACAGACACACTCAGCCAATGCCAACTCACCTTTATGACAGTGAGAGAGGAAGAAGACAGTGGAGGAGAGGTTGCGGCCATCAAAGCGGTCCAGAGACACACTGGTGTACTCCCGCATGAGGCCCTGGAAGCAACTCATCCTGTCTGTTCAGTCTTCCTTTCTTTCTGTGGCAGCTGAAAATATTATCAAACAAATATTGACTCAAATGACTTTCATAGACTGGGTCATAACAAGACAATGAACATTATCATTGATGAAGAAGAAGGATAGGCCTCCCTACATTAAATTAAATTAATTAAAGTGTTTCAGACAAACATAGTTTCCTGGGGACCTGTTCTAACCCAAATTCCCCATGTGTGACAGAAACCATGAACTGATATTTTCAAAAAGAGACTGATTATGTTGATATATATCTGATCTAAGTACAAATTGTTGACTTGGGATTCCAATCCACAATCATAGGGTCCTGGTGTGCCCAAGGGAAGCAACTCTCTCTGCACAGCTAATTGCGGCACCTCAGACAACTAGGCCACCCCTGCAGCCCCTCCCCTCTCCTTCATTTCCATGTAACTATTTTTATTTTTACAGTGTTCAACATGACCACTGGCAACACTTACAGAGAAGAAGAGTTTAAGTGAAGATGTTGTCTTAACCACAATTTGACGCTGCATCAGCCATTCTGAAATGATTAAAATAAAAACTTTCTGTTGTAAAATAAATATCATTATCATCTGTAAACAACAAAATAAGTAAGTATTTATGTATTTACAGATGGAGTCATGGTATGTCAACATTAAATTTTACTGTCTTGATTTAGAAACCTAAAAACTTAATATGCATGGTGTTTTATATGATTTCTGGGTATTTAGATAAATCGTAAAAATTTGTAAAAATATTTACACCATGAAAAAACAGGTCTAAAATATAATGGATGCATATCTTGCCGTGTCAGCAAACAAATAGATATTAAGATATTTACACAGGATATCTTTCATCATGTTTTTTTGGAAAGGGAAATTTGTGAGTGAATTGTAAGAGGATATTATATGGCAGTTTTCATATCATACCCCATATTAACCCTCGACCCCCCATATAGGGCCTTTGGTTGATATGGGGGTCTCGGGTCGATATTGGGTATGATATGAAAACTGCCATATAATAACCTTTTTATCATATACCATAACATGAAATTGGAAAATGTATCCATTCATAAACAGATAAAACATCTCTAAATTCTGTGTATGTCAGTAAACAGATATTCACTTTTAGGGCTGGGACAAGTCCAAATTTACTACTCGGGTACCCAACCCCTACACACAGTAGGTCTCAAGAGATAGGTACAAAATGTCCGAGTGGGAAACGTTTGACCATACCCCTGTCAAAATGTATTTAGACCAATCTGGTCATGCATACATTGAAGTTGACTGAAATTTTATCTTTATGCAAAAACATAAAGTCTGAAGGAATCGGTGCATAGTTAGAAAGAAATGTGAACATTTGTCACTTATAGTGTAACCATAGAGTTCTAGATAATTTTTGCCATTAAATAATATAATCAGCTGACTAACCACGGGTAATCCTGGGGGTACCGGGGTCCTACTCAGTAACCCACCCGACCTGAGTACCCAAGTTACCCGTTCCAGCCTCATTCAATTTGTTTGAAAGACATTGTCACCGGAAAGCTAGCTGAGCAGATGACACACCAAGGGGATTAACTCTAATTTCTTACCATCCAGGCTGATATCGATACTTATACAAAATGCAGTGACAAGCCTAGTCCTGCACCATGACCGTGGAATATATTTATTTTATATAAAAAAATAATCTAGAAATGCATACAAAAGCAAGTCTAGCCAGCTCAAGCTAGCTCTATTCCACAGTCATGTCATTTTGGGGAGAGGACCGTGTTCGAAATAGCCAACGGTAATTAAGTCCCTTACTTAATCTTGTTCAGATGACAGCCTAGCTCTGGTAGTGCTCCCATCTAGGTTTACTGTAACAAAATACAGCTGGGGCAGTGGGGAGAGGCGTAAATGGGGGGGGGGGGGGGGGATTACCAGGGTGACCTGGGATGGCTGAAATATGGAAATTTGATAATACAGAATATTGCTCCCTACAATGACACATGCAAAGAGCATGCTGATGTCAAACAAATTGGAATTGCAGTGGATGGATAACTGCAAGAAAACTGTACTGTGTGTAATCATTGTTTACTGTGGTCATGGTGGTAGATTCATTACAAGAAGCAATGTACCACAGTGGGGATATCAGTCTGTGACTTGAGCCACTAGTAAAATTTAAAAGGTGCTAAAACGGCACCTCAGCAAAACATCACCGATTTCTCGGGCAAAAACGGCACTATATTTAGTGATAACGGCTACTTTGTGTTGGCCGAAAACAGCACATCTACTTTTAATAGCCATAAGAACGATTTGTGTCACATGAAACAGCATGTTGATTTTTTCTTACATTCTTCGTGCATGCAACACATCGAAAGGCCATTGTGAATAATGTTGATACAGTTTTAGCTTGACATTGAGTTAAATTGAGTAAAGGTACTTAAAACTTCAAAGCATATAATGTTTCCACAATAAGTTAGCTGCACCTCCCATCCAGAGTCAGTAAATTGTAAATTGGAGTAGAGGCTAATTTCTAATGTAAACTTGTTTTAACATTTCACGATTATTTGTGTTTGTAAGTGATGATGTGAGTTTAATTTCATATATTTTACTTCAAAGCATATTTTGTTTTCACAATATGTTGAGTTGCGCATAGGCCATGTTGGAATATAGTTGGAGTAGCAGCTAATTTTTAATGTAACATTTAACAATTGCAAGGTACTGTTTTCACCATGTCAAAGGTGGCTGTTTTAGCCTGAGGCGAGGAGAAGTTTTCGCCAATCAGTGCCGTTTTCGCCCGGTGACATTTTACTGAGGTGCCGTTATAGCCATAGCCATTTGGTAACAAAAATCCCTAAATTAACAGGTCCTCATGCAACATCAGATTTCAAGGCAACACAAATTTCAATGCTGCACTCTAATTACTGGGTGTTCAGACTCGTAGATTCAAAAGTTTTTTTTACACAGACTGGGATAAACATGTTCCAATGCTACAGTGCCCTAGCACAATAGAAAAATACCATTTGTTGCCGAGGCCACCATACACTAACAGCATGTCTTTAGTCTTTCTAGGGCGGTGGGGTAGCTAGTGGTTAAAGAGTTAGCTTGTCATGCAGATTCAATTCCCCACATGGGTACAACACATTTTCCAGTGTCCCCTGACGCAATATTGCTAAAAGCGGCGTGAAACCATACTCACTCACTCATTCTACCAGTGACGGACAATTTATATAACATGGGATCTAAGACTAGACAATTATTTTGAACAAGTCTACAACTGTTTGCAAGATGTCCGAGATCTCACATCATGGACAAAACCATGAATTTTTGCACATTATATTTTATTTTCTAGAAAAATACTGGTAGGTGGCCTGCCAGTCAGTCTGTTGAGTCTGATGAGTAGAAAGAACAATGTATGCAAAAGTGTGTTAGTCTGAGCTACCAATCTGTGGGAACAGTTCCAACACGATCAATGATGTATGATAACCACTGGAGCTAAGTAAGCCGGTGTACAGCTGGTGATTTCTAGACGGTCCCCGAGTCATACTGACAGCGCTGTTTAACCACCCTAAGATACATGGAATGTTATGCCACTGGCTTACAAATAGTTGACATGTCATGCGCAGAGTGACACTGTTCAAATGACCAACTGCTGATATCAAGAATGGTAAAATTATCAACTATTTACCAGACAATACCCCCAAACGTTCTTCCCTTGCGACAGTCCGTGTTTACTAATTACGAACTCGCGTATAACATTAGCAAACGTGATATTGGTAGGCGGAAGAGGATTATTCTAGTTTATCATAATGTTTGTGAACAAATCACACAGTGCTGCTATTTATACTTGTGGTAAATAAATAGCTGTCTTATTGTGTTTTGAGTGCGTCGTGTTTCATATTTCACATTTCATTAATATATGTATAAGATGCAATTCGTTTTAAAGTTTACCTGCGTACACGATAAACTCTAAACAGCGATCCCAGTAGTACGCGCTGACAACGAGCTCCAGTAATCTTAAACTGGGTCCACTGTTAGTACGCGCTGCAATCATAGCGCCTGTACTCATTTATGTAGACAGGAGTCCAGTCAACAGTAATCTGTTTTCGAATAAAAACGCCCTCAGTCCACTCAACAATGACTGTCTTGATTAAATGTAGTTTCTAACTTTAACACCGACAAACACTGATCACATACATGTATGGCAAATATTGAGAAATTATGTTAAATATGAAGCAAAGAACAAGTTGTTTCCCTCTCTCCTTCCGTTTCTCAACACGTGCTCAACCGTATAATTACTTTCAAAAATGTAAATGGCGATTGTTAAGTAATTTATTAAATCAGTTTACTTCAGTTTACGATCGTTAAAGAATAAGCCTATGCTTCATTGCATATTCCAAAAAATCATTTCTAGCATTTCCCAATCATGACTTCAAAAACCTTAAGTTTCCCCCTAAATTTAAGGGCGAATTGGTAGCGAGTCTTAGAGTCAACGGGAGTATGTTACACAGCCTATGGATTGGATTCTCAGAATCAGGAGACTCAGAAAAGTGAATGCAGCTTTGTCAATTGTAATTTCAAAGGCTGCCAACCCCTTATTGGTTCGCTGGATTTGGGGGTCTATATTTAGAAGGTATTCAGGATTCGGTAGTGGGGTACGCGGGACACAATTTTAGTCGTAGTCGGTACTTAGATTCAACATTTTAAACAAATTAATGGTGTACGTGAAGGTTTCCTTTATAACATTTCTTTCCTGGTATGTTTCAGTAATTAACTTCAAATCGCACCCTTCAAAATTCACTCAATCGCACAGCTTTTGAGATTTGTATTGGGGATTCAGGGTTGAGACTCAGAGTGAGTGAGTATGGTTTTACGCCGCTTTTAGCAATATTCTAGCAATAACCACCAGGCTACCCGACACACACCCCCCCCCCCGGGGAGGAGGAGTGGCACCCTCAGTTCTGTAACAGGCAGATACGACATTAGTAGAGGTAGCGTGGACGTAATTTTATCCGTCATAGTTTACCCAGTGTATTATATCTCTATTCCGTTGTGACGAATACTTAGACACATCTCTCCTATGTATAACTTTAAGGGCACAGAATTTCGCTCGCTCATGAAAGTAATTTTACAAGACGGTTTATGTGTTCGTTCGTCACGCCAAAGGAACGGGTTCGATTCCCTACATGGGTACATTGTGTGAATAAAAGCGACAAAACACCTCCCATATTCATTGTAAACATCTACCAATAGCAGAGTCAATTGTACGATTCCGATTATATCAAGAGCATGTGTTTATGAATCACTATCAAATAGTGATGATACCAGGCGTTCGCGGAAAGGTGAGCGTATCCTGCCCCACCGGTGGCACCCGTCACAAACACATGCAAAGGCAATCAATAATTGTTCACCTGAAACAAACATGGTAACATAATTATGGTACAAGTCAAAAAAGGGAATTGCATCGGATATCATTCTTGTCACTGATGCGTCAAATTTGGAAATGTCCTCCACGTCTACCACAAAACTTTTTGAAAGCTTTACTGAAGCCTTGAATGTTGTAACCTTGATCAAATAACTTCTGAGCAAGTTTCGAATGACGCTCTTTGAAATTTTGGTAGAAAGAGCATGCTCGACTGTACCTCACAACTTGTGAAACGTAGACACCAAGGGCTGAAGCTGCTGGAATATTGCTCGACATAAAGGGAAAGTTGACTTTTGGAAAGTTGAAGTCATCCCTCTTGTCATACAGTCAAAGCGCAGAGTGTTGTGTCACTCTGAATCTTTATGCATAGATCTAAATATGAAACAGATGAGGTGGTCTCACATTTCTCCTTTCTTTCTAGTTCAGGTGGGTAAATCAGTGGAAGGGAATTGGCTATTTGATTGTCAGATCACCGATATACCTGAAGCTCACCTTAAACTTGTTGACAAAATTACCTTGTTTTAACTTTGTCAATCCGAGCAGAAGTTCCGATTCATATGCATAAAGAAGCAGATCAAGAATTAAGAAGGGGAGCACAACTGGTGCCCATGGGGATGCCTACTTCTTGCCGAAACCCGTGAAGATCCGGGTTAGAATAGGTCTTCAGCAACCCACGCTTGCGTAAACGGCGACTATATTCGCTGATTTTGTTGATGCATGTCATCGAATCCCAATTGCGTAGATCGATGCTCATGATTTCAATCAGTGGATTGTCTGGTCTAGACTCGATTATTTACAGACCGCCGTCAATTAGCTGGAATGTTGCTGAGAGCGGCGTTAAACAACAAGCAAACAAACAAACAAAATGCATTGCAGAAATGAATTACCCCCAAATTGTACATAGATGTTATCAATGAGGAAGTCCAACGTTTCACATATTGTTATCAGTAAACTTCAGATGACATATGCTTTCATTTTGACAAATTGTCCTGAACCTCTGAAGACGGATATGTAACTGTATCTAAGGTCGTCACGTTTTGTGACAAAAGCCTCGTTTTCCCTTAAGTTCGTCATGTGGGAACCCATTTCTGGTGTCCCCTGCCGTGATGTTATTAAAAAAGCAGCGTAAAACCCAACTCACTCACTCACTCACTCACTCACTCACTCACTCACTCACAGGTATTTTCTATTACCAAACTTGGAATTCAGTACGGTACCGAAACACTTCCATGGGATAAACTGCTTGGCGACATTAAGTTGTCTTTGCGTTCACATGAGGAATTACGGTACCCGTTAAACTGCAATGCATTCAATCTATCGTGTATGGATCTTCTATTATATTTGCTTAGTAATCATTATATTGCAATGCGTGTAACACAAGAGACACCTGCCCCGATCACAAGACATATATGATATATATATTGGCACACATCCAACCAGTTTTGAACCAGGAAGAGATATGTTTTCATTCGGCTTTGTCATCTACTTAACGCATTCCTTTGTAAGGACATAACGGATCTTCAAACGATTGGAGTTGATTGACAAAGCACGTGACCTCACGTCAGTGTAGCTGTGAGTGACGTTGCCACTATAAAAATGTCAGATTGAATGAGGTTGTGGTGAGGGGAAATGGGAATAAACGTCGCGTTCAAGATTATTGCACTTACATACGAACGTGCATGCACGTGTCAGTGTGTGTTACTGTTAGTGTGTGTGTAATAGTCCAGACTACTGACAGATTAGATATGGAGGTCGGGTGTGGTGTGTGTGCGTGCGTGCGTGCGTGCGTGCGTGCGTGCGTGCGTGTGTGTGTGACGGGGTGGGGGATGGGGGTTGGGGTTGAGGATGCAATGAAGCAGATGTCAGTTCTATTTATTTTTAAATAGGGCCTGGTCATTTATCTATTCCCCCTTCCCCCTTGATAAATTAATGTCGAGCGAAAATACACAGTAGACTTTATCACCCCTTAAACGTTGCATCGGCAACAAAGCGCATGGTATGGAATACTGTAAGGGACATTCTCGCGATCTCACATTCTCGACCTTTGGAAACGAGCTAAATATGCCCAAAATCTTGCTTTCTCGCGATCTCACATTCTCGTGTTTTGGGCATATTTAGCTCGTTTCAAAAGGTCGAGATCGCGAGAATGCGAGATCGCGAGAATGTCCCTTACAGTATTCCATAGTATGGGGACGAGAAAAGATTAAGCATTGATAAAAAGCAGTTTTAAAAGTTGTTTTTTTAGAATTGCTACTTCATAATAAGAACCTCTTGCGATTACAGTCATGTAGTCAAGCACAATATGGTCGACGGTGAACCGTCTCTCACATGGGTTCCCACAGGACCAAAAGTTGGATTTGACACCTTTGAAACAAAGGCAAATACAGCTGTAGGAATTGCCGGACTTGCGCATGATTCCCAGGATGAATTAACTTTGCCTTCACATTGCTTTATTTTGACATATGCCAATACTCAATATAGCCGAGAGTCGTGCTACGTAAAACACAATTATGTCAGTTGATGCAAAACCAGATATTTATTTAAATTAAAACTATGAGCCTAAATATGTTTTTTTCTAAATTAGAACTTGGAACAATGTCATTTTTCTAGCAGCCAATTTCTTTTTATATTCAACAGTCTGAAGCATTATTATTATTATCATTGTTGTTGTTGCTATTATTATTGTTGTTGTTGTTATTATTATTTTTATTATTATCAAGAATTATCTGTGACAATTTATCTTTGGACCCCTTCTCCCTTCCAATTCTAAATTCACTATCATAGTACATGCAAAGGTTCCGTGAAGATCCGGGGTAGATTGGGTCTTCAGCAACCCACGCTTGCTGTAAAAGGCGACTATGCTTGTCGTAAGAAGATTGTCTGGTCCAGGCTCGATTATTTACAGACCGCCGTCTTATAGTTGGAATATTGCTGCGAGAGTGCGGCGTTAAGCCTCGGTTACACAGACAATACGACCGCGATGCAACCTCCTGGCGACCAAAATATTTGACAATCGCATAAGGTTTCAGGGGTCTCTGAAAGGTTTCACTGAGGTCGCTACAAGGTTTCAAAGCGGTCGCAAAACCCATTCGCTCGGAGGTTTCATTGGTCTCCTAGAGGTCCCCAAGTGGTGTTATGTTAATCGCAGATTGGTTTCCACTGTGCAGCGATCGCTTTCGTCACTCAAGGATGTTGACTCTTTTGCAACCTAGTGGCGACCTATCGGTGATTGATCAGTGATGAGGCGGTGATCGATCGGCGCTTCATCGGTGACTGGTTGTCGATCGGTTGTAAAGTGGTTTCCGATCATTCGCCGCTGGGTTTGCAACGTGTCACCGTCTATAAAACGACCTGTCTGTGCGTTACAGCATCATTTGGTCATAAGTACTCAGAGATTTCACATCAATTATTTCCATTCATCACTATGGTCCGTAAACTAAGGAAAATTAAAGAACCAGAAATTGTAGACGATCATATAGAGACAATTGCTGTGGTGCACAGGTCTGCTACAATTGAGCCAGAGCCAACATCATCTCAACAAAGGAAGAGTAGATGGAGCCGGATTTACTGGGTGCTCTAATGGGGACATACCTTCCATCTATGGGCCTAACTGCATGTAGAGAGTTTCCTCTCGAATTTGTCACTCAATTGGCGACTCTCTTCACTACTTCATCACCACACTCTTCGATGATGGTTTCACAAACTTCACGAACAAATACTGATTATATTGTGTCGTGTGCCACTCTGAATGAGAAGGCCAAGCTGCGATAACTGTTTCCAGTTGCCAGGAACCGAAGGGTGACAGCAAGCTTCAGCCCAGGACTCAAAGATCTTCTCCAGTTAGTGTCTTCTTTGGTCAATCTGGGTGTGAGTCTTTGTACGAGTTCTGAGATAGCCCATGAAATCACCACTCTGCCATCAGATTCTCATAGTATCCTAGCTGTGGCCTTCTCACAATCCAAGGTCTCAGACAATACTGCCTTCGCCTTGTCCTTCTCATTCTTCTGTACACAATCATGGCAGCAAGTGCAGCATTTTGATTTATTCTTTGCAGGCGGAGCAACTGCAACTGTTCTGCTGTTAACATATTGACAACTTGCAAAGAAATGATTTGATTCAGAAAAGCACCCTTTTTATACGCATTATGTTTTGATCGCTGATCGATTAACAACTAGTAACCGACCAGTTCCCGTTCAGTTGCAACAAGTCACCGAAGAGTCGCTGACTAATCACCGATCGGTCTCAATCATTTGCAAACATTTCGGCGTATCTGCGGTGAACAGTAGCCGATCAATCACTGACAAGTTGCAAAACCTATCGCTGAATGATCGGCGATCATACCCTAATTCCAAACATGGACAGAAGTAGTTGCACCGGTCTCGGCGATCGCCAGTCGGTCGAAAAGAAAATCAGTCGCCAAGAGATTTCATCGCGGTCGCATTGTCTGTGTGACTGCAGCTGTACACAACAAATAAGCTAAGCTTTGATGTACGCGACCGTACAAGACTACCGTGCTGTAGACACCCTGTGTCCTGGAATGGTGCCAAGGGCGAACGCCTTTAAGAAATCAAGACAAGACTCTAACAACCATATACTGTTTTATTATCATAGGCTTGCTATTCAATACCCATACAAAATTATACGTAGCTCCGTCACAATACATCATGGTATGGTGACAGTTGATGCTCAATGTAGTTTATGATGTAACCCTATTGAGCAAATCCAACCAAACGTCCTTCTTTCTATTGGCAATTGCATGTACTTTTCTTGTCCGACCTTGCGGATTGTCATGATCAATACTGTGTTATACAAATGTAGGTGTATGACTATTGACTATTCTGGAAAAAAATATCAATACTACAACTGAGTAAAGTAAAAAACATATGGCTTTATCTGTGATGAAGCGTGTTTGATGTTTGATCCATGAGTGGAATGATCTAGGTGTATGATACATTATATATTTGTATTTTATTGTCAAATTTGTCACGTCTAGACACGCTTTTTTTACCAGAGGAGATGAATATTCCATTCCTTATGTATTTCCTTACTGATCTTCGCGATCTTTCTCCGATCTCCGAAAATCAAAGAATCTCGGAGGCAGACTGAAAGTAGTTCCCAAAGTTCATTGTTATTTCACTCGCATGAGATGTCAATTTTACATATTATATATTTTACATATAACAGTATCTAGTCCTAAATAAACCGCCGGGCAAAGAAAGTATGCACAATACATATTTGACATTTTTTGAAAATTACAGACGTTATCAAAACGTTATTAGGGTGAAAACAGTGGCCGAAACACTGCCAACTTAAGGTCCAAAATACAACTATGATATCCATGTTAAATACATCACCATTGAAAAAAACATCTCTTATTTGTTTCATTTTAGCCACCATCACAAATGGATGTTTCCTTTTTCCGGCAGTTCATATGTTAATGTATAAAGTATTTATATTCCTTACTAATATGTTCCATAATGACTAACCATATATGCGGAACCAGATATCAAGAACCAGAAGGTCACGCTGTTATACGTCGCAGGTGATACATACAATGTAAGCAGTCATAGAGCATCTGTTTAGTATTTACGTTCCGGGCATTTGTTTGTTTGTTTGTCTGTTTGTTTGTTTAACGCCGCACTCAACAATATTCCAGCTATGTGACCGCGGTCTGTAAAAAAACAAGTCTGGACCAGATAATCCAGTGACTGATATCATGAGCATCGATCTAAGCAAGTGGGATACGATGACATGCATCAACCAAGTCAGTGAGCCTGACCACCCGATCACGGTTTGATGAAGTTCAATTCCAATCTCATCAAAATCAGACCTTAGTTCTCGCTACCGCTATACAAAGATCTGAAGGCATCCCATTAGGGGTCACGTCACAACGACCTTTCATCCGACCAATCAAAGCGTCGCTTACCAGATCATAAAAGTGACAGTCGGAATGTGATTTCTTATCATACAACCTCGAAAACTTTAACACGGGGTATTCCGAACGATAGTTACAGGTTTAACGACTGAATCCATACAATCTAGACCATCTATTAGCCATTCCAGAATGTTCTTTTGTTTAGGTTTCAAATTTGTAATCGAGAATTTGTCAAAATAGGTTTCGAAGCGTAGTCGGCAATTTGAAATTAGTGCCGTAAAGCACGAGAAAGCTGCCTTCTGATTGGTAATTCTATTGGCCGGTCAAAGTTCGCGCTGACCCGTAATGGGATGTCCTCAGATCTTTGTTTAGCGGTAGCGAGGACTAAGGTCTGATTTTAATGAGATTGGATCAATTCTAACCCGGGTCTTCAGCGTTGGAGTGATGGATGTGACTTTCCCTAAGGCGAATTCGCTTTTGATTCATGCTACCGCATGTTTGCTTGAATAACTGAACATAATGGAATACTCGTGCCCATGTCATTCCATAAACGTGGCTTCCATGCGTTTTGATTACCCAGTGTACCGTCGTCTGGATGAAAGGGTACCCCTGCACTTGTCCTTCGAAGCTAGTAATCGTTCATAAGCGGAATACACCTGGCATATCAAGAAACAAAATAAAATTTGTATTCATTGCTGTTGCATAAGAGTTCGCCAACAGAAATTACGAGAGCTGAGTGCTGACAAAGCTAGAAAATATATTAAACAGCGAACCCTGTATTCCCTACACTCGACCATAGGTTTCAGGAACGCCTAAGAGACCCAACTCTGCACAGAGACTGTGCCACCAGTCACCGTCTTCTCGAAACTGTTACCTCCAAACTGTTTATATCGAGATGCCGTTTTCTGGACACTGTTTACATCGAGATGACCTTTTCTGGAAACTGTTTACATCGATATGACGTTTTCTGGAAATTGTTTACACCGAGATGACGTTTTCTGGAAACTGTTTACATCTAGATGACGTTTTCTGGAAACTGTTTACATCGAGATGACGTTTTCTGGAAACTGTTTACGTCGAGATACTGTTTTCTGGAAACTGTTTACATCAAGATACTGTTATCTCGAAACTGTTTACATCAAGATACTGTTATCTCAAAACTGTTTACATCAAGATACTGTTATCTCGAAGTTAGACTCCTTAGTCTGTTGCACTGTTTATATCAAAGTACAACAATCTGAACTCCCTATAATCTTTTCGGCCAAAATGTCCACAGAATAATCAATTTATTGCGGCCTTATATGGTCTTGTTCAACGATTTCCGCTTCCTTTGGCTTCCATCCTCTTGTGGGTCAGCAAAAGTTCTCTCAAGGGCACGGAGCACTACGAATCTTGGCCCGAATTCTTCATACTGATCGCCAAGAACACTCGCTAGTTCTCTCTGAAAAGACAGCAATGTTCTTGGGAAATCGTTGTTCAAATTTGTGTTTGTTGTTTAAAGCCGCACTCAACATTATTTCAACTGTATGACGGCGGTCTGTAAATAATGAAGTCTGGCATCTACGTGAGCATCTACGCAATCGGGATACGATGACATGCATTAACCAAGTCAGCGAGCCTGACCACCCGATCACGTTAGTAGCCTCTTACGACAAACATAGTCGCCTTTTAGGGCAAGCATGGGTTGCTGAAGACCTATTCTACGCCGGATCTTCACGGGTCCAACAAGAGGCAAATAAAGAGAATTTAATCCCAGTGTGTGGTCATGGCTTACCTACTAGTAGAATGTGTCACTTCTTCAAGTGACCAATGACATTATCAGGCAGCAGTGACTGAGAGATCAAGAATTTTGTAAAATGACCTAAACTTTCAGTCATTTTTAGAATTGACTGGATTTAGACACTGACAGAAACATACATAATTTGAAAAATAGAGGAAGACTATTCTTAGTAAGAAGGTATTCCTCACCTCAAACACTTAACCGTTACAACATAGGTGTATGATAGAGTTATATGTATATGTATAATGATTTGGATCTCTCACCTCCATCTTGGCGTCCGTGCGTATGTTCAGTTTAGAGAAGGCCGCAGTAAACACTGCCTCCCCCATTGTCTGGGCCAGGGAACTGAAACACGTATATGGACCTACTCATCAACACTATTAACATGCAGCGTCAATTAATCAGGACTCGAACAACGGACCCGCTGATTCGAAGTCGAACGCCTAGTCCACATGTCCAAAGAGGTCCAACCCTTCAGTAAGTTGACACGGCATGAATATCCTTAGTGGAACGACTCCACCTCCTCGGTACGTCCTGGGCCGCATAGTAGGTTCCTGAGACTTATAGTGCCATTTCATATGAACCTGCTCAGCCCCTCTGGAATCGAACCACGACCCTTCTGCTGATTCATGGTTTGACATCTTGTCCACACGACCAAAGCGGTTAAACCCGTCAGCAAGATTACAAAGTAACCTTTACCATGTCGCCCCGATGACCCCACGCCCTGCACTGTCAAACGGCGTGTTTATCGTGTCCCAAAACTATTATCTGAATCAACTCAACAGCTTCCCAACGCCGAGGAAGTGGCGGATATGTCAGGATGCCTAGTCACGTCGAGTAATTGCAGAACAAATCAACATCGTTCGACGCTTTCAGAAATTTAAACAGTTGAATGACAAATTATTGGCTTATGCAGCTATGCTTGCCTTATTATAGCCACTAACACGAGTTGTGCATGCCATAACTTGCACGTGCATTTTGCTTTACTATTTTCCTCCATGACAGTTTTGAACAAGTGAGAAAACAATGCCGTTGAAGACATCGCAAAACGACAATGGCTGCGTTTTGACGCACCGTTTGTCGAATATCAGGCCACCAACATTTTCCAATAACATATATCCAATTTATATACCGGATTTTTTGTGAAGTCAGATTCAATGCACTACATTTTACCTGTGCGTTTCATTTTTTGAAGAGTGTACAGACAAAATTCTGTCCAGAGACCGCCCCACCTTTTATTATTCATATTGTCTTGGTGTTTTTGTTGTTGTTTTTTTAAATACAAAAAAAAAATACTTGTCCCAGAAATAAATGATATAAGTTTTACTCACGCAAACAATGTTTGCTGGAAATGGCTCCCATAAGATTTGAGTGAATGTTGTTTTAGGCCACGGTCAGCAATCCTCCTGCTCTATTGCACCCAGAAGACTGATTCGTGGTATTTTTACCGTTTTTATAAAAGAATCGAATTTACAACATAATGCCATAGTTTTATCCCATACGAAGGTCAGTATGCTAGCTAATTCTGTCAGAATCTAATTTATTCTCGCGTTTTAAAGACCAACCTTTGCTCCTTGCCAATTTGACAAAGTATTCTGCCTTTGTCTCCCGAGGACAGCAACTCTTCGACTGAAAGAACACAACGTATACCAGTATTTGTTTGCATAGTAACGTGACGTTATTTTGAAGAACAAGTTTTCGTGATTAGGCGCTATTTACTTCAGAATAATGGTTCATATTCCATAAAATCGACCCCAGTGCTAGTGCTAGTGATAGCACATGGTATGAATGAATATAGATGTGTACTGTATTGTAATAGTCACAACTCAGTCATTAAAATACATTACCTTTCCCCTCATCTTTCTCTTCTGTGTCTTCTCCTGCCACCTCTGGTATTACCGACGTCGACACTCTCCGGTCAAACGTCACGGATTTGGAAAGCTTCTTCTTTCTCTGAATCTCAGTAAACGCCTGCAAACCCAGATCCATATCAGACTCGCTTTTAGTCCTCGGCCTTCTGTCAGAGCGGGGTATGACCGGCGGAACAACCGCCATTCCCATTAACCGAACCTTGTCATTCTTGTCGATGTCGCACCAGTGAGGGTTCGAGACGTCTTCGCGAATCACCATCGAACCGGCGTCAGACACAACACCGGAAGTGTCGGAGTCCATCCTTGACCATAACGCGACCTTTGAGTCCGTTTGACCTTGGGAAGTACGTGTCCTTGACCCTGTAGAAGACGTGGTTGACGTTAACGTGGAGCTTGCAGTCATACCCAAGTGTGTCGTTTTGTAGCCTTCGTCAAGGAGACGTGTTAGTATTTCCCCAGCATCAGGACGCGCTTTGGGGTCTTGGTGTAGCATATCACCGATCAGCATTTGGAAGAATTTGCCGTACTTTATTTGTTTCGTGACTTGCGCTGCCTGGCAACATAAAACATATATACCTTACAGTTATGTGGGCACATTAAACATCATCAGTACAACAGAGTTGTCTTAGATGCATGCATGTTCTGGAAATTGCATTCTTATACCATTTAACATCCACTCTGTAAGCTAAGGTACCAAGACAAATGTAGTTCTTAACTAAATTGCAATAAATAAAAACAACAAAACACTATTTATACATTTGAAAATTGCCATATGCATACTTTCACACACATACCTTCCCTACACTGACATGTGGTCTGTATCTGCAAAACCACCTCGAAACAACGGAATTTTCTTAACAGAAAATTACTTTTTTTTAATCTGAAGCATAATTATTTTTTTCGGGGACAATACCACTCCACCCAGAATATCAAATGGTCAGTAAGGATAAGATGTTTGGATGAACAACTTCTTTATTACAATTAGGAGCGACGTTTCGGTGTAGGTTCTAACACCGTTATCAAACAAGTGATGAACAGAGTATGGTTGACTAGTACTAGTATATATACAGTGAGTGAGTGAGTGAGTGAGTTGGGTTTAACGCCGCTTTTAACAGTATTCCAGTTTATCGCGGCGTGTCAGCTTAATGTGGGAGGAAAGCCCGAAATGATACAGGTCTGAGACGTTTACCACTTCGGTGAAACCCACGAGCACGGGTATGGTGCTGACAAACCTAGAAACATAATCGGGGCGAACCGGGATTCGAACCCACAATCATGGGTTTCTGGCATGCCCAAGGGACGCAACTCTGCATAGCGAATCGCGGCGCCTTAGACGACTGGGCCTCCTGGGCCACCCGTGCCCCCCTATATATATACAGGTAGGAGGCAGTGTTTATACAGGAGAGTAGATAAAGATGTAGTTACACTAGGATGGAGAAGCCTGTCCCTTATCCAATTTCCCTCTCTGCATCCTTTGTACACTATTAATAAGGGGTAATCCTGTTTCATGGAACTACTACGGGGGTTCACAGTGTAACTTTGACACCCCCCGAGTTCTATATCAAGGCAATAGTCCCATGAACAACACATGGACGACAAGAGGAACAATATGCGCCAAGCTGTAGGAATACCTTGTGTTTGTTGATCCCAGAAAGTAACGTTGTGATGGTCTGTGCTTGGAATAGCGTTGTCAGAGTCGCCATCTCGTACGCGGTACATCCCAAACTCCAAATGTCTGTCTGCAAACATAGGGAGACACGTTAATTACAATCTGGGATAGTGGTTCAAGGGATCGCTGGTCAAACCTCAGCTCCGGGTTCAGTTTCCCACATTTATGGTAACCTCTGCCGTGATATTGGTGGAAGATTGCTAATAAAAGCGACAAAACCCTTTCCATATTCAATAGTTGGTTGGCTTGTTGTTAAACGCCTGTTTGTTGTTCAAGCAATATTCCAGCTTTATGACGGTGGTGTGTACATAATCGAGTCTTGACCAGTCAAACCAGTGGTTGATATCACGAGCATCGATCCACGCAATTGGGATACGGTGACAAGCATCAACCAAGTCAGCAAGCCTGACCACCTAATCCTTAAGTCGCCTATTACGACAAGCATAGTCGCCATTTACGGCAAGCTGAAGATCTATTCTACCCCGGATCTTGCGAGGCCCAAACAATAGAAATCTCTGCTAAAATCACGATAATGAGCATGTGTTTAAATGCTATCTTTGAGCTACGGCTGCCATAAGTCCATCTTAAGGTATGGGAGTTACACACACCTTAGCGCTAAGATTTTGTTTGTTTGTTGTTAAACGCCGTACTCAACGATATTCCAGCTATGTGAGTTACCGAGGAAACATTCTGACCCGAAGCCCCGACAAGGACGTGACAAGATTAACATCGATAGGGACAAGCCATGATAATCAAGGTGTTCGACGTTAGAGGAGATTGGTAAACAAATCCTCCCAGCCAGTCCAATCAATCAATATATAGTACCGAACTTTGTACCTCACGATAAAGTAGTGCACAAAACATGCACTTTGATATTACCCTTTGTATTGTTCAAAGAAAATCTCCTACACCGAGTTTCATACGGCCGGCAGCCAGCCAGCATAGTACCTCTGCCACAGGCCAGCGCCATGTGACGATTCGTCACATCTTTCACAGTACATTCAAGATATTGAATATGCTTTTCATCCGTTTCATGTTTGACAAGTCTATAAATTTTCATCAACAAATGTCAAAGAATGGTTACGGTTTATTAAGAAAGTATCCTAATACGTGAAAATCTACTTGTTTTTGCGTAGTTATCCTTTGTTTACATTGGTTGTACGGCGCCACTTGCTGTCATCGAAGCCCAACGGAGAGCTAGTGATTCGGTCACTTTGATATACAAATATTTATTGTCATGCAACTCACTGTCACAGTTGTAGTGGCATATCTATATAATTATGCAAAACAATATATAAAGCGCCCCCAAATACTTGCATTAGTCCGTTCTATACTGATTTCTGAAAAATCACGTTTGTTTACAAGAGAAAAGTCCGGTCACGTGATATGCAAATTAGCCTGTGGCAGTGGTGTTATGCTAAGTCACCACTGCGCCGGTGTGTGGTTCAAAGGGTTCAGATAAAATGTCCGTCGTATCATTTTACTTCATGTATGAAACAAGAAGCCATATCGACTCCTCTTGTCCAGTACCGTCTCATACACCACAGGGGGCGGTCGGGTAGCCTAGTTGTTAAAGCGTTCGCTCGTCACGCCGAAGACCCGGGTTCGATTCCCGACATGGGTACAATGTGTGAAGCCCATTTCTGGTGTCCCCCGCCGTGATATTACTGGAATATTGCTAAAAGCGGCGTAAAACCATACTCACTCACTCATACACCACTGGGAACGACCGGTAGCACACTTACTTTGCTCTCCTGCATATATACCAAAGAAAACTTGTTTTCTAAGTTCGTTTATAGTCTTCGGATTCGTTATGTAGCATAACCAGCTTGTTAAAGATTAACGTGGAGTCGTCGATATAAACGTTGATCTTTGCCGATGGATAAATGATGGGTCGTTGATTTGAAACTGATGCGGGAGAACATTCTGTGCCGAGTAAGTGATAGGAGGGATGGAGATGGTGGCACAACTTCCGTAACGAAGCTGTTGTGGCCAATGGGGATTGAGTAGGGGGTATTAATTTAAACTGCTTCCAAATCTGACGCATCAGTGACAAAAAATATGTCCGATGCAATTCCCTATTTTTACTTGTACTGTACCATATATTCCGGTGGGTTTCAGGTGAACAATGACTTGCCTTTGCATGTGTTTGTGACGGGTGACACCGGTTGGCTCACCTTTTCGCGAACGCCTAGAATCATCCCCATTTCATAGTGATATGATTAAACACATACTCATGATATAGTCGGAATCTTACAATCGACTCTTTGGCAGAGATTCCTTATAAATGTGGAAAGGGTTTTGTCGCTATTATTTATAGAGAAATCCAGCATTAATGTCTCCGCCCAGTGGGCATCCCACACTCCAGCATCCTATTGTTTAAGGGTGCACTAAGCCAGTTCAGTGCTTGTCATTGTGTGTAGCCAGAGAGTGAGCGACATACCTTCATATTGTACTGTCGCCCGTTCAGGATCTCCGGGCTCATAAAATACGGGGTCCCGACTTGAGACCTGGCCATGGCGTCCGGCTGCAGCAGCATTCTGAAAATGTGACAGCTGAGTTAAGTATAACGATGTATAAATGTCTTAAAGGTAGTAATCGATTGATACTTAAGGCTGGGAGGCCTAAAGTTACGCATGGCCAAACTACGCCACACGTGAGCAGCACATTGTTAAGCATGTCTTGCAAAAGAGTAATTGAGTAAACATTGAGTAAATGATTGTTACTCAAAGTTATACTCTTTTTCAAATGGCCGTAGGATGACTGGTAACATATCGCGACGAAGAATACCGATCTGTGAATGATGTCATCACTTACGTCATCAACAAAGGGGGATAATCCATTATTAAGTGATTACGTTTGGTTTCCTTACTTAAACGTAGACATAATTGTGTCCAACATGAGTAATAAACACACAAAAAATCAATTTCAAATAAGTGATGGCGTGTTTGTTTCCTATAAATGATATTTGAAGTTTTACAATACATGTACCCTGAAAAAAAGGTGTTTATATAACGCTCTTTTTATTATGATGAATAAGAATTATGGTAATTTTAAAATCCATATTAGAAAATATGAATGTCATGTTTGAGCCTAAACAAAGTGGTAGATTCGTTAAAAATATCATCAACGTACTTGGACATTCCAAAGTCACCAATCTTGAGCGTCACGTGACCGTCCACGTGACCGACCATGATGTTGGGAGTCTTCACGTTGCGATGTAGGACACCCATAGTATGGATAAACTGGAAGACGGATATAGAAACTCAGGAAACGAAGTACCTGCTTTTGTCAGAATATGATACTCTTTGATCAGTGTTACTATTACTATTTTAAATCTATTTATTCGCAAAAAAATGATTAGATACACTTACACATAAAGGCGCCCAGACTCCCAGATTAGCAAGGTATAATTCTTATTTAGAATTAAAATATTATTTGACACGAAAAAAAAATGAGAAAAAGAGAAACGTAATCGGTCACAATGACATAGCATGAAATACAGTAGTGTTTAAAATACCCGCCTGCCCGACAGCCCGAGACAGTCTATTTTGCTGGAGGACGGTCAGTTTTGAAAAGTTGCACACCCGATGGTCCGGAGTTAAAGTTACTAAGTTGACAATCCACCTGTTTATTGTTGTTGTTTTTCTGAGAAATAACATGTTAGTCTTTTTTGCACAATTAATGCTTCAATTTCTGGTTATTCATAATACCTATTAGTCAAGTCTGTAAGCAATGCACAAACTCGTGAAGTTCTTTTTTAAAGTAGCATACACAGTTATTAGTGATTAGTGGAATAAATTGTTCCCGTAGTAACGTTGCCCTCGTCTCATGTGTCTTTCTCAAATGGACAATGTTAGGGATACACGATTCAGAAAATCGGCATTCCTTTAGAAACGTTGTAACATTACATATGGACCTATGCGATGACGCTTAGGTTTGACTGAACGTTCAGCATTAAGCTCACTGGTTTTAGACATGGTAATCGCGTGTACAGAAAACACACTGTACATATAATATCTAACTTAATGTATAATACATTTTGTTTATCAGGAAGGCGTGTGCACCCATTAGCAAACCGTGCGTACGTCAGAGGGATACAAAGTGTTCTATCACGAAATGCATGTACTTTGCATCTTAAAAAAATGAGAATTTGCAGGAACTGCAATCTCATTAAAATCAGATCTTAGCTTTCGCTACCGCTAAACAAAGATCTGAGGACGTCCCATTAGGGTTCACGTCAGAACGACCTTTCGCGAACTTTGACCGATCAATGAAATGACTGACAAGAAATCGATATTAGCCAATCAGAAGGCAGCTTTCTCGTGCTTTACGACACTAGTTTCAAACTGGCGACTACGCTTCAAAACATATTTTGACGTATTCTCGATTAATAATTTTAAAACTGATAAAAAGGAGATTCTGGAATGGCTTATAGATGGCCTAGATTGTATGGATATAATCATTAAACCCGCAACTGTTAATACCCTCCTCAATATTTCGGGGTCAATAGGAGAGGCATAGACAGGACATAACTCGTAATAGCCACTGGTGGCGCTACGATCAAGCCCAGGAATTCCAGCCTAGTTCGGCAAGGGTGGAAACTGGACTTTTAAAGTCAGTTAACTCCCTTGCCTCGGGAAGATGACTGCAATGAGGATGCAGTGTTAATATATATGTTCAGGCTCATTTTTTGTTATCGTATCGGAACGTCCAAGATCGTTGCTCGTGCTATTAACACTGATTTGTCCAGCCCAGAATCAGCTATTGGCAGTCCTGTGATATTGTTGTAAAACATGCCACTTTAGGAGGGGTACATGTGAGTTCGACCCGTGAAGATCCGGGGTAGAATAGGTCTTCAGCAACCCATGCTTGCCGTAAGAGGTGACTATGCTTGTCGTAAGAGGCGACAAACGGGATCAGGTGGTCAGGATCGCTGACTTGGTTGATGCATGTCATCGTATCCCAATTGCGTGGATCGATGCTCATGATACCAATCACTGGATTATTTACAGATCGCCGTCATATAGCTGGAATATTGCTGAGTGCGGCGTTAAACATCAAACAAACAAACATGTGAGTTCAAAGCAAGACTGTAGCTTCTGCTTTTAATCCCAGGTGGCAACAAACGCATTACTTACTAATTCATGTGTCTGAAGATAACAAACAACTATGTTGGGGGTATGTTGGCATGTGACAGAGATGACGTCATCTGCATCGTTTACTCGCGTGACAGTTATGGCGATAGTAGTTCCCTTCTTAATCGTTTATTTCCCATAAAGTACTGTGGAACGTATTAAACAATGATATCGTAGCCATAGCTAGTCACACATGCATAGATGTAACCGATAGCTACTTAAAGTGTCTGCTTGTCGTAAGAAAGAAGCGACTAACGGGATCGGGTGGTCAGGCTCGCCGACCTGGCTGACGCATGTCATCGTATCCCAATTGCGTGGATCAATGCTCATGACATCAATCACTGGATTGTCTGGTCAGACTCGATTATTTACAGACCGACGTCATAAGCTGGAATATTGCTGCGTGCGGCGTTAAACAACAAACAAACAAACAAAACGTAAAGTGTCTGCCGCAGTTTAACACGAATACCCAACTCAGACACAGTATACTAACTCCGAGCCAGTCCGTGTTTTAGTCGCTTAATGCTGAGAGCCAGGGTAACAACAAGTGCCATCTTTAACGTCTTTTGGTATGACGCGGCCGGGGATCAAACGCCGAACCTTCCCCTGTCCGGCGGACGCTCTACCACTAGACCATGGAGGCAGTCCCTTTATATACAGGCCGGAGGAATGTATTAATATGAAACGTGTAGCGATATGAAATAAAACACAGCAATATTGTTACCTTGCAAGTAGCACTCTCAAACTTGAAGGGGCGCCACACAGTGCGCCAAGACATTATTGCGAGGGGACGCTGTAGTATCGCGAGGGAAAGCGATGATTACTGCGAAGGAAGTCTATAAATATACCTTATATCAAGGCAGATAGGAGCAGTAAACATTTCTACCGGAGCTGTTGACAACTCTTAATCAAATCCCTTATAAGGGTGCAATTGTTTGAACATGGTCTGATATCTTCTTTGCTGATGTTCAAAGCAAGTGGTCAAAATAGTCGCCTTTTACCATTTCAACCATCTGATATACCTTTAGTAGTTTACACAGTTATCACGCCTCTAGATGTAAAAATAAATATGTCTTCTGGATTTTGACTTGGGATAAAGATAGTCATCGAGTTATACTAAAATGCTAGAAGACCTAAAGTGACACGTGATCTAAATACGTCATTTGGTATTAATGTATCAATTACTGCATACGCCAGTAATGAACATCTTGACTGAAGGAATCTCGAAAAAGCACATAATCATACCACTCAAGAGAAGTTAAGTAGCACCCGTTTCTTTCATATTGCTATAATTAATCTGACATGGCATGACATGGCATGAGATGACATGACAGATTAACAATAGTAATATGAAAGAATCGGGTGGTCCGTAATTTCTGTTGAGTGGTATACAATAGAGTAAATTTGAAGCGTCTGTGCTTTTGGTTACCGAGCCTACACTCAAACCGTTTGTGAATACTGCTGCGGGATGCTTGTCTGAAAGGGTAAACATTTCAGGAAACGTAACATGAGGTTCTCCACAACACACAAACTGTATACACTGAAGATCGATACAGGAATCACTGGGGTGGTTCAAAATTACAGCAATGAATAGCACTACGTCACAGTGCGTGGCTGTGTGAAATGTCAAGGTAAACATTACATACTTAATGTATACTGAATCCCAGATACTGATGCATGTCTGAATAGTGAACCTATATATCTTTTGCAGCCTGGATGTATGCAAAATAAATTATATATTTTGATCCCAGACTGTGATGTTTGTGCTCTTGCAAGCGCGACGCTAGGCCGTGCGTTTAGTGTATTCAATTACTAACGCTCGCTATGGGGTATGTTCCAAGTTAATGATTTATAGAGGCATTTAACGCATACTCGCTTTGTCAGTGTGAACCGAGGACCACAATAAGAACGTGGTACGTACAATACTAATGTCTGACACGACAGACTAAGCGTCATCGTTCCTCGATGGTGCGGGTCTTTGTTAACGCTATAACTACAGGTTCGTCGGTAACAATTCCATACTTATACTTTACTATACGCAGTGGATTGCGGCGTAAAATGCGATGACATCCATCCAAGCCATAGAACTGTGGGCAGAGTTGCCTCCCTTAACCGTACCATACATATGTGTGTGTGTGTGTGTGTGTGTGTGTGTGTGTGTGTGTGTGTGTGTGTGTGTGTGTGTGTTGGGGTGGGGGGAAGGATGGATGGGTTGGGTGGGTCTGGTGTGTGTTGGGAGTGGGGTTGGTTGGAGGTTGGTGTGTGTGTGTGTGTGTGTGTGTGTGTGTGTGTGTGTGTGTGTGTGTGTGTGTGTGCCCCTTCAACATTAGTGCTATCCCTCTGAGATAGTTGTCCTTAGTTTAACATTGACACCCGAATGAGACATGAACTCCGAGCCGGTCAGTCCTTGTCATATTCCCTTAATGCCGAGCGCCAGGCAGGGTAACAACAAATACCATTTTCTTTGCGTCTTTTGGTAAGACGCGGCCTGGGATCGAACCTCCTACCTTCCGATGCTCTATCCACAAGACATAGGAGGCGGCCACCAAACGTGTAGTCGTGGTTCTGAATCCCTGATTCGTTGTGTTTATGTTCTAGGTTTGTCAGCACCATACCCGTGTTCATCTTCCCGAGGCAAGGTAGTTAACTGACTAGAAAGTCCAGTATCCACCCTTGCCGAACTTGGTTGGAATTATATTTTGGCTGGACTAACGAGTCTATACATAGTCCAATCAAAATCCCGTAACGAAATCGACATCCGGTTCGTAAACAATATCACTACCGCCGTGCCCAATACGGTCGACTGCAGGGGCATGTGTACCGTTAACTGGGCGTCGACACATATTTTCCACATCTTTTCATGTGCTCTAGTGATATGATACATTACGCGTGGTAAAATCCGTTTTAATACAATAAAGGTCTTAAGTATCGACGAATGAGTGCACGAGAATCTGATTGGTCAATAGGAGGGAAATGACTCGTGATAGCCACTGGTGACGCTACAATCGAGCCAAGAAATTCCAATCTAGTTAGGCAAGGGTGGAAAATGGATTTTTAAAGTCAGTTAACTCCCTTGCCTCGGGAAGATGCACCGTGATCGTTTGTTTCATCGAAGGGGTAAACGTCTAACACCTGTCAGGGCTTTCCTCCCTGATCGAGCTAACACTCCGTGATATATCTGAAATACTCCTCAACGTGGCGTTAAACTAAACTCCCTCACTCCATCCAAAACAACAAAATACCATTATTAAGTCTTAATCACAATATGACAACTAATAAAGTATATGACTTACGTCTAGGCCTGAAGCGATCTGTGCCAGCCATGTTCCAAACTCAGCTTCCGGCGGTGGTCGGCCCAGTGTGTTATTCAGGTAACTCCTGAGGTCACCCCCAGGGCAGTACTCCATGAGGATATAGACGCGCAGCTGACCCTGCTTGTCACGTGTGTCCCACCCATCTATGTGTCGGACGATGTGGGGGTGCTGAAACCTGGACAGGGTCTCCACCTCACCCAGGAGATACCTTTCTTCCTCCGCCGTGGCATCGATAAATCCCGAGACTTTCAGGGCATACTAACCAAAAAAACAACAAGATTTTAACTAAACCCGATGAACAGTATAAATACTGTAAAAAGGATGCGAACATTAAAAAAAGGATCAAATATTTCCAGTTTTAGTTCATAATTCGTAAAGAGGGAGGTATGACGAGGGCCTTTTGAGGTTCACTGGCAACTTGAAAATTTTGTTACTGTAGAGTTTCTAGAAAATTCAAAAAATTCTATGAAAGTGGGAGAAGGTTATCGTCAAATGTGAGACGAATGCAAGTCCTGAAAACAGTAAATTCTACATATCATTCATATGCTCACATCTGATTTCTATAAAGATTTCTCATTTCATAAAATATCTTGTTCTAGTGGGTCAAACATAGTCTTTTTAAGACCGTCTTGACAGATAAATGTTCCATCTGAAAGCTATGCATTTTCGCATGGTTTATATTTGATTACAAATATTTACACATTTTGTGCATAAAAATCACCACTGTTTCTATCATGAACTTAATTGCTTGAATGTGATCTTTGCATATAACACTCTATCGAAAATATTTTTGAACAGACTTATTTCATTGCATCTGATTTTTGAGGGACAGGGTTTGTTTAAATCTCGGTCTTACTTATACACTTAATGTAAAGTAAAACGAAAGCGCCTATTCATCATGAGTAATTTTATAAATTGACGATATTGAATACAACATTTTTTTGTAATGTACATTTATAACGTTTCCATTTTCGTCCAAGTTCTGAAAACATAATTGTACATTTCGTACCTGCTCGCCATCAAATCCTTGGACCTTGTACACCTTCCCCAACGTCCCTTTGCCAACTGAGCTACTGCTCCGCAGCTGTTTCTGCACGTGCTCTCGTAGGTTCCCGCGAGAATTAGACGCCATCTTGGAAGCTACCACGAGCACCGTTGGTCGTCATTTCCTACAGAAAATAAACTTCTTTTTTTACATTTGTTATGGAAGCAATTAAGAATTGACTGGTTGACTCGAAAAGGGACAGTTAATTGAGCTCATCTTAAATAGCTTTATACCCGTGCATGTATTTATTTTGTCATATTTTGATGTTTTGGAAGTATATCACTCGACACCTTTTTCCGAAACATTTCATCATGTTTGAAGTGTTTCTCTGGGTCCGCATCGACAGGCGCTTTACCTCGTTGGGGTTTTGTTGTAAAATTTAATTTGTTCCACTTGAAGAAAATACCAATTGTCATGCTGTGTGTCCAGAGAAACACCGAGTTGTGAAAAAAGCATTGAAGCATTGACAACATTCAAAGACTCATAAGTAAGGAAACACGTTCAAGAAATAAATTCGTTTTGCAAACTAGTAGGGAGCAGTTTTAATGTCTCAGGCCAGACATTTGTTTTGTAATTAACTCAGCATACACATAATTGCAATATAGTTAGGTGTGCGGAAAGATTAATTCTTTGTCCATGGGTCTCGAGTGAGTGAATTGGGTTTCAACGCCGCTTCCAGCTATATCACGGCGTGTCAGGAAAGCCCGAAGTGATGCAGGTCTCAGACGTTTACCACTTCGGTGAAACCCACGAGCACGCGTATGGTGCTGACAAACCTAGAAACATAATCGGGGCGAACCGGGATTCGAACCCTCTCTGGCGTGCCTAAGGGACGCAACTCTGCACATCGAATCACAGCGCCTTAGACGACTGGGCCACCCGTGCCCCCTACACGGGTCTCGAGGGAGACATGGGTTGGTGTAGCCGTTCCCGGAAGAAGGGCTCGGGGAACATAAAGTATCAGAGTGCATCAACCCATTTACAGTTTTCACTTTTGTTCGGTGCTTACAACTATACATATATGCACGTACCCTTTATAAACGCGCAATGATCTGTTCGTGTGACAGAACTTGGGGCATTCTTTGCCGGGCCTCAACGGGTTTATGGCCTCAAAGATTGATCGGTTATCTAACTGTGTCAACAAAAAAGCAGACAGACAACTGCAATAGTTTTAAAGCCTATTGTGGTATAAACAAAAAGCGCTCACGCCTTAAGCCCACCCACACACATACACACACATATATATATAATGTATGTCTGCATAAAAGTTGGTATTGCACTCTACAAAATAACGTCAACTTCAGAATACAGGGCACATTTACATTTACATTTGCACCTGCTCCAGACATGATGTAGAGTTGATCCTGGCCTAAATATATACACATGAGTAAACGCGTTCAAATGACAAGTATACTCACGTATGTATATTTACATACGTTTGCAAATATACACATATGTTCAAAGGTGCATGTGAACAGGGTATATAACTGGAACTGCATGCTACGTGATGCACAAGTTTGCCCAATTCTGCTACAATGGTCTGAAGTGCGGCGTGTTCATATATGTAATGCTATTGATAATGTTCCTGTTCCTGTTTGTAAATGCTTGTTGCAAGTGAAGAATTCGACCTCAAATCATGTTGTTAGAGGAGAATGCGCTCGATAACCACTATATTTACAAAACGTGTTTTTAAGTATTGGGGTAGTAATTTACGGAAATGTGTTATAATATAATGTTTTATGCAGCAGAAAATGGTAAAATCGGGCTTCAAAACTAAATAACTATTCCCTAATTTGGCTATTATGGAAGTAACAATTTTAACATAATACTTCAGCTTTTATCTCTGCACCAATATACGACTAATACTGGCACGATACACTCCCTCGGGGCACCCAAACCAAATAGTTATACTGTAACAAGTGTTATAATACTTTCTCAGTAAAGTACAGATTCTAGTACTTTTGGGGGGTTGAGTCCCATCCGAGCTTCCGGGATTCGAGCCCCGCTCCCAGAGTGAGGCAACTAATCGCCAGCACACAAAGTCAGGGATGTAACCCACTCAGCCACCGAGGCTGGGAATGTGGGTTCGAATCCCAAATGTACTACAATCTGTACTTTACTAAGAAAGTGTTTTCCCAATATAACATTTGTTAAATATGACTTTTTTTCTAAATGGCATTGTGTATTCAATAGTTATGCTCTTTATAAACTATCCTTTTGCTGGGAATAGTGTCTTAAAGTTCTAACTGTTTTCAAATTTAGATTAGACCTAGCTCGATTTAGATGTAGTTCACATCAATTAAAAATAGAAACAGGAAGATATATTCGGCGACCAGGAGAACTGCGAGTGTGTGAATTGTGTAGCTGGGACACTATGGAAGATAGTGTCACCATGTTATGACCTTCAGTGTTTGTAATGCCATTAGGGCACAATATATTTATATGTATTGTTGTCTGTTGTTAAACGCCGCACTCAGCAATATTCCAGCTACATGACGGTGGTCTGTCAATAAACACGTCTGGTCCAGACATCCGGTGATTGATATCATACGAGCATTGATCTACGCAATTTGGATACGATGATATGCATCAACCAAGTCCGCGAGCCTGACCACCTTATACCCGTTAGTCGCCTTTTAGGACAAGCACGGTCGAGCTACCCAGGAACCTATATTTGACGAAGGAACCGACTATATGGTTTGTGTGATCAGTCCTGGTGACTTGGTTGATTGTCAGCGTGCCCCGACAGCAAGGGACGTTGAACGAAATATCAATCATTGGATTGTCTGTAAAGCCTCGATTATTTACAGGCCGTCGTCATGATACTGTACTATTGCTGAGTGCGTCGTTAAACAACACACAGACAAAGCTTATACCTGCATTCTTCCCACAATAAACGTGTATTCCACCTACCAGTATTACCGGGCACAGTCCTCCAGACCAGAGTTTACAAGTGTCACATCACTGGAGTGACGTCGTAGACTCGTAGTATCCTGGGTCCTGGGATGTATCAGGGGTCAAGGCCCTACTTTCGCTTTCGTTTCGGGTTGCGTTGGAGAGACACACCGGTTTCAGACATCGGATTTTATGTATTCCCACAACATTTCTTGTACTGCAGTAAATCCCCTTGAAGCCACCTCCCTGAATATGCACACTGTTTGTATCGTCTGTAGTCCACACTTATGTGTCGTGTGACTGAGGATATATATCGCCTACCGTCTCCTGCACTACTGGCCGAGTGCCAGTTCACATATCAATACCGTACATATTCAAATATGCCTTCCCGTGGTGCCTATCATATCATAGATCGTACAGATTTGCAAAGACGTTTCAACTGAGTATTTTGCTAACGAATGTGATATTTGGGATAACACATTCTTAGTTATGTACAGATTCTGAGTATTTGCTATGGAAAAAATACCGTTAGTAAAATGTTATGGTAAGACTCATGTGTTATGTTATATTATGCGATTATCATAGTGTTGCGGTTATGTATTGTACGTGTCTGACAACTGGTGTTTATGTATTATAAGTGTCTGACAACTTGTGTTTATGTATTGTACGTGCCTGACAACTGGTGTTTATGTATTGTACATGTCTGACAACTTGTGTTTATGTATTGTACATGTCTGACAACTGTTGTTTATGTATTGTACACGTCTAACAACTGTCGTTTATGTATTGTACGTGTCTGACAACTAGTGTTTATGTATTGTACGTGTCTGACAACTAGTGTTTATGTATTGTAAGTGTCTGACAACTTGTTTTTATGTATTGTACGTGACGACTGACAACTGGTGTTTATGTATTGTACATGTCTGACAACTTGTGTTTATGTATTGTACATGTCTGACAACTGGTGTTTATGTATTGTACACGTCTAACAACTGTTGTTTATGTATTGTACGTGTCTGACAACTAGTGTTTATGTATTGTACGTGTCTGACAACTTGTGTTTATGTATTGTACGTGTCTGACAACTTGTGTTTATGTATTGTACGTGACTGACAACTAGTGTTTATGCACTCTGATTCTCCAGGTATTTCTTCCATTGAGACGGTTCGAAATATCTCTCTCTCTGTCTCTCTCTCTGTCTCTCTCTCTCTCTCTCTCTCTCTCTCTCTCTCTCGCACACACACACACACATACACACACAAACACACACTATATATAAGCGCAATAATGTTGACGTTCACCTTACCTCACCTCACCTCACCTCACCTCACCTCACCTTCTCGGAGTCTTGAAACTATAACATAAGATTGGGGTCTGACCCCTTGTGTCGCTTGTGTCCTGCCTTCACGTATATTTGTACAAGACCCCATATCCACCACGACAACACCCACCCACAGCTATGTACACCGCCCCACACGAACATACCGTTACTGACCCAGCTGAACTCACCATTCGCCAGCCAATCGTGTGTATTGCTCAGCTAAACATTACATATCTGTTCGGGTGTAAAATTCACTACGGAGGACGCACAAAGTTGATCTAAGATAGTGCTCGACACACTACAGCCAAGTCCTTGTGTAACGCTCATTCTTTATTGACGTGCTCAGCACGTGGTGATTGCAAATATCTATGTAGACCTGTGTCATCCTGGAGTGTGTGAATGTCGGTTTTTATGAAGCGTCAGTTTACTATTTATTCACAAGTTTATGATATCAATACTTTTGTTTGAAAACATTCATCGAGAGTTATGTATTTGATCAAATGAGGGTAGTATTTCAAGAGCACAACTTATTAACTATTAAATATATATTCATGGAAGTTACACTTCAAACAAATGCTGCACTTGTGCCTTTCGATGTTCTGGAAGTTTAAAATAATTACTTTTTGCTTTTTCTAGGCAACAACTTCACGTGAGCGTACTTTTTTGTGCCAAACTTTTCCCATGAAACTTTGGAAGTGCATTTGGCAGGTAAGAACTGGTGACATGTTTTCCAAGAAATTATTTATTAATAGTTGCAAACTTGGAGGTAACATTAGCTTTCAAGACATTTTGCCATATAATGTGATAAATATGACATTCTCCTAAAATAACACTCGTAATCTTAAAGGGGTCGGGTAATGTGAATATGACATAAACTGTCAACGCAAGTATTTAACCAGTCTCGACTATCCACCAAAACAGATTCTAATGGGCGTAAAAGGCAAAACTGCGGTGAAACGTTTATGACCGAATCACTGAAAATCAGTGCTTAAACCTGGAGCACCCGTAACTCACACAAGTAAAATACAAAGGTTGTTGCCTGACGGATGATGTATTGTTGTAATGTGATTTATTGATATCTAAACTTCGATATCACTAAATCGAATTCTCGATATCGAAAAATACTTCTAGTAATAAGATATCACAAATTCGATTTTTTTATCACAAAATAGACTTTTAGATGTCACAAAATATACCGATATCTAAAAATCGATTTTTGTGTAGATCTATCAGGAAGTATGTATTCTCAAAAATGACATGCTAACCCAGTCTCTGCACTGAGACAAAACTACAGCTGAAATATTACTGCGATACTTCCTGTGTCTTCCCAGACTGCTCATTTGAGAAAGCAGAGTGCATATGTGAGTTTGAAGAAAGGGCGGGTTATATACGCGTGTATTCCGAAAACATAAGTCACACCAAACAATATTAGTTTCATTTTAATGATTTTATTTTCATAACTTGTCATTGGTTAACAGACAGTTGCAATGCGTCGATAGTTCAATCAATCTATATACTACTACTTATATATATATATACCTATATATGTCAGAGATTAAAATGTGATTCAGCCAGTTTCGTTTGGGCTATACAGTAAAGATCAACTGATGTTTCAAACTGGAACAATATCAATATACTTAAATACAGAGAGACTGAGTTGCAAATACCACCCTGCTCACCAATAGCTTGTCTCCATTTAGTTATTGGACGGGTGTATGTTTCTATTCCATGACCTGAGAGTTTGTCTGTGACCCCTTCATGACCTGATAGTTTGTCTGTGGCCCCTTCATGACCTGATAGTTTGTCTGTGGTCACTTCATGATCTGATAGTTTGTCTGTGGCCACTTCATGACCTGATAGTTTGTCTGTGGTCACTTCATGACCTGATAGTTTGTCTGTGGTCACTTCATGACCTGATAGTTTGTCTGTGACCCCTTCATGACCTGATAGTTTGCATGTGGTCATTTCATGACCTGATAGTTTGTCTGTGGCCCCTTCATGACCTGATAGTTTGTCTGTGACCATTTGATCACTTGATAGTTTGTCTGTGGTCACTTCATGACCTGATAGTTTGTCTGTGGCCCCTTCATGACCTGATAGTTTGTCTGTGGTCACTTCATGACCTGATAGTTTGTCTGTGGCCACTTCATGACCTGATAGTTTGTCTTTGGGAATTGCATCACATGATAGTTTGTCTGTGGCCCCTTCATGACCTGATAGTTTGTCTGTGGCCCCTTCATGACCTGATAGTTTGTCTGTGGTCATTTCATGACCTGATAGTTTGTCTGTGGTCACTTCATGACCTGATAGTTTTCCTGTGGCCACTTCATGACCTGATAGTTTGTCTGTGGCCACTTCATGACCTGATAGTTTGTCTGTGGTCACTTCATGACCTAATAGTTTGCCTGTGGCCACTTCATGACCTGATAGTTTGCCTGTGGTCACTTCATGACCTGATAGTTTGTCTGTGGTCACTTCATGACCTGATAGTTTGTCTGTGCCCCCTTCATGACCTGATAGTTTGTCTCTGGCCCCTTCATGACCTGATAGTTTGTCTGTGGTCACTTCATGACCTGATAGTTTGTCTGTGGCTCCTTCATGACCTGATAGTTTGCCTGTGGTCACTTCATGACCTGATAGTTTTTCTGTGGTCACTTCATGACCTGATAGTTTGTCTGTGGCCCCTTCATGACCTGATAGTTTGTCTGTGGCCACTTCATGACCTGATAGTTTGCCTGTGGTCACTTCATGACCTGATAGTTTGTCTGTGGCCACTTCATGACCTGATAGTTTGTCTGTGGTCATTTCATGACCTGATAGATTGTCTGTGGCCACTTCATGACCTGATAGTTTGTCTGTGGTCACTTCATGACCTGATAGTTTGTCTGTGGCCACTTCATGACCTGATAGTTTGTCTGTGGTCATTTCATGACCTGATAGATTGTCTGTGGCCACTTCATGACCTGATAGTTTGTCTGTGGTCACTTCATGACCTGATAGTTTGTCTGTGGCCACTTCATGACCTGATAGTTTGTCTGTGGTCACTTCATGACCTAATAGTTTGCCTGTGGCCACTTCATGACCTGATAGTTTACCTGTGGTCACTTCATGACCTGATAGTTTGTCTGTGGCCACTTCATGACCTGATAGTTTGTCTGTGGTCACTTCATGACCTGATAGTTTGTCTGTGGTCACTTCATGACCTGATAGTTTGTCTGTGGCCACTTCATGACCTGATAGTTTGTCTTTGGGAATTGCATCACATGATAGTTTGTCTGTGGCCCCTTCATGACCTGATAGTTTGTCTGTGGCCCCTTCATGACCTGATAGTTTGTCTGTGGTCATTTCATGACCTGATAGTTTGTCTGTGGTCACTTCATGACCTGATAGTTTTCCTGTGGCCACTTCATGACCTGATAGTTTGTCTGTGGCCACTTCATGACCTGATAGTTTGTCTGTGGTCACTTCATGACCTAATAGTTTGCCTGTGGCCACTTCATGACCTGATAGTTTGCCTGTGGTCACTTCATGACCTGATAGTTTGTCTGTGGTCACTTCATGACCTGATAGTTTGTCTGTGCCCCCTTCATGACCTGATAGTTTGTCTCTGGCCCCTTCATGACCTGATAGTTTGTCTGTGGTCACTTCATGACCTGATAGTTTGTCTGTGGCTCCTTCATGACCTGATAGTTTGCCTGTGGTCACTTCATGACCTGATAGTTTTTCTGTGGTCACTTCATGACCTGATAGTTTGTCTGTGGCCCCTTCATGACCTGATAGTTTGTCTGTGGCCACTTCATGACCTGATAGTTTGCCTGTGGTCACTTCATGACCTGATAGTTTGTCTGTGGCCACTTCATGACCTGATAGTTTGTCTGTGGTCATTTCATGACCTGATAGATTGTCTGTGGCCACTTCATGACCTGATAGTTTGTCTGTGGTCACTTCATGACCTGATAGTTTGTCTGTGGCCACTTCATGACCTGATAGTTTGTCTGTGGTCACTTCATGACCTAATAGTTTGTCTGTGGCCACTTCATGACCTGATAGTTTACCTGTGGTCACTTCATGACCTGATAGTTTGTCTGTGGCCCCTTCATGACCTGATAGTTTGTCTGTGGTCACTTCATGACCTGATAGTTTGTCTGTGGCCACTTCATGACCTGATAGTTTGTCTTTGGGAATTGCATCACATGATAGTTTGTCTGTGGCCCCTTCATGACCTGATAGTTTGTCTGTGGCCCCTTCATGACCTGATAGTTTGTCTGTGGTCATTTCATGACCTGATAGTTTGTCTGTGGTCACTTCATGACCTGATAGTTTTCCTGTGGCCACTTCATGACCTGATAGTTTGTCTGTGGCCACTTCATGACCTGATAGTTTGTCTGTGGTCACTTCATGACCTGATAGTTTGTCTGTGGCCACTTCATGACCTGATAGTTTGTCTGTGGTCACTTCATGACCTGATAGTTTGTCTGTGGCCACTTCATGACCTGGTAGTTTGTCTGTGGTCACTTCATGACCTGATAGATTGTCTGTGGCCACTTCATGACCTGATAGTTTGTCTGTGGTCACTTCATGACCTGTTAGTTTGTCTGTGGGCATTTGATCACCTGATAGTTTGTCTGTGGGCATTTGATCACCTGATAGTTTGTCTGTGGGCATTTGATCACCTGACAGTTTGTCTGTGACCATTTGAGCACCTGATAGTTTGTCTGTGGGCATTTGATCACCTGATAGTTTGTCTGTGGGCATTTGATCACCTGACAGTTTGTCTGTGACCATTTGATCACCTAATAGTTTGTCTGTGGGCATTTGATCACCTGACAGTTTGTCTGTGGGAATTGCATCACATGATAGTTTGTCTGTGGCAATTCGATGACCGGTTAGTTGGTCTGTGGGCATTTGATCACCTGATAGTTTATCTGTGGGCATTTCACTACCTGATAGTTTGCCTATGGTCATTTTAACCCCTGGAATTGTGTACACACATCGCCTGACATGTTTCTTTGGCCATTTGATCCTCTGGCGATATGTTCTTGGTCATTCGTTTGCATGACAGTTATTTGATCAACACGTTCGGTACCAATTAATTCATTTCATTTTCTAGGGACAAATTAACCCATTCCATTGGAGCCTTTCTTTGCCGAAACCTACCAAATGCAAACGTATCCTCATAGGACGCATGACAGGTTACACGATAATGCCAACTTTGCACTGTTCTAAAACATCATCTTTTATCTTAGTGTCCTTGTTTCTCCTTTTCTAAATGCCACAGACTGATCATCTTGTCACACACCTCTTCTCCGTGATCCCCCAGCTGGTCCTGCAGGTATATCTGTTGAGAAGGAGGTTTTTTATGTTATGCTACCACATGATAACCACAAGGCATGCTCAGTTCAACTGACACACAGATCTTATGTACCTGATTAGTTATACATGTAAACACGTGTATTACCAACATAAGTTAGTTAGCAAGTTTTATCCATTTATTTCTTAAAACAGATAACACATACATAATCAAAACGTTACTACTCACTGACCAGTTTAATTCATACAACATTTTAGGCACCAAAGGTTTTAAGAATTTACTTTCACTTTGTGTGCAGCCATTGAATCAATCACAGAGCGAGGGCCAAACTGTATGAACGTCGGAGCTCGCATGAATCTAGGGGTTCTTTAGAAGAAGTCGAAAATAAGAATCGCTGGTGTTTTATTATTTCTTGTACGAAACTATGACAGGCCGGCCGTTCAAGGGTTCCCGTAAACATTTGGTACAGACGAGGGAATGCAAGACACCATCTATTTAACCTCATGTTTCGGCCCAACATCGATGTGCTGGTGATGGTGCTGGTGCTGGTGCTGGTGATGGTGATGGTGGTGATGGTGATGGTGATGGTGGTGATGGTGATGGTGATGGTGATGGTGGTGGTGGTGATGATGGTGATGGTGGTGGTGGTGGTGGAGGTGATGGTGATGTGAGGGTGATGCTGGTGGTGGTGGTGGTGATGGTGATGGTGATGGTAATGTAGGTGATGGTGATGGTGATGGTGATGGTGATGGTGGTGATGGTGATGGTGATGGTGATGATGTAGGTGATGATGTAGGTGATGATGGTGGTGATGGTGGTGGTGGAGGTGATGGTGATGGTGGTGGTTGTGATGGTGATTGTGATGGTGATGGTGATGTAATGGTGGTGATGTTGATGGTGATAGTGGTGATGGTGATGGTGATGGTGATGGTGGGAATGGTGATGATGTAGGTGATGATGTAGGTGATGATGTAGGTGATGATGGTGGTGGTGATTGTGGTGGTGATGGTGATGGTGATGGTAGGGTGATGGTGATGGTGGTGGTGGTGATGATGGTGATGGTGGTGATTGTGGTGGTGGTGATGATGGTGATGATGGTGATGGTGATGGTGGTGATGATGGTGGTGGTGATGGTGGTGATGGTTGTGGTGGTGATGATGGTGGTGGTGGTGATGATGGTTGTGGTGGTGGTGATGGTGGTGGTGGTGATGATGGTGATGGTAGGGTGATTGTGATGGTGGTGGTGATGGTGATGGTGATGGTAGGGTGATGGTGATGGTGGTGGTGGTGATGATGGTGATGGTAGGGTGATTGTGATGGTGGTGGTGATGGTGATGGTGATGGTAGGGTGATGGTGATGGTGGTGGTGGTGATGATGGTGGTGGTGATGGTGGTGATGGTTGTGGTGGTGATGATGGTGGTGATGGTGGTGATGGTTGTGGTGGTGGTTGTGATGGTGATTGTGATGGTGATGGTGATGTAATGGTGGTGATGGTGATGGTGATAGTGGTGATGGTGATGGTGATGCTGGTGGTGGTGGTGGTGATGGTGATGGTGATGGTAATGTAGGTGATGGTGATGGTGATGGTGATGGTGATGATGTAGGTGATGATGTAGGTGATGATGGTGGTGATGGTGGTGGTGGAGGTGATGGTGATGGTGATGGTGGTGGTGGTGATGGTGGTGGTGGTGATGATGGTGATGGTAGGGTGATTGTGATGGTGGTGGTGATGGTGATGGTGATGGTAGGGTAATGGTGATGGTGATGGTGGTGGTG